TATTTTTTATATTATTAAGTTTTTATTATTTGAATTTTTTTTAAACAATTATTGTTGTCATGGAAACGAACATTGTTGAAATCATATTTTACCATAATATGACATTATATATTGTTTACATAGCAACACTATCAACTGAACTCCGCTCAGAATCGTTTTTTCGTTAGAAATGGTTTATCGTTACTTACAGATATACATTAAATTCTCTTCTGTACCCTACTTTCCCAACTTCCCGCCTACAACAATGACTGCACTTATATACGAAGTATGTTTGTCTTTTTTTTAAATTTTAATAGTCAAGACCGATTATACAATTTATTAATAGCGAAAAAATAAAAAAAATGGTAAAATAGTATTTTATTCGAATTCAAAATATTAAAAATATCAAAATATGTTGGGTACAAAATCCATACAAACGTATTGAAATATTTGAAAGTATAAGGTTATAATTAATGTTCAGAAATTAAAATTTAGATATTTTAAAAATGTATTAATTATTATATTAGTAGCAACATTCAATAGTTCAGATAAAATTATTACACTGGATAATTATTGAGTATATATACTGAATACATTTGACAACGTTGCACACGAATTCAAACGCAATCGTGTTGTCAAAAGGACAAGTGTACGCAATAGTGTTCTACCCGACTCTCCTACCCTAAAATTTCACCTGGAAATATCAGATTCCTCACCGGATTACTCTTCAGTCAAGTTGATATTTGGGAGTCTGAAATAAATTCCGTCGACAAAAGGTCAATGACGACTGTCACGATACCCCAAAATCACATTTGCAAATCGATATACACAACGACTAAACGGTTTTAAAAACAAAATCTCACTGTAATTTCAAATGTCTTCGTCCGAACATTAAAATCCATAATTTTTTTTTTGTGTTTCACCGTGGAACACATTACTCGAGTATTTTATGACTGAGCAAACGTCCGTAAAAACCATCGTAATAAATCATACTCATCGAAAACTATACGATAAGATTGATGGCATTTTAGCTATTCGATCGCCTCCGAGACGTTCTGATAATATATTATACGCATTGGTTATATCAATTTTATTTTTTTTTTTTTATAAAATAAATCGAAATATGAGCGGGAAGTCGACATCGATAATATATGTATAAGGCTGTGAATACGCGATTGGAAAAGTCATTTTGTTTAGCCCATTTTACCAACAGTATGCTTAAGTTGGTTAAAGTTTGAACTTAATGTACCAACATTTTTCATTTTTTACCTTTTCAGGTCATTTTGAGTTGTTTTTTTATTGCATTTTACTGTATATTTTTTATTAATTTCTGCCAATTAAAATGTTGTAGACACATTTTATGAATTTTCGTTTTTTAAAATATTTTACACTGCAGACCGTGTGCGGTTCAATTTCATTACGATTCGATAAGATACAGCAATTTTTTAAGATCGTTTAAGTATCATTGCGGCAGTGAATTTCCAGTTATTTGTTTGATTGAACTTACTTTTATTTTTTGTAAACTAATTAAAATTATAATAAATACAGTTTTATTTTTCGATAAAACCAGGAATATCTAGATGATAGTTTTTGTACTCGTATTCGTAGTTTTTGTGAATTTAAATTAATTCACAGCCTAAATTCTAAACGTTCTTAATCGTACGTATAAAAATTATTTTTGTTATATATGTGTAATTAGACATTATTATACACCTATTAACGTTTGTAAGTTGTTCTGTGGTTTTTACTCGTGTAACCTTTGGACAACATGACTTCATCTGCACAGTTTACATGACATACATTGAAACAATTTATTTCGATTTCAGAATGAACCCGCATTTGAAAAACAACAATAATTTCGTTCAGATTTTTCATCGATCTCGGGCACAAATCGGTTTTCGAATAGATTACCGTACACTGCCAATTATCATTCGAAAATTTCTAGGGAAGAAAAAAAGAGATTTTAGTCCCCATTCCCTCATTGGTGGTATAAAAACATAAAAAAAAATAAATACTTATTTAACGTAGCAAATATATGTTGCTAAAATAATAATCGTTGCATGTATTATGCATTCTAATCAACTAAGTAATAATATTGTTGTATTGCATAGAATAATGACAATTAGTTTGTGAAATAACCACAAGAAAAACGTTATGTATAATAGATGTAAACACATTATGTTCGTATTATTGCATTTTACAAAATTTGCATTTACCGTATTTAGACCCTCTCCTTATAGTTCACTACCAATTCTGCGTACGTCATTGCAAATAGAAATCTTGATTTGTAATTATTATTGTTATTACTATTATAATTATTTAGCAATTTTGAGCAGACATGCTTTTAGCGTTCCGATGAGTGTTTGGCCGGTGAAAAAAAAATTCTAATAATATAATAGCCCTCTACACTAAATGCATTAAACTGGTTAATTTTAAAATAGGTTCTTTGGAGTTTTTATTAAAAGTATTTTCAAAAAAAAAAAAATCTCAATTGTTCATATATAGCAGTATATCTATCTATACAATAAATTAATCACATCAATAATTTTAGGTCCATTTAGTCTAAAAGGAATTAGTTTCTTTTTAATTGAGAAACCATTATTATGTACGTCGAACATTATTTATTATGATGTATCGAACCAAAAGTGATAGTAATATAAGTAATAACTGTATAATGATATACAACACTAGATAATAATCGAATGGTTCGTTTATTTAACTTGTCTTGATGACGACGGCGTACGATAGATCGAAAGGGAAATTTCCTAAGGATTTCAGTAAACTGGAATTAATGAAGGGTTATTACGAACCAGTAGACGATGACGGTGACTTTGAGGTCTATAATTAAACGTTTTGAAAATTGCTTACTGTGTGCAAGGCGTGATGCGTCTATCTGAGAGAAATGTGAAGGAATAATAAAGGTTAATGTAACCGTACAGAAAAAAAAAATCGTAGTAAATAACCGATATATTATCTTTAGATGAATGCGTTGTCACATTGACGTGCGCAAACGTATTATACGAGACTATACAATGTATATTTTATTCGAGGACAAAACGAACCCTCCGAGAGTCGGAAATGGTGGTACCAGGAGTTCATAAGGGACGGTAACGAATAATGCGGTTTTCCGAGTCGCCGGGTCTCAATTCAATGAACATACTTTTAAATATGTTTTACGAAACAAATATTGTTTTTGACATTTCAATAATTCTTGATCATGTATGGAAATATAAACGATTACTTCTCAAAGTAAAATTTAAGTGCAAAATATAGTTATAATCAAACAATAGAAAATTAAACACATAGTACCTACCAAAGAAAAACTAGAAAATGTAAAATTCCAATAAATATCCCAAAAATATTTTCAAAATATTTTCAAAATTGCACCATTTCTAGAAAAGACTGACATGAGTTTTTTGTCAAAATTTCAAATCTCTATGAATATTTTAAACTAAATTGCGATAAAAAATAAATTTAAAAATATTGAAACCATTAATTTCGTGGACTTTCCCGTTTTTTCTACATTTTTTTCCCCGGTTTTTTGACGACAGGCTCCTGAATTCTTGTTGTTGAACTCTCAATATTCCTCTTTGCTTTATTGAAATAAAACTATTGCTTGTAATCTTAAAAACTCCCATAGACACCATTTTGAACGGCCGGTCTCATGAAATAACCGTACGTGGTTTATAAAAACAAAACGAAAAACAAAAATGTAAGTAATTTTTAGCTTCTGAAGACCGCGTGTTTTGTGCACCGTAACGAATGGATATAATTCTCTACCCACGTGCGCATTGGTCAACAGTGTCGTTCTTCGAGTTAACGTGTCGTTTGTCACGTTCGAATCGAACGATAGTTATAAAAAAAAAAAAAAACAAAATTCAAAAATACCATACGATTCGAAACCATGCGTAGCTTATTATCGCTATAGTATACGAATTTTGAATGCACTATAATTTGACACGTCGTAGTAATCATTATTTTGCTGGACGTCGTTGAAACTTGTTAGACTTTATACTTACATACCGGCCGGTGATGTGCGGTCAGGGCAAGCGAGGTACGCGCCGCATGCCCGCTCACAAAGGAATAAAAATAAATTTATTTGATTTATAATTTCAATGTGCCATATTGTAATATAGGTTTTTTATTTTTTATTTCTTTTGTCATTATATACTCGGTATTATGTCAATAATTACAGAAAAAATACTAAAAAATATATATTTATGTTACTTAGGTATGGAATACATTGACAGAAAGAAGCGCTCAAGATTTTGAATACCCAGCTTGTATCATTATTATAATGCGGTAAGGCGGAGTGAGCGTGATTTGAATTTGGAAGCGCTGTGTCGACCGATAAAACGGATTTTCTGATCCCGAATGTTCGATAATTTTTTTTTTTTTTTTTTTAGCGCTTTCTAAATTTCAATTACTATACCACTGTTACATATTGTAGACCGTGGCGCCTAATTAGCGGTGACACCGTACGAAAGCTCAAAGTTTCTGGAATTCGGGAACCAGTGTCTTACTTAAACTATGTCGATTACACTTATCGTTCATAATATTATTACGATACTCGGTATTTTACGACGAGCCCGTAATTTGATTGTCTACTACACTAACGTTCATAGAAAAAAAAAACATGTTCACATTTGTGTGACCGCCGATTTTCGTACTTGTAGATTACTTACACTGACTCGTTACATTAAATCCACCGTAGATGTGACCATTGAATACGCAAACAAAATATTATTTCTGCTCAAATAATAAATTATCTGTATTCTTTTTTCGTGGTTTTCTTAATTTAAAAAATACATCAAATATTGGCATAGTCATTCACACGTGACAATTTAACATAGTGACAATATTTTGTTCTAAACATAATATAAAATATGTTTTTTTTTCAATTTTTAAATAAGTTATATCTATTTGATGAACAAAATACTATATTTTGTAAGATGTTACGAATAAATAACAAATTAAAACGATAGTAATTTATTTGTTTGCTTCCGACTTGTAAAAATATATTACAAGGTTTTGTGAGTCACTTTATTGCATGTATAATGATCATTACACCATCTCGTCCAATCTTTCGGCAACAGGTTACTGTACAAATTATCCAATCGGTAATTGGTCACTTCTGTAAATGTCAATACGAAATTTTTCAATTTCTTGTTCGGAATGTAGGTCGATAAAGGCGACGCAACCCTGTAATGTACATACAAAATGTGAATTGAGCGCCAGTCTAGATATGACGGATCAAATAAAAACAAAAAAAAAAAAACTAGAAAAAATGCCTACCAATTCAACCAGATGAGCGCCAAATTAGGTTTCTTCGCACCAGCCAATTGACAGGATACCCTCTCCAGACATTTTTCCGATCGAATAATTTGCCCAAAGTTAGTCATTCCAGGAACCAATACTTCCAACGGATCTAACTGGCTTGTCCTCTTTCTAGATGCGTCCGTAAGTCCCTGGAGGTCTGTATTGGATGTAGGATAAAGGTCACCTGTGTTTGAATATGCACTTCCAGACGTTTGATCATTAAGTAATGCATACAAACGAGATAAGCGTGAGAAGAACATGGGCATGGTGAAGAACGATACGAGTGCCGGCAGGAGCATTGTAAGCTTGGTAAACTTGGATATCATCAGGAACTTCAAGAACACCAATATTATGAGCAATTTGAGCTTGAATACCACCAGAAGCAATGCTTTGATGAAACCCAGGGCCTTAAATTTAGCCATTGCGATCTTGACCATGGCTAGCATGCCTATCTTAGTCATATCAACGGACATCTTGTTGTTGCTGCTAGTGCTTGGGTGCCGAATCTCAGCGATTATGGGCAAAGGACGCGAAGCCTGTGCTATGTTTTCGTTGTACAAGCCCCCCATGTTACCGCCACCATCTCTCCATCCATTTCCAGGGTTCCTATAGTTTCCGTAATCGTATCCCATACCACCGCCACTACCCCCACTGCCAATGTTAAAAGCACTCCCGTAACCGGCCGATCCGTCTTCCTCCACAGTGATGTCTGCTTCTATGGGCGTCGACATGTATTTGTTTAGCTGCCTGTGATTGGTGTTATACCTGTCGACAAGCATTCTGACATTGAATTTATTAAAATCTATAGATATAACTATTATTTTTATAACAATAACAATAAAACAAGCCGGATATATTATGGAATTACTTTTATGAGTGGGAAGTTGGGATAGTAAAGTATATAGAGTAATCTGGTTTGTATATTTAAATCAAAGTTACATAATTTGGATACATGAATAATTGTAAACGGAATAGTATGGCCTACTTTTACTAGTTGTGTTTTTAAAATTTTTCCCTTTTATCAAATTAGCTTACCCATAAATATATGAAAATATAATAATAAAAATAAAAAAATACATTTATTAAAATACAATTTTTTAATTTATATTATAAACATAAGGGATCTAGAATATGTTTTCAAATAAATTATAATCTGTTAAAAAATTCGCATTTTCAAATGTAACTACGGCATTAACAAATTTAAACATTTTTACTAACTACAAAAAGTTTTTTCCAAACAATTATCCTCGTTCATTAATTAGAATATATAGGATTCTGGACACCTCAATATATTTCAGGTTTTATGAAAAATCTTAGGTTTAACAACATAATATTCTTTTAAAAAAAAAAAATGTAAGTAGTTAAATGTCCACAGAAAAAAAATATTGGTTTTACAATGATGTTTATTTATTTTTCTGTGGACAACTTTTCTAACAGCAATTTTTTTCCAATTTTCAAGTACAATACTTTTCCGGAAAGAAAGTTTGATTGGAGTAGTACTTTAAGAAGGTCATTTTTTGAGTCTCCCAGTTGTTCTCATAATAAACAGGAAAAACCGGGAAAAAACTTAGGAAAAAAAAAATTTACGAAATGAATTATGCTTTCAATTTTTGTTTTGAATTATTTTGATTCAATTAAAAGTGTTTGTAGAGATTTGAAGTTGAGTTAGAAACTTATATTTGCCTTTTATTGACGTGATAAAATTTTCAAAACATTATAACCATTTTTGATCTATTTTGAGACATTTTAATTTTACGAGGTTTACGGGTTTAGACCAAACAGAAATACAATAAAATAGAAATTTAACAAGAGATTCATTATAAGTTGTACTAAATTTTTGGTGAAAAAAAAATATTGAGTGTAATGTAGAATTTTTTTTTATAAGATTTTTATTATCAAAGTTTGATGAAAATTGTTTTTGTAAAAAAAATATTATTAAATATAATATATAATAAACAATGCATAATGCAATTATTTTACCATAATATGATATATATTGTTGACAATATAATGAACTCCGCTCAGAATTGTTTTTCGTTGATAATGGTCAATCGTTGCGTACAGATGTACATTCAATTTTCCCTCTAATTTCCCGAATTCTCACCTACAACCGTGGCCCACCCATCGTGCGAAGTATGTTCGTATTTTTATATTTTATATTATCTAAATGTGAATTTTATACCTGTTCCATTTCGGCATTCCACTGCCGCCACCGCCATTAAATATATAATCAGTAGGTTGGTCGTCCTCGAATTCCATTTCTTGGTCGTTCTTGCCGAAGCTTCCGTATGGATTCCTAATATGCCGGCCGCGCGTGACGAATCCGGATCCACCGGCCATCAACGAAGGATATGTTTTGGGACCGGTGGCCGCGACCGAAGCCTCCACAATCATGTCCGTATCCATTGATGGCAGTGTACGATAATCGTCATCAGAACTCAACTTCCGACCGGTCGGCCTGAGTTCAGGGAAGTTCATCTGTGGTGATAAATTTTCTGTCACAAGTCCCGCCTGGAGTTCTCTGGAAGTCCGGTTCACGGCTGATAGTACTTTGGTCGATATCTGTGCCGTGGTTATCGCAGGTCGAACGCTGGCTGACACTAAAACGACGGCCAACGCGGACGATATTACTACGGTCGTGGTCATGATGATTTTTAAGACCCTGTTTAGGCCACGTTTTCGATCCGTTTGCAGAACTCCACTCGGAATCGTGTCTATAAACCGAGAAAATATCGTTACGTAATTATTGATTTTATAAAATTAAATTTAATGTTTAAAATAAAAACAGTCATACAATTCCATAAATCTCACGTAGTTAAATATGAAATTATACCTATTCAATCTTGTATCATTGCTTCGAACTATACCGAGATTCTGAAGTGACTCGAGTTTGTGATGGTACTGACCCTGAAGACGTTTACGCAGTTTACTCGTCAACAAGTTCGGCGGTAGTGTTGTGGTCGGGTCAGTTTTCGTTGATTTGCGCAAAGACAATGTTGATGTTCGTGGGGGGTGGACTGATAACGGTTGTTAATTGGCCGGAATCTAGAACAATACCTACGAAATAAATGATTTCCGTCGATTTTTCTTTCGTCTCCATAATGTGCATTCCGAATCGGTGAACCGTAATACATACGCATGTGTATATTAAAAATTAATGCGTTTCTTCGTCACATTGTCACCAGCGGAGTCGAACTGACTAAATACCGTATAAATATGAAGGCGGTCTTCGAAAAGAAATCAGCAAACATATTGTTATGATGACGTGTAATGTAAAATTCTATTATATGGAATTTAAAATCTTTAAAAGCTGGATACACTTTGCATCATGTGTATGTCACTGAAATCAACGATAAATCACTGTAATCAAAAAGAGATTCTAAGCGGACCTTAGTAAATGGTAAAATTATAGTATAACAGCGCCGCCTCCCCCTTTGTGATTAAATACACAATGTGACCCAGAAATCGATAAAAATAAATATAATGTGTCGACATATTTTGCCATCATTTAAATTTTTTGGAAAACATTATGGGAATCTAGAAAGATTTGTTTAAACCAACTATTAACCTATGTTAAATCTTTTAATGTATAATGTAAATAACTCAGAGCGTGTTTACTATACCTAATTGAAAGAGTTTATGCTAAGAAAAAACAATAGCCATATCTTAACTGTAAACTTAATTTAAGTATAAAAATTGACTTGACAACATTTCTGTCATCAAATCATAAAATTTGGATTATCTTCTGAATAATACAACATTTATTTTATATTTATTTTGAATTTTATGTTTATATTTTTGTATTTTTAACGATCGGTTAGTTTAGAACATAACCAAACTATAGCTAGGTTCTGGTCTAACTATATGGTAATTCTGGTTTGACAACATTTTTTAAAAGTTTTGATTTGATATAATAAGAATCAAGGTTGAGTAAAACTACTACACAGGATTAACAGGGTATTATAAATACAAAATGTAATCATATTTTCTCGGAAATTTAAAATAAAAAATATTGCCCTTCTAAGTCAATTCCAGTTACTTTCACTCTACCTCCAATTAATTCTCTATTAATCTCAACCTATGCCATATAAATTTTAAATCATAAACAAACGAAATAAATTGGTTTAAATTTGATAGATTTCTCACTTGCCCTCCCACCTTGAATGCTAAACGCAAAGCTCTATCTTTAACTATTCAGTCTTCTAAAACCAAAATGCACAATTTTCTTCGATTATTCTTGAGACCCATGAGTGTTATTACGATATTTAACTGTACAGTTCAGTCAATCCGTCGAGTATAAAAACCATACAGTTAATTCAATTAATATACGTATGTTTGACTCCAGCATCCTCTTGATATGTAACTAATGATATTAGCATCATAACATTAACATAAACATAAAGTTGCTTATCTAACCTACAAAACCGCATAAGGCATTTAATACATGGACGCTACATCCCCTTATCAATATAGTCTCATTAAAAGTAAATACTCTACTTAAATGGCTGAAAAAAAATTGGCACAGAGTCCTACTTTTTCGATAAAAATTATTCTTTAAGAGATAAGCGCCTCATTTCCCTTATCTTCTCTATACTTATTTGCATTATATCACATTTGCTCAATGTATCGTACCTAATTATAGATATTAAATATAGTATAAACAATAAAAATGTTATTTTATAAAAAAAAACCCAAATTGTTTTTTTTAACTTTACCACATTATTAATTTGGGTCACCGTAAACATACATTAATGTATACCTAATTATATACCCTTTAATAAGACGATTTAATAGATTTGCATAAACATATACTTACTTAAAAAAATGTATTTAAACTTTAAAATGAAACAAAAATAGAAAAACTAAACTGCCAATCCAACATTTCATCTGTAACCTATGGCAGAACACCGTATTGATCAAATCACTGCAGAGTATTACCTATATATAACCTTAAAGGTTTTGATTTTTGCGCTATTTTTAATTTTTTCTGTGTAAGAGTTTCAAAAACGTTCTGATATTCTCTTTCTTTCTATCATACCTTCAATAACTACATTATACAACTATTTTGGGCGTTTCAGGCCATTTTTTTAATGCCTTAATTTAATCCATAATTGAACGTTTTTTTTTTTTTTTACAGTTCTAAGTATTATTTAATTTGTTTTCTCTTTATCAGACGTTTCCTTATCAAACGTCTCAATCATCATCCCTTAAAGGATTCTAGTTTTTTCTTTTAGTTATTCTTTTTGGTATTTATATTTTATGATGTTTCATTAAAATTTATCAATGTTATTTACCAATTAACCTATATTTCAATTGTCATAAAAAATTTAATTCAATATTTCAATGTTATAACATAACTGATAGTTCCTAGAATTTAATAATGTGTAGGTAACCAACATAAAGAATCAAAGGACCACTTAGCATTAAGACATATTCTATATCACTGTACTAAAATATAGTATAAATATATTTGTTTTTCTTATAATTTTGAAATAGATAATTATATCAAATTAAAATATCAAATATAGATTTTCGTAACGAGAAAATATTATAAAATTACGCCCACTATAATTAACAAGTAAAAAATAATGGTTCTCCAATAATTGTTTTTTTTTATCATCGAGAGCTAAATGTACCTCATGGTAATTATAATAATATTTATTTTTTCTTTTGTTGATTGAATTTAATTTAATAGTTGAAGGAAAATAGATATGATTATTAGTAGGTTCAAACATTTGAAGATCTATTAATGAGATCGGTTTATGTTATTACACCAAAAAAAAAATAAATATATTCAGAAAATGGGAAAAACTGCATAGAGTTCACTGCGATCGGTATGTGTGCATATTCAGTACCAATTATTGTCAACTTTTGTAGTACTAAATGTAACTATGTGAGTACATTAAATGCACTGAAATGTACCTCAACAACACAGAGTTTTATCGATTTAAGTAAAAAAGATATTTGAAAATATTGTTACACACACCGATCTCGATGATAATTATTATTCATTTATTTGGAATAAATAGAAACTAATTGTTTTTTTTTGGAGGAAAGTAAATGGTGTAGGAAATTGGTTCCAGCCCTCATTAGCGTGGAAATAACGGCCAACGACTAAAATAAATAGAATACTTATTGACGATTTTATTTCTGCTTAAGCAACAATTTCTCATAAAGAGGTATTTTTTTATGCTCACGATTTTAATCACCTTAATTACAACAAAAATAGTATTATACTCGCACCGTTTACGTATTAATTTAAATACAATAGTATAAGTAATAGTACAAGTACAATATTTTGTTTTTCTAAACTTGATATAAAATGAATTTAAAAAAAAATTAAAATAGTTTATGATTCTATTAAACCTAAAATAAATACGATTTACGAATAAGAAAAATAAACAATGAATATAAATAAAACGATAGTAATAATATTCGTTCGTTCCTATTGGTTATAATATTTATTAGCTTTTTTTAGTTGTTTCGTTGCACGTATAATGATCATTACACCATTTCGTCCAATCGTTCGGCAACAGATTACTATACAAATTATCCAAACGGTAATTGGTCACTTCTGTAAAAGTCGATACGAAAGTTTTCAATTTCTTGCTCGGAATGTATGTCGATAAAGGTGACGCTATCCTGTAATAAAAAATAAAACGTGAATTAAACGCCGGCTAATTGTACCTTTTTTTTTTTCTTTATCAAAACAACAATCTACAAAAAAAGTCCTCACCAATTCAACCAGATGAGTGCCAAACTAGGTTTTTTTGCACCAGCCATCCTACAAGAGACCCTTTCCAGACATTTTTCTGATCGGATGATTTGTCCGATGTTAGTCATTCTAGGAACCAATGGTTCCGGCGATTCTGTGCGGCTCATTCTTCTTCTAGATTCTGAATCTGTTTCTGTAGACTCCTCAGATGTAGAAGGTGTAACTGAACCTGTCATGGTGGCCGGGACATTACTACTACTACCACTACCAAAGTTGTTTGGTACCAAAACTGGTTGATTAATTAACGAATGCAAACGGGATAGACGTGAGAACAACATAGGAATGGTAAAGAACGACATGAGTGCAGGCAGGATCATAGTGAGCTTGGTGAACTTGGCTATCATCAAGAACTTCATAGCTACCAGAAGTATGAGCAGCTTGACCTTGAACATCACCAGAAGCATGGCCTTGATGAAACCCAGAGCCTTGAGCTTGGCAATGGCGATTTTCATCAAGGCTAACATACCGATTTTGGTCATGTCGATGGACATCTTGTTGCTGCTGCTGCTGCTGCCGCTGCTACTCGGGTGCCGGATCTCGGCGATAATGGGAAGTGGGCGCGATGCCTGCGCTATTGGTTCGTTGTACCAGCCCATCATACCACCACCACCGTCCGCCCATCCCATTCCGGGATTCCTGTAATTCCCGGAATCGTATCCCATACCGCCTCCAGGGTTCCTGTAATTTCCCGCATCATATCCCATACCACCCCCACCACCGCCAAAGTCGAACGCACTTCCGTAACCGGCCGACCCGTCCTCGTCCACAGTGATGTCTGCTTCTATGGGCGTCGTCATAAATTTGTTTAGCTGCCTGTGATTGGTGTTGTACCTGTTGATAAGCGCATTATCAATAATACATTTAAAATTCATAGTCCTTTTTTTATTATTATTATAACCTATCAAGATATCATTTTTTTTTTTTTTACTTTTTCAGTATATATGTTTATGACATATAAATATATTTCCCTTGATAATACAACATTTTCTGGCGTTTCGTTACTACTCGATCAAGTTGAAGAGTTAATATCACGCAAAGTCTTTAAGTCAAAAAACATTGTCGAGTAAATTAATTATTTACATTAAATAAATGGAAAACCCTTGACATCAAGTGGATTATTTTATAAATTCAGACCATAGTGAGCAATGTATTGGTTTTGTAATGATGTTTATTTATTTTTATTTTTTTCCTATGAGCAACTTTTCTACCAGAAGTCTTGCTCTAATGCATCTTTTTTTGAAGGGAAATTTTATGTTTTTGGTACTTTGAGTAAATAATTTTTCGATTTTCCAAATGGTTTTCATAACAATTGGGAAAAACTGAGAAAATGTATGTACTTGTTTAAACAAAACTACTTCGCTCCGAACAGTTTTTCGTTAGCAATGGTCTATCGTTGGGTAGTTAAATGTCCCTTTATATCCTACCTTCCCAACTTTTCACATGCAACAGTTGCCCACATACCATATGAAGTATGTCCCTCTCTTTAATATGTATTATGATAACTTAATTAGAACTGTTTTATAACGAACGGGGCATAACATATGATATGTAAATGCACGGGCAAATGACACAAAACGAAAATCCGACGACGGGTCTCAATTTTTTTCATTATTACTATTTTTTTTTCAACTTTTTTAAAATACCTTCATTTATTAAACTATACTCGTCATGTCCATAAAAAAAAAAAAAAAGGTTTACAGAAACTATTATTTTTATATTATTAATTCTGCAGCGGGTACATAGCGGGTCCTATTCTAGAGGTGTATTTTTTTAGTCCTGGTTAAAAAGAGCCGTTATTTTTTCGTTAGTTTAAACATATTCCTATTATTTACTTGTCATTATTTAGATATTTGTTTTTTTAACGTTACCAAAAGCATTTTTTGCCTAATTTTAGGTATTATAAAAAAGGTTAAACGTGAGTCACTATACTGTCTAACACATTCGAGGAAGGTTTTTTTTATTTATTTTTAGTTAAAAATTTCGTTTTAAAAATCTTATCGTCAGTATAATCGGAAACGTTTTATAAATGTTGCTAAAATAATTATTATTATATTTTTTATTTTTTTGAATTTATGATAATAACATAAATGCTGATTAAAAATTGTATGCGGACCCGCGGGTGCCCTATTCACGTGTTGTTTATTTCGAATAATAATAATTATCAAAGTCTAAAAACGCACGCGAAAAAAAAGTAATTAAAAAGAACGGATGAGGAAATAATCGTAAGTTTTATCTTGAAATGAAATATGAAGTTATAACCATTTTTTTACAAAGTACCTACCAAAATTAAATTAATAATAATTTCCTTTAGAGTTATAAACTTTTGATTTTGATTTCAATAGGTTTTATTGCTTAAATAGTTGCTTTAAACTGGTTAGTTTTGTTTTTTGAAAATATAATATAAAAAAAAAAAACAAACAAATTAACAATCAATACTCAAGAGGCTAAACACAGTAATTTCGGCGGTCGTCATAACCGCACAGTTTCAAAAAAGGTCTTCGTTCAAAGCCGCACATTTTTATGTATAGTTTTTCCAAAATGATAACTTTCAATACTGCACTGATTTTACTTTGAAACTTATCGAATGTGATTTTGCCCAATAAATCGAGGATTATTTTCGATTAAAATTGTCCGAGTGCATCGAGCGAGTGACCTCATTGGGTCTCTAATTCCACATATAATGTTTTTCACGGCCAATCAAATGTATGCGGTTTTGAATTATCGATCTATCAAATTTCCATTTTTAACAATGGGCACAATGTGTATGGTATTGAATAATGTAAAATGTGCGGTTATGAACAGTAAGTGTGGAGTTTTCAACGACGCTCATTGATTTATTTTTAAGATTTTAATCACTCTATTAATAAGACAATAAAATTTGCATTTATATTTTACTGTAAGTACCTTAAAGTTACAAGTAAGAAATAATATATTCAAATGAATTATAATTAATTGTTAATTCTATTGCTATTCTGAATTCGTATTGAGATTGTAGTTTTGAAATCTATTAATATCAATGATATTCCCGAAAATGATTTATCAATCAACCTAAAAGCCATTGAAGACTACCCAATATTTATTGTTCGAAAATGGAAAATACTAATTACTATCGAAAACGGATTTCGCACCTGTTCCATTTTGGCATTCCACCGCCTCCGCCACCGGTGAACATAAAATCGGCGTGTTGGTCGTCATCAAATTCCATTTCTTGGTCGTCCTTGCCAAAATTTCCAAACGGATTTCGAATGTATCGGCCGCGCGTGACGAACCCGGCCGGCGCGCCCGTCGTCAGCGAAGGGTATACTTTGGGTCCGGTGGCCGTAGCCGAAGCTTCGACAACCACGTCCGAAGTCATTGACGACAGCGTGCGATAATCGTCGTCGGCGCTCAATTTCCGACCGGCCATCCTGTGTTCCGGGGAGTCCGAGGTAGAATTTTCTGCCACGGGCTCCACACGGAGTTCTCTCGAAGTCCGGTTTAGGGCCGACGGTACATCAGTCGATACCTGCGCCGTGGACACCGTCGGTCGAACTGTGGCAGATACTAAAGTGGCGGCCAACGCGGTCGCCATTACTACGGTCACGATGGTTACGGCCATTTTCAAGACGCTGTTCCGACCGTGACTTTGATTCGTCTGCAGAATAGCAATCAGGACCGTGCCTGTAAACTGAGAAAATAACGTGGTGTTATGTTGTTTTTTTTTTTTGTTCTTTTTCTAAGTTCGACGGGTGAAAAACTAAAAAATCCCATGAAACTCCCGAAAGGTATATGAGCACGTACTTAATATTCAATCGTGCGCCATCGCCGAACAATACTGTGAATCTGAAGTGACTCGAGCTGTAGAGTTTGTGACCGTACTGACCCCGGTGACGTTCTCGGCGTTTACCTCGTCGACAAGTTCGGCGTTTTTAGTGTTGCGGTCGTGTCGATTATCTTCGGGCCCGACGCAAAGACAATGGCCGGTGTCCGTGGGGGTAGAGCGATCGGTGTGGTTATTAATTGGCCGGAATCTAGAACAATACCTAAGGTCGAGATAAATTACTTCCGACGGAAAGATGTTCTTCGTCGTCGGCAAGGTAGTCAAATCGATCGTACACCGTATAGCAGGGGTGGCAAAACGGTCGGTCGCGATAATATCGATCTCCTTTTGTTAGAATTAATTTTAATACAATTAATAGACGAATCGCAATCGCCGATCATTTTTATTTTAATAGGTTGTTTGCTGTTGGTTTAATCGAATAATTCAGTTCAACAGTAGTAATTACACTGTCAATTTTATTTGATTATTAATATTATAAGTATATATTACAGTCTTATTAAAAGTGTGATGAAAATTATTATTTAAATATAAATTTAAATTTTGTTATTTGTTCATTATGTATGTTTTTTATTAATATTTTATAATTAATAATAATAGTATACGTTTTTTTTTTTTTTTTTCAAAGCCATAAAATTCATAGGAAATTTACGCATCTTCCGTCATCATGTGTTACAAAGTTGGTTGTTGACTAACGGTATATTTTACATCCATTTTGTATTTTAAACGTGATAGTTATTATTATTTTTATTTAATTTTTGATTCTGGTAAGATTTGAAAAAACCCAAACTTTTGGGATTTTATCGAGATTTTTTAAACCAGTTAGAAACTTAACTATTTTAAGTTGGTGATCAACGTAAAGAACTAAATGTCTATTCAATTTTTAAATTCTGAATGGAGCGAGAAATTTCTTGGTTTTACAAAGATGTTTATTTATGTTTAGAATGAAAATCTGACCGAAATGGTACTTTAGGGAGATCATTTTTTGATTTTTCTCATAATAAATGGAAAAATCAAGGAAAAAACGCAGGAAAAATTGAGTGTGTTATGTTTTCAATTTGGGTTTTGTTTTATTTTGGGAAAACTCATATTTTTACTTTGACGTGGTAAAATGTTTAAAACATTGTAGCCATTTTTGAGCTATTTAAAGACACATTGATTTGACGGAGTTTTTTTATGTGATTTTTGTTCGGTACCTAGGTACTATGTAAAAAAAAGTTGACATGCTAGACAATTTAAAAGGAGGTTCATAATAAGTCGTACTTTGTGGTTTAAAAATTGAGTTTAATATAGTATTTTTTTTTTTATAAAAATCTTAATATCAAATTTTGATAAAATTCGTAAATATTACGGCCTAATTTATAAATATTAGAAAGCAACACTATTAACCGAATTCCGTTTAAAATCGTTTTTAATTAGAAACGGTTAATCGTTGCGTACAGATATATATGATTACATTTCCCCTCAAATTGCCCAACTTCTTATCTACAACAGTGTCCGAACTATCGTGCGAAGTATGTCTATCTTTTTCAACATCTATTTTTAGAAAATTTAAGAAACAAGCAATTCTAAAATGTTAAATTTTGGTTATTTATTGTTTTTTTTATTTTTGGTTGTAAAACAACTATGCACTTTTAATTTTTCTTATAGCAACCATTACCTATTAAAAATTGTACGCAGGTAAAGTATATTTGTCAAATATCTGTGTCAACCTACTGACGAAATATTTTGTTTTTATGTTTGTCGTTTTGTGGCTACTGAGAGAGTGGTGGAGTGCTATTCAAATACCACGCACTGCACAATCATACTAATGATACTCCCCTACTCTCCACTTCAAGGCTCAAATAAATAAAATAAAAAAAAACAGGATTGTAAGACATAAAAAAAATTTAGTGTCCCTTGCAATTTTTGAACTCAACCCAACCCATGGGTTAGCCCTCCATACCGCTCACATTAATTTTCAAACATAATTCAGAAATGTATAATTTCCGAAAATAAACACTACCTACTGCAGATTAACATTTACTTACATAGTAACTACTGAATTTTCCCTGCAGTTTTCTCAATAAATGGGAAAAATTGGAAAAAACGAACGGAAAACAGAAAAATAAGTAAAATATTAAACAAATATTATTAAAGAAAATATATAATGCATATGTGATTATTTTACCATAATATGCCATATATATTGTTGACAAAGAAACACTATAAACCGAACTCCATTCAGAATTGTTTTTTCGTTAGTAATGATTAATCGTTGCTTATATATATATACACATTAAATTACCTACAACAGTAGCTGCACTAATCCCCATTATTCTAGGAGAGCTTTTATTTTTTTTTTTTAGCTTTTTTAGAGCAGCGAATAATTTATTTAGTTATTAATCTTCAAATTTTGAATATTCTTCATGATATAATCAATATACTGTGAACATCTCCAATTATTGTCTTAACTCTTAAATGAACTTTTATGTCTTATAATATTGGTACGTTATCTCTTATAGATTGAATAAAGTATTTCCACAATTTCTGTGTTTCCTTCATCCTATCTAATACCTCTTCGTATATAACCTTCATAGTTCACTATTCTCCTGTAATACCACATCTCAAAGGTTTCCATACTACTTTTTTTTCTATTGAGAATTGTGCAAGTTTCGCATCCAAAGAGCGTCGTTCTTATAATTCACTTATTTTTCGTTTATCTAAGTTATTTATTATACATTCCTGAATACATATTTTTGTCAATAAATGTCCGTTTTCCTACGGTAGCGTAATATACGTAGTAATTCAATCGCGTTACTATTATCGTGCAATTGCACAAAGACATACAAATTTAAACCAAACGGTGTATACTCTGTCACTTGTCGATCGATTCAATTCGATCTATCTCCTACAGTGCGTTCCAAATTTAGCAATCAATGTCCAAGACGATAGGTACTTAATCGTTTTCGTCTTGAGTCTTTCAAGGAAATATTGTCGTGCGCGGTAAAACGTCGTGTTTAAACACTTCAAACGTATAATATCGAATGACGGCAAAACCACGAGTATCCGAGTATAGGTGTAATTACTATTTATTATCGACGTGAAAGTATAATGGAACACCATACACGATAAAATCCAAAAGATAAATTTCCCTTGAAAACCGCAACCGGCGAATTATTGTCGTTTTGGGGGTCTTCTATACATTCGTTAAATTAATCTGTCACCGTCATTCGTCTTGTGACCGGAAAACGTATTTTAGGTCGTGGGTAAGTCAAAAACAATTTGTTTTTCCCCCTAATAATCATTGACCTTATCGCCGGCATGTCGCATAATAATATGTCCTTTGGCACGGTCTTATGGCGTCTGTACAGGAAAAGGATGTGGCGGGAAAACTCAAAACCGATTTTACAAAAAAACAAAAATATATTTATTTTCATAATAATAATGCACGAATACAATAAATTAATTAAACTAAACATAAATGTAGAACGTAATCGCCAAACTATAATAATATTAATAAATTATCGAAAACCTTATTTTTATCATAAAATGTAGGTCGACGAATATAATAATAATAATATTATTACTAGCGCTTGCAGACTATTCGCAATAATAAAATTCTTTTATCGGACGATTAAAAAATATAAATAAAAAAAAACATTTGTCGAGGACGGACAAACGATTTTCGTGATGGTACGCATATATCATAATAAGAAACGAGTATGGCGGCCTTGAGGGGCCGCCGATCATCAGAATCCGGCCAAGTCCACCAGAGCCCTCGTGTTCCTCTGCAACGATTTCTGAGTACTTCGACACGGGTACCGGTACTCCGAACACACCGAATTGACCAGGTTCTCGTCCTCGCCTTCGCCTATCCCCAATCCAGTCTCTGTGCCGTAGTTGTACGCTTCACGGTATTGCTTCAGCTTGTCCCTGATCGGCTCATTGTTCTGGACCACGCGGAGCGTTTGCAAAAATTTCAGCACCCTGTAATACACGAATCACTTTATTAACATGAACTACAGGTACGCTGCACGAAATGCGCCTAAGTGTAAACACAACTTCTAAATGCATTGTTGTGGTATTCTAGTGTTATTATATTAACATATTAACAAATGGTAGCAACTGCAGTTCACAATAACCGATAACATCGAATTTTCTTATACTTTTCCAACAGGTAGGCTTTACTGTTATTCTTGACCTCTAAATTGCCCCACTTGTATATCCATCGTGCACGCATACGCTCTCCCGCAATTTTTTCCCAATATACTCATAGACTAGTATATTTTATTAATTCCAGCTTCTTATCGAACACGATTACAAAATATTGATAATATTAATATTCTAATATTAATAATGCCATTTTCACTATTTTTTCTACCCCTAAATTTGTTAGCGAGAAACTGGGTTGGTGAAATACAAATGGGGCTCACGAAGTAAAGTATCTCTAGCTATTGTCTTCTTTTGTTTCGAAGCACGACGTAAGTCGTTAAATCGCCAAGTCGTCACCAGACCGACACGAGATTTCAGTAATTTATTGTGACAGACATTATCTGCTCGATAGTAAGTACTTCATTTTAGATTCTGAGCGAAGCGAGGAATATAATGGTTTTATAATAATGTTTGTTTTATTTTTATTTTTGTTATCTGTGAACTTATTTTCTACCAAAAATTTTAGTCCGATTTACAAGAGTAGCATTTTTTTATGAAAAAAAATCTTCCTAGAATTGTACTTCACTGAGATCAACTTTTCCAGGGGTTTTTATAATAAGAAAAATTTTCGAAATTTATTATTTTTAAATTGTAAATATTACGGCCTTAGAAGAATTGTATAACCGAACTCCGCTCAGAATTGTTTTTCGTTAGTAATGATTAATCGTTGCATACAGATACACATCAAATTTCTGCTCTATCATTCTAACTTCTCCCCTGCAACAGTGGTCCACCCATAATGCGAAGTATGTCCGTTTGTTTTTTATCCTTATTTTACTGAAACCACGAATGATTATATGATGGCTAGCGAGTTGATTGAAATTTAAACATGAAATTAATGTACTATAAACACGGTTATAATCGTATATATGGCATACGCAAATAAAAACTAATTATTAAAACTAATAATTCGGAATTCGTCGTGAAATGCTCGGATCGATATCTTGTTTTCATCTTGTTTGGCGCCAAGCTGTCGTGAAAACGGATACCTACGTGAAAACTGTCGTCAGTGCATACGCGTTTCTACTGCAATACGATGAAATAATAATATAGCGGATCTGTTGAATTTGATCTCAATAGTCGGTCTGTCGCTCGATATTTGAATTTGGTTTTTTTTTCTTTTATTTGTACGTATTATAAAAAGCCTTTATCGAAGCAAATCAAAACGGGTAATTATTTACGGCCGTGAACAACATTATTGCGTGGGTAAACCGTTTAAGTGAACGTTAAAATATTAATAGTTTCAATTTAAAATATTGTAATTTTCGTTAAAATAACGACTGCGCGTTAAGAGCAATTAATAAAAAAATTAAAAAGTAATTAAAAAAAAAAAAAAACATTTTTAAACAAAATCTAACAGTTTCAATCGACTCAAGTTCAGGATTTTTAAAAACGTGAAGGACAATGTATATTAAAAATATAAATTTCAGTTTTTTAACCAATCTCATCTACACAATAGTGTATCCAGGAATTTTGAACGGGAGTTTATATAATAGATATTAATCATGTTTCATAAATAAATTATAGAATATTTTTTTATTATACCTATAGGCTATATCCTTATAGTGATACTTCGAAAGACGGATCCGAAAAAACTAATTCGTATTCAATAAATCAAGCTTTTACCTCTGAACTTGGTTGAAACATCATATTATAATTTCAAGATAAAATTATTAAATTTAAAAAGTTAGTAATCATGGTTGTTGTAATTTCAAGCCAAATGGAGCACATAACCCCAAACCTCCTTATGCACGCCAGCCCGTTGAAGGGTATTGTATTTAAACATTGTTAGATATTTTTTGATATTATAAATATAAAAGTATAATTATATTCGATTCCCCTAAATGACACACGCATTCTCGTATTTTTATGATCACCCGGAAAATTTAAAATTTCAGGTTTCTTTTGCCCAAACAAAAGCTTCTCCGGATTTTGTAGTTTTACCATTAGTTTACCGTGTTCAACTAATATCTTTATTGAGTTCAATTAATCTTTTCGTCAACCAAAGCTCAACCGAGTTATAATCAATTTTAACTGGATCCAAAATCACCTGTGCCAGACTGTATAATTCGAATTTAAAATAAAATGAAGAAACAAAAAACAGGTTCACTATAGTTATACCGCTCTCTTTCTCAACCCATCTTTAATATTTATTTATTTATACATATAAAAATATAATGTAATAATGATATATCATTCGTCGGACACGTTTTCTTCGCCGAAACCATATTTTTATTTTATTTTTTTTTATGAAATCGTCGGAGAAGTGTGTTATTACGAAGAGTGTAAAATACGGGGTGAGAGGGGGAAGGCAGGAATTATACCCCGACACCGGTCGAACGTATCGAATTATCTGATTATTATAACGACTACCTATATACTCGTACAATACAAATTTTTATTTTTTAGTTTGCGCTCGTTCTAAACGCGTGTTACGTTCATTGTTTGTCGCGGTATATTATATATACGTGATATTATTATTTCGTTCGTTAGCCCACATAATATTGTAGCGGGTACGTCATTTTTACCGGTTATCGATCATATTCGCAGTCGATTTGATTCTGCACTAAAAATGGACGCGTTTCAATAACTGGTTAATATTTTAATAAGTTTGTACACGACTACATATTATTCCGTAGTTTTATTTTTTTCTCAAGAATATCAATGTTATAGGAAACATTTTCGGTAACTCTGAAATGTCCTCGTGTTTTTATCTGAACATTCGATCCCTGTATAATATATATTTCGTGTGAATTATTTCACATGGTCGCAAACACAAATGCAATGTACCACTAGTATACCGTGCTAAAGTGCACGGAACAATACAATAATAATTAACGATATAAAATGTTATTTTCGTCGACTTTCACCTGCAGCGCTTTACAATGGAAAATAAATATGCAAAAACTGTAAGAATCGTTATTTGTCGCGGTGATTTATCCGGCGATAGGTTCCACGGTGTAGTTTGTCGCACCGCTGGCTCATATTATTATTTCGTGTGAATCGTTTTTTTGATTAACGCGTTTAAAATCCGCCCGAAGCGTATTCATAATATTATTCCGACGACGCAGCATGCATCGCGTAATGATTATAATACTTACGAACTAAATAGAAACTATCGTATTCTCTTACGGTCGAGTGTACGATAATAAATGACGATAATGACAATTTACGTTGCCGAGATTCACTTTTAAATAAAACAATTAAAATACGAAAACTCTTTCACTTTTATCACAATAACAATATAATAATGGAATGCAGCTGTCACGATTCAATTATCACTCGCCTTAAACCTTTTCGCCTCTTATAAATACGATAATCCGTTCAATATGTCTTTATGTAACTGCAGGATGTAAAAATATCGTTTAACGACACAGTATTGTCAAAAATAAAAATCAGAGAGATTTTGCACCACGGGTATCCGCATAAAACCAAATAAAAAGTGAAAAACCCGAAAATAACAGAAACTGTTATCATATGCAATTTTCTAATTTCGGACTTTTTTCACAGTTATCATGAAATCTACAAAGAAAACCAACAAGACGAACTTGTCTACAAAAATACTTTCTATCCTTTTTTACCGGAGCAAAGATTTCTTGTGGAAAAATCGTTAGCAGACAACAAAGAAAAAAATATACAGAAAAAAACACATAGTATATATATATATATACTATGTGTATATATGTGTACTATATATATATTCCAATATATTCCACGTTACGATCAAAAGCTCTCAAAAAGTACCCCCCCTTCCACCAAAAATAAGTAAAAAAAACACTATCCACTTTTGATATCTTTCTGGTATTTTATGGCCGAAAAAAGACTCGAAATCGTTAAAAACAGACGGAAAAAAAAACATATAATTACTTAAGTAAATTCGATTGATTTGACGCCCCGCACAGAATCTAAAATATAATATGGTCGACAACTTTAAAAGAATAATAAATATATACTCATATATTTCCTCGAGAATTTTTTTCGTATGTTTTTACGAATTTGCGGGTTGCGACGTGCCGTCACTAAAAATCTCAAAAAATATCGTTCGGAATACGAATATCAAACCGTCGTAAAAAAAAAAAAAATAACACGAAAGAGGGGAAAACATTGTCATTGAAATCACAGACTTAACTTTGATCCACTATACATCATAGCGTATACTTAAGTCATCAAAACGACCGATGAATAATTCACGCGCGTGGGTTTAAAGTTATTCCGCGCCTTTTTGATGTCTGACGCTCCACTTGTATAGCGCGCCGTACGAAACCATCACGTCGTCATCTATCATTTTTGCGAATGTTTTTGGAGAAAACGACGTATACTTACGGCTTAAAATTCGTATTGTATATAATATGGGTCGTTTTTTATTTTTTTTTTATAAGGCCAAAGTGACTATCTACTACTATATGGCTGGTACCGTTCGCGTTTTTTGTTTTTATTATAATTACCACTGTTTCATATTTTTTTTAATTTATCAATATTTAACGAGAGAAAAAAATCCTCTTAAATCCGCTTAAATTCGCTTAAATATTCTCGAATTTATTATAGAAATTGCATACACACAAATTTGTTATCGAAAGCGTAACTAAATCTTAAAAAACGACGTTGAAAAAAAAACGAGTTAATACGGCTGACAGGTGTGCCCCAATATTGTAAGTGGAAAGTTGGGAAGATAAAATACATAGAGTTATTTTATTTATATTTGAACGCAATAGTTGTCATTGAAATACGATTTTGAGCGAAGTTCTGTTAAACAATATTATGTTTTCTGATACATAACCATATAAAAAAAAAAACTTCTACATGGCGTTTAAATTGTTTTTCATTACTGGTGATGTAAGTGGTACTTAAAAATACCCTGAGAAAATTTCAGGTACCTACAAATATTTTTAACTACATGGAAAATCTAAAAAACGATTTCCAACCGAAAAGATGTTACAATTAAGAATCAAAGTAAAATATGTGGTAGAGAATATTTCGCAGACACAAAAAAAAAAAAAACACCACGGTAAAACCAAAAGATTCCTCGCCACGCTCAGAATCTAAAGAAAAAAAAAAACAAAAACGTTTATCGGATTTGAACAGTCTCTGCAATACGCGACGGGAGAACGATAAAAGCGAAAACGTAATGATATTATATTATTATTATTATCAACATGACAAAGATTTCTGCGATACACTTCGGGAGGTTCTTCCACCGGTTCATTGTCCGCTATCAAAAGACTCAATAAATCTGGTATCGGCCCTAGGATTTAATAATCCGAACAGTATAATATTATTATTATTAATTCTGCAGCGGCACACTACAGCCGTGGCGTTAATTTCGAATTAGAAATGGTCGGGAAGTAAAACAATATTAATATAAACCGTATAAGTTTATAAAACGAATTGAATGACGAATGGTTGACGTCGTTAAGAAAATACAAAAAAAAAACCATACGATTTGTACCGTGATGTCGATATGAAGTACATTTTTGTTTTCAATTTTTTATCGTTTCCGATTTATAATAGTAAAATACAGAAAAGTAAAACGTCGTCGGAGTAATTATTGTATTGTGTTATTAATACGCGGTAATAAATCACTAACTAATATCGATGGAAAAAAATGAGTAGCATTAGATTTGGAACGATATTTCAGTCCGAGATAGTTTCTTCGAACACATTTTTGCTCGTCTCTGTTAGAAAAATATAATATAAAAAAATAAAAGTTTTTTTTTTTTTAATTAGACCGAAAGTTTGTACATTAAAAAATACATATTTGCTTAAATAAATTATACAATTCGAGCGACTTTTTGAAACGAGAAAAAATTAATTACAATTTTCATACGACGGTTAATCATTGTTCATCATTGCTGGCTCACGTTTAATTTATCTTGTCGTAACAAATACGAATATTTCGGTAGGGTTTTTTCTTTTTTAAAACAGTTATTGATTATTAAATTAAAATTGATGAAAAAATACTAAAAATTTCAAAAACTTCCTCCCAAACGAATAGATTAGATGAAAAAATAAATTTACCATAAAACCGACCTTAGTTTCAGTGTGTTTTTCTGACAAAGTCGTAATAACAAACAGAAAAAAAATGTCATGTCACTGTTCAGAATCTAAGAATCTTAGAAATATATTATTTATTTATTTCTTCGGAGCACAACTTACAGTTTTGTTTGGCGTCATTAAAATATCCCAATAAATTTATTACTCGTTTTAAATCGCTTAATACAAAATATAATGTGTAACGAGTAAAAATATAGTCATACTACATGTATACAGTTGAGTAGTTGTAAATTGTAACATTTTTATAGTGGATCTAAAGCCTAAAGGAACCAATAGTAGGTATTTGTATGTACAAATAATAATACAACTTTAATCAGTCAAATTCCAAGTATACTAACTATAGCCTTATTAGGTTTTCTTTGTTAACTGACAATGCAAAAATACATAGGTACAGTTTGTAAGTATTTTTTTTAATTATTACCTGTATCTGTTTCTACTAGTTAATAACTACGAACAATCGTGTCAGCTCATTGAATACAACTTTTGTAAGTATTAATGATTTAGTTTAGGTATCGAGTACCAGAAATAATCACACATGTGTCTACCACACATAAGATACATCAACGGTGATTTGTTAAAAGAGCCTCCATCAAATTTCATTTTTTTTTTTTCAAGAAAAGCAAACAGTTTTTAATGATGTTAATAGTGGAAAACAATAAAATTACTCCCTGTAATAAACCTTGTACACAAATTATACATGCCGTGAATCTGGTATACGCCCTTTTAACAAATCAGTTTGGATTTAGTTATATTTTAAAAGGGCGCCAGCATATATTTTAGTCAATATTTCTAACTTAATTTTCTGTATTTAAATACACCCTTTTACCAGTTTATCATCCTAATTTCTCTGGTTTTTTGATACTAAAAACGCATTTCTCAATTTTTTTAGTATTACCAACTCCCTTTTAATAAAACATCATCGACTGATGTATTCAGTGGCATACACTAAGTTCGATTATGGGAGGTGGGTGACGGTAACTATTCCAACAATATATTAATGCATATATTATATAAAAAATATACATCATTTTAGATGTTTCTTTTTGTGTTGAGAGGAGGGTTAAATTAAACCTATAACCCCCTCCGTCGATACACCACTGCAAGTATTAAGTATTACCTACCATAAAAAAGTGGACTGACGATAAAAAAAAAAAATTGGCCTACTTACACGTTTTCTAACTAAATAATACGTTATGTATTTGTCAGTCAACTATATTCATCTATCAACCTAAAAACCAGATAATTCAACTTTATGAAATTTGTTCAGGAACAATAAAGAAATAATTTTAATTTTTCGGATTTAGGTATTTGATTTGTCACATAAACATTTTCTAAAAATATATAGGTATCTAATAAAAATATTTTTATATTTTGTATTGGGTTGGATTTATCTGATCGCTGCAATAAATAAATAATTATATATATAATACAATAATGTAACACTTATACCACTGATTGAGAACTATACCTATAAGATGACTTGTTGATGTTTAATCGGATTCATCTGATTGTTGTGCTCAAATATATGGGGCATTTTTTTTTCTTTAAACTATATACTCTAAAAAGGAATATTTTTGAAATTGCTGGAGTCAACATTAACAGCGGTGGTCAAATAATTTTATCGTGGGAAGGGAAGGGGATGATGCTGATTGTTTAACAATTATTATTATATTATGGAGAAAAATTTAGGAGGCAGAACTGAAAATTTGATTTAGCGAAACTTCGAATTTTCGAGGAGAGACAAAAATAAATAATTCGAATTAAAGGAGTTTAAAAATTTACCATCCTTTGACGATACAAAAGGAACCCTTGTCAATTATCATCATCATAAGAATTATGCCGATTCATCGCAGTAGACTGTATTATCTCCTGTTCAGTGAAATTACCGACAGGGCAAAATTTTCACTGAAATGAACATATTCTTCAAATGATACAGAAACTTTCTCAAATCGGTTCCGTGTATCTTTCATGCTTAATAAGTATTACATATTTACATAACTGTCGTTATTTTTTGATTCTAAAATTACATGTTCTTAGTTCTTACTGAATACGAGTAATAACTATAAATGCGAATAAATTATAGAAGTTTTAGTTAAAAATATTCTAATTGTATATTAGGTCTCCCATCGTCTAACACTATATTATTTTCGATTTATGGAGTTTTTCAAATTATCGAGAGACAATTATTATTGTACAACACTTTTTTTTTTTAAATTTAAAGATAATATTTACTTTATATAATACCATATTTATTACTATACATTATTTATGGGAAAAAGATCAAAAATAAAAAATACCAATGATGGGCTGTATCTCTTCACTCTCCTCCCCATTTGACTATGCTCTCAGTTAGAATAAATACATTTTTACAAACTTACCTACTTGTATTATTCGTTTACAAGATTGTTTCGGATAAGTAAAAATATTGTCAAAAATCAACAAAACAAAAGAAGTATATTATGTAGTATTTCAATGAACTCGATAAATAAGTATATAGTCAACGGATTTTCATCTAAAAACTAATCACTATAATAAAATCTTTATCCAGAATATTAAACTCGTGGATTTTCCTTATTAATTTAATTTGTACTTACAATATCTAATTTTATGTTATGTTGATTTAATACTTAAAAGTGTATTGCGATTCTTTTTCGCGTTGGAAAATTTTGTAAATATATTTTTCCATCAGCGTACCGCATATAAATCAATAAAATATAATATGAATATTTAAATTACTCATTTATAACTAATAATATAAACTTCCAAACTTGCATGGAATCCAAAAGCGAAACACGTCATATTACATTTTAATAATAAATCGAACTGATAGGCGAAGAAAGAAATGTATTAAAAATCCACTCTTTCGGTAGTAAGTTGTAAAAGTTATAATAACCACAGACATTACTATATTATTGAAACTTCTCGCATGTCGAAATTATATTTCGAGCGTGCTGAAAATAATATTATGTTTTAGATTATATCCTCGTGCCAACAAAACCGTAAATTGTGTTGCCTATTCCGTATTCAAACGGAGTAGTAGTGCGTTATCGTTTTGACGTAGATTTAACCGTGGCTGTGGGTAGTGTAATAATAATACTTAGGAACAAGACGAAATTAAGGTCAAAAACACATTATGTTTACGACAATGCGGTTCGATATAATACGAAACGCTTTGTATATATAATATAATATATAATTACGGTCTTAAAACATAAACCACGTGGTTCATTGGTTTCAGTCTTCGGCCCACTGGCCGTTTAATAATTACAAACCATATTCGGATTAGTTACATGCACTACACGTGATAATTAATATTTTAATCGTACGGTGTACACGGATAGTCGTATTATTGCGTAGGTGGGTATTCAATGGGATACAAATTAATTGCCTAATAAAAATGTTGTATATACTAGCAAAAGATTACAAACATGAGCAGAAATTTCAGAGGATATGGCTGTAGCAGATTAGGTATTAATTTATACAAAATTTGTATTATTTAGGAGAAACAATTACAGAAGATATGAGAACCAAGAGACGCAGAACGAAAATACGAGAAATAGGAATAATAGAATGACAAATTTAGAATTTTTTTATGATAAGAAAAAAAACAACTAGATATTATCATGAAAAAGAAAATAAACATAACACTCTGGAAAATGATACTGAAAATATGTGTGGTCTACAAAATTATATCTTCAGCGATGATAGGAACGTACAATAATGTCGAACAGGAATAAATAAGAGATTTTCGATGTGGTGTTATAGATATTTGTAAAATATAAATTTGATAGATAGTGAATCAAATAAAAAAGTACACCTATTACAACAATTCAATGAAAAAAGGACAATATTTTAAACTATAAAATAAAATTGTCTGGCCATAATCTCAGGTGTTAAAAAGCCCTTACAGCTATTTTTCAAACGAATTATACATGAAAAAAGGAATGACATTACAAAGATTAAACTTTATTTCATAAACTTGCAAAGATTTTTATCTAAAATATATAGACTGAAAATATAAAAAAAAAAAAAAAATTAAAACTAGAGTCGGAAATTTTAATTTACACTTATGGCCTTACCCATCTAAAATTATTAGACAACTATTTGCCTACGAAACATCTATGCAGTATACGTAGGTACTGAATAAATTTAATATATAATTTATATTAAGATATCCTCTTATAATTTTCTGGTTATAGTATTTTTTTTATAGATACTAAATGTGATTTTCAACTATTTTAATTATAACCAGCAATTTAATGTTAGTTAATTAATTTAATAACAATGATTAAAATTTAACCAATATAGATTCCAAAACATCTAATCGTTTTGGCGTGTATTATACGATATTTGAGTTTTACGAGACAAATTTGATTCCATGGAACGTGAACCGGGAGCACCTATTATACAAACACCGGAATACTAAAAAAATAAGGTCATAATCAAACTCACCACGACACCTGTTGTTTGTATTCAGACCTGGCGTCCCTCACGCCTAGTTGACAGGCCAGCCGTTCCATGCACTTCTCCGACTCGAGCAAGTTAGTGAGTACGCTCTCCAGGTTGTCTTCCAGCGCTCTCGTGGTAGCCGGTGTTGCCGATGTCGCATTAGCGGGTTTCGCAGCTTCTGACGCAGGGGCCATCATCATCATCACCGACGGTTGTTTGTTCGACGAGTCAAAGCCCACAAACTCTTTCCACTTTTTCCAAAGAGGCTGCAACAGTAGGGCAGCTGGTATGAGTACCGGCAGTGACAGGACGACCACGGCCAGGGGTACGACGAAGAGTTTCAACACCAGTGCTTTGACGGCCAACAGTATGGGTATTTTGGCCAGGAACAGTGTTGCTATGGCCGCCACCACAGACTTGACCAGACCAAACTTTGCCGTGGTACCGGTCTTAAGCAGGTCGGACAATATGTTGTTCGTGAACGGAGCCGGGCAAGATACCGTTGTGGCTGCGTGAAAAAAAATCATTCGTTTAATTCATAGGTAAAAATTATATTTTATGTTATTATAATTATTAAAATCAACGAAATGTTAGTTTAAATGTTTATCTCGTCGAAAAGTCTAGTATAATTTGTTTTTTAGATAGCCAAGTATGTTTTAGTTAGATATTGAAAATATATTGCTATTATGAAATAATAAACAGATGATATGATTAAAGGCGGACAAATTTAATCAACCGGTAAACACTACTTTTTCAATGAATTAAAAAAAATGTTTTAAGTATTTCGTGAGACTCATAAAATATGTATTCGGAAACTATATTTTTGTAAATGAATACAGCCAAGACACATCATTTAGAAAGTCCCAATTGTAACACCTAGAAAATCGCCAATGACAAAAACAATATTTAAGTGAGAAAACATAAAAAAGTTACTTCTATATTTTGCCACTCCTCATCATAAAAATAATACACTAAAAGTTAATTTTACTAACCATAGGTAGGTACTTAGTACATTTCATATCGATCCGTTGAATTCTTTTGCAAATTGCATATTAATATACGTCCCTCTAACCTTTGAACTCGGTGATTGATTATTTAAAGCGATTCCAGAGCCGTTTCGCATAGTTTCGTCACGTGAACGGGCAGACGAAACATTTTAAATTCACCCTGAATTCCATGAGAAATTAAATATTTCAATTTCCCCATAGACGGGTACCTATGATATAAACCCGAAGTATTATGAATTTATAAACGAGTTTGAAACTTTAACGGAGCAAAATATCGCGTAACGAGCGGAAACGACGCAATAATAAACCTGTGGAACTTTCTCAAAATCTCAAAAATCTCATTGTTAAGTCATGATTACACCTTTGAAGCCATATTGTCCAACAACAAACTGTTGGCATCACCAGAGTTATATAACTTAACCTACGGCAGATCGAATTCAAAGTCATAAAATATGAAACTAAGATCGTTCCAAATTTAAGTGCGAAAATTTAACATTTTCCTATTCACACTCACATTCGAATTTTGAACGGGTAAAAATATTGTCTAACTACTCTAATATAACTAGTAAAAAACGGAGCTCAACTCAGTTCGGTTTTTGTTTGCCTACTCATGGCGTGGAGTGTGTCCGACTTATTTTAATTCTCACGAGGCCTAAACGTTTTTGATCATTACTTTCAAAACATTGGTTTTTCGTTAAATTAAATTGTCAGTTAAATAATAATGTTTAACACTAAAAAATATATTAATTTTAATTTTCGCTATTCTTGGTTTCACTGTTGGTATAACACAGTAACAAACTCGAAAGTTTTGCGATTTTAACCGGATCAACGAAATTCACCAAAATTTTTTTGAGATTTTATGCATCTGCGAGGAATATATTAGTTTTACTATAATGTGTATGTTTTTTTTGTCTGTGAACAACTTTTCTACCAGAAACCTAATTCCGATCATCAATGTGTAGCTTCTTTTTTAAAAACCAATTTTGTATATCTGGTGCACTAGAAATGTAATTGTCCTAGTAGTTTTCTCAATAATTGAGAAAAACAGAGAAAAAGACCTAAAAAGACTTTGGAAAACCGAAGAAATGTACGCAATAAAGGTTTCCTGTTTTAAATTTTTTTTTTTTTTTTTTTTTTTTTTTTGTGATTCAGTTTGAAACAATTGTAGAAACCTGTCATTTTCTCAGAGTATTTTATTGATAAAAATTTCGGAATACTCTAGCGATATTTGAGCTATTTATTTGGTTCAACGCGGAAAAAATTGTGTTGACCAAACAATAATGCTCGAATATTTAACACGAAGTCTATCATAAGTAATATTTAATGGCAAAAAAGTGTTGAGTGTTGACAAAAATCATGACACTTAAAAACTTTTTTAACCGAACTTCACTCAAAATCGTTTTTTAACGATATTCTAACCTATAACAGTGGCATAGTCTTCAGTATTAGCTCTTTTTTTTATTTTCATTTTAATCACCTAAGGATATAACATGTATTACCGAATACAATATATTATTACCTATATTGTTTCCGGTACATATGCTAGGTATACGCAATAGCGATAATTGGACCTACCAGCTGCAACATTACAGCGGAAGTTAATTAATATTGGACGGCGCCCGGGTCACGGTCCGCGGAAATCTCCGGTTTCCTTTTCGCCTAACAACCCATCCCTTCCCCCTCCCCTAATAAAGGCCACATATACCGAGCTGTATATAAGCAGTAAATCATCGTAATTGTCGGATATCGATCAGTCGGATACACAATACAGGTCAGTGTGCAGTTTTCTCCCGGTCCGTATGGAAAAAAATAATAGGCGTCGTTTTTCACTCGTCTTTTTTTTGGCGCCACCGATGAATCTGTAAGACGAATCGAAACTATGAACCCGATCACAAAAACGTGACTCTGACAATTGTTTAACATTAAATTATTTACCTGTTTACTATGCATCGCGTTTAAAAATTCATCCGTCTTATACTTATGCGTGTAAATGATAAATGTATTATTTTTAATTGTATACTATTCAAGGGAATTAAAAGAGGTTTTCCAAATTTTTTAAAATTAAAATATTATTTTTTCGCTTTTTAATGATAAGATTTTTTCACTAACCTACTGCTCGATATGTCCATTTAAAGGGAAGGTGTACGTAAGATTTTATACAGACGAATATACCGTTTAAGATCAATAAATTGGAATAAAATTTACCCACTATTGCTTACTCAATTTTAGTTTCAAAAACATATTTAAATTTTCATTGATTTCCTGTCTATTTTCTGTTTATTTTTTTATTTAAATAATTTAGTTAAAACAACATATTTGTCTTTTATTTTTTGATTAGAATTAAAAGAATAAAATAATGAATAATATATATAACTTTCTATAAAATATATGTATGAAAAAAATCGAATTCAACTGCCTTAAACCCTAAAGTGGTTTTTCGTATCATTTTCGTATCAAAAACAGACAAGTGTAAAATAACGTCAATTCGTGTATTTTATATAAACGGGAACTTTAATTTATTTTCGACATAAAATATCCCGGTCTGATTCATATAATATGCTCTAGACTAAGTGTTCTCAAAATAATCTATAACAACCACTGGGATCGATTCTGACTGGCAGGGAGTCTATTTCTATATACAAAAGGGTTAGGAGTGCACAAGGTGTAAATATAGGTCCACGAGAATTTAATAAATAAATTATAAATATCGACAGAGTCCAATTAAATAAACAATTAAAATTTAATTAATAAAAACATGAATATTAACAAAGTTTGCAAGGTTTTCAATTTAAAACAATTCATTCCACAGTATTAACCCCGTCCAAGTGAGTAGCTCTATGTCAACTTTCAAAAACACGTTCGAAGTTATTCAATTTATTACAATTCATTATTATTAGGTGATGTATTAAAAACTGAAAAAATCGGCACTTGGTCTACAGGACGCATATAGCTATTATGGTATCCGTTTCAGTATCTAGGAAGTAATCCCCGTTTGTGATAAATCCATTTAAATCGTATCATATTTTGTTGCTCTTGTGTTTAAGCTATCGATATTTTCAAAACATAAAGCGTATACGAAAATAACATCAATAAAAATAGTTAATTTAGTTATATGTCAAGTTTTTATTATATAATTTCAATAAGCAAATTTGTTTAGATCATATTTTAGCAATTATTCGAATGTTTTAAATTCTAAGCGAACCGAGGAATATGTATTAGGTTTAGAAATTTTGTTTATTTTTTTTTCAAGTGTAGCACGTTTTATGAAAGGAAATCTGCCTGAGGTGGTTCTTTAGAGAGTTTATTTTTTGATTTTCCCCGGAGTTAACATAATAAATGGGAAGAACCTTGAAAATATGTCAAATGTATTATTTTAAAATCATAAATATTACGGCCTTACAAAACATGTATAATCGAATTCCGTTCAGAATCGTTTTTCGTTAACGATGATTAATCGTTGCGTACAGATTATACAATACATTTTTCGGCTGTCTTTCTAATTTCTCACCTACAACTGTCGCCCATCCATCAAGCGAAGTGTGTTTGTATACTTTTTCAAAATATTATTGAATGTATTTTTAGAGCTAGCAGCCCACAGTTAATATATATATATTTTTAAATACTCATATGGAAACCAAGGACCAAGGAAATCTCAACTATAAAATATGAGTACCTAATTTCCTATTTTAGAATACATATGGTGAACACTAATGGAATCTACTATCGAGATGATAAAATACTGAAAAAAAAGCTAAGGAAATAGAAAAAATGTTTGGATTAATAATACTTAATTTAAATTTTACATAAGATTGTACTATTTTAAAAACTTAACAAACATTTTAGGTGTCCACCTAGTCCGTATGCTATAACTACCACTTTACTACACTAGACCGTTTTTCTATCGTATTTAAAAATAAACTGTGCATAATTTTGATTCGAATTTCAAAGAATTTACACGCAGCTTAAACAAAAAAAATGATTTAAAAATTATCGTTTTTTATAAAAATGGAAAAATTAAACAAAAATTCGTTATATTATGTTATAAAAGAGCCAAAGCATTTTTGAAATGTCAATGTGAGAATATTCAGTAGAAATTTTAGCTCTTAGTTACGATTATTTTGGCATCGCATATGTAAGTATACATGTACATACATTACCGTTTTTCCTACAGCTGTTTTTTTATTCCCGTTAATAAGAATACAACAAGAAATTTGAAAAATCTTCTTAACCGCATCAACCATATCCAAAATCCTACTGGAAACATCTCAAGCGCATTTTTAATCAGAGAAATTGTTTTTTTTTTAAATTTTATTTTTAATTTCATGTTTGTTTAATGTGTTGAATTTATATATATAAAAAAATATACTAACATCATTATTATTTATCTGTTATTAATTTTTTTGATTTTGTTTTAATTATCTGACTATCTGAGGATACGTTGCTAATAATATTATTAATCAATAGAAATTCGATAAACAATAAACATCACCGCATAATTTAATATTCTCGTTAATTATTTCATGGGCAGGTAGGTATATTAATTTCGTGCATAAACTAATAAACTGTAATGTTGGTGCATTGACAGCACATAAAATGGGAGTAACGCTAAAAACGTGATAATAACTAAAGCCATATATTCAATTAGGTATATTGAATTTCGTTAATATATGCTCGTTAGCGAGGTTTTGATTAGTTTTCAATACTTTATAAAATAGGTCAATTCGTTGACGGAGAATAGTACGAATAGTACAGATAATACGTATAAATATACTATCCGCTTTACAACACTGAATAGCAGTATTTACGAATTCGTGAAACTAGGAAAATGTGTTTTTCTTTATTTTTTTAAACTTTTTTTGATTGTTAAAAAAATTATTCAAAAATATATTGATCGTTATTTGTACAGTAATTTACTATAGAAATCGTTCTGGATAATTTTCATTTTGTTAAATCAATTATCATTATTTCCAATGGGTTTTAGTTTTTGATTAATATTAGACATAATACCGAGAAAATAATTTTCGAAGCTATACTCAATATTCCATTTCTATAATATTTCGATGGTACACGGCCGGATCTTTTACCACGGGGAGAACGTGTCAAATGCTTTTAAAAAAAAAAAGTTTGTATATATTTTTTCGACATCCCTAAAGGTCGATGATTTATTACCGTTATATGTATGTATAAAGCAGGCGATCCGTAGAAAAAAAACTTCAAGGAGCTATTATATATAATATATTGGGAGTCGTTATATATATATAAAAAAATGTCTCTAATTTGGGAGTTTAATGTTTCGATCTGACCGGCATAAACATTATAATAATATGTTATACTCTCAATACACATAGAACATCATAACTGTATGGTGTAGTTTGGCGATACTTTAGGAAAATATGACTTTGGCTTTTTTCCATGGTGAACGTTTAAATTTTTTATAAAATTAGTCTCAATTATAAATTAAAACCATCCGAGTTTTCTAGCCATAATACATTATATAGTCCTTTTTTTTACGAAATAATTTTTATTTTCGGGAGAATATATCCAACTATTGTTAACAATTCGTAAAAAAATATATATAAAACTCCGGACATAGTTCGCACCAAGAATAATCCACTGTTGAAGTGGTGCAGAAAGTTTAGGATGTAGGGTAATTTAATTTATGTACCAAAAGTAACGAACAAAAATGCTCGTGAAAGGAGCTCGATAAAATGATAAAGCAATAATATTAGTCGTGAATTCTTCCTTTGAACCCCATGGTTAAATCCAGAAATCAACAAAAATAAAACCTATGTACCGTAGTATGTTCTAAGGTTTTTCTTTTTAATTTTTTAGAAAAACTGCCGGGAATCTAAAAACATTTTGCAAATAAATAAATTATTGGTACCACTGGTCGTGAAACTCACGTTTATCACCGTACGATGTGAACGATTTAGATTATATGTTTATTAACCGAAAAAGTGTTTTCAAAAAAAAAAAAAAACAAACGGGAATGGTGGTGAAGTGATAAGAATACCGGAGAAATTTTTAAGTAAAATAGGTACCTGGTACCATCTTAGATCAAAAAATCCATGGATTTATTAAGGTATGATATGAAAAATATCAGTCGTTTATATACTTACGGGGATAATACGGCGTGGCGTAACTTGGCGGTTTCTTCTTTTTCGAATCTTCTCCGTATCCAGTATAGTACGGGACACTGTAACCAGGACTGGCATAATCGGCTGGTTGCGCGTGCGATTCCCCGGTGTAAATATCTGTAAAAAAAAAAAAAAAACGAAATTAGACGAATAACTTTAAAAACCAACAAAAGTCGTTTACGCGGTTATTAGTTTTCTACTTTGTGTACAATACGAATTCTTAGCAGTTCTTCAATAGCATACGTATAACGTATAGTTATGATTTAACAAGAATAATTTGTACGATAGTATTATATTATTATTTAAGGAAGGGTAGAACATATTTTGCGCGGCAGATAAGCCGCTGTATGCATACAGGTGGGGAATTTCGGAGCATTTTTACTAAGCGAAAAAGCGCTGGGCACATAGTCTAACAAAAACAAAAAGGCAGAAAATCGGACCGGAAAATGACGACGGCTACTCCTACTTGTTTGTATTGTTTGTATCGAATCACGGTGAAAGCTAGAAAAAAAAATAAAATTTACATAAATAACAATCGTACCGGCGAAACGTCGTCCCGTATAGACAATTATTCGTCTCGTTTTGTAGGTTCACTAATTTAGAATTCTACCATTATTATCCATAACACATCCTATTATTTTCGTACAATGTCGCTCTAATTACACGACCACACGTTCCACCGTACCTACACATTTCGCCGTCCCGGAAATACAAGTAGGTACAAGACGTGTCACGTACGATAACAGTAAGTATAATAATTGTTATTTATAATGTTAAGTTACCGGGTGACGATTGTCACGCGGCGGCCGTAAAAAATCGCCGTTAATATTACATATTTTCTTTTCTACTTTTCCCCCGTAAAACGAGTGCAAATGACGTTGTATAGTTAATAAGGTTTTCTCTCAAACTGTTTGATCGCCTTTAAACGACAACGATTATTTACGCGCATAGTATTATTATACTGTGCCGCTACCCGAAATTTATAACGCGCGTTTGGCCGCAAATCAATACCAACGTCTGCGGGGCGTCTTTTGGGAATATAATACGTACGGGCGCAACAATATTTCTCGAAAAGAAAACGCAAAAACCGAAATTATACGTGGGCTTACACGTCGGTCCAAACCAACGATACTCTTCCCAGAAAATTATCGCGTCCGACCCGTAACCCTAAATTCTAATCGAAGAAAAACAACGACCGGTTTAGATAGAACAGAAGAGAAAACGTAAAATCCGCATCACGTAAATCGCGGGAATCGGAGATCAAAATTATAACAAAGTACCGAGGGATATTCGATTTCCCGGTACAAATATTACTGTCATTAACATACAAAAGTGGGTAGAAAATATCGCGAAACTCAATTTTTAAATTGAAATTGAGAGGCTCTGTCAGTTCCAAAACTTTTCATGGAACAAAAAAAATATTGTATTCATAGTAAAAATGATTTTAAAATTAATTTATCTTCATTAGACCTCGGTGAAAAAGATGCACCTTCACTTGATTTGATTTTTACAGTTTATTCAAGTTTATATATATATACATAACAAAAGTTATTGTCTTAACTAGAATTTCATTAGTACCACTGTGAAGTTGTCTTTTTGACTAGCATTTGTTGGATCACTTTATAACTTCTAATGGTACTATTTAATCTCAAAATCGTTTTTCTTATTTCAACATAAAAACTTTATGAGCCTGTAGTATAGTTCTATTTTTCTAACTCCCTGCCTATCCACATGCATATAAGTTCTCTTTTTTTTGTTTTCGTTATTTTATTGTGTCTAAATTTGCATGTGACTTTGCATACTTTAAAAACAGGAAGTCAAATATTGAATATTTTTCTCATAGTTTCGAGTGACAGTAACTTTGTAGCCGTTGTTTTTTATAATATCATCTTTGTGAATACTTTGTAATCAAATTTTATTTTTTTTTTTTAAGATGAAGGGTGCTGAGGGTACAAACACATTTATGACTTACCGGACGATCCGTAGCTAGAGCTAGGTGGCCCGTAGCTGGCCGGATAGTTGTAACCGTAAAACTCCGAACCGCCGGAATAGTCTCGGCTTTGGACTGACGAAGTTTCTGGAGCAGTCGCCGACGATCGGCGGTCTTCGGTCATTATGGGCATGAAACCCGTTGTTCCCCCTGTAGCGGTCTGTGGTCCCTGTGGGTTCGAGTCGATGCTAGACTGTTGCATCTGCAGTTGTTGGCAACTAGCGACCGACAACAATGTCGCCGCGAAAAATATTCGGTCCATCGTCAGCAAACGTCTGTAAAAATATTCAAATCATCATTAATAACTAATACGAAAACAAAATAATATTATACATTTGTAGGAAGGACTTAGACCCCTGGACCATCTAAAGTTGGCCTTTTACCCTTTTAATGCAGAAGCAGAGCTTCGTAATCACATATATTTAATATTTTAGTGGGATTCAAGCCTCTCGAAGTTTATGAGTTAACTATGCCACTGGTGCGACAATTTCCAGTTATAATATATACTTTTTGGGAAATGTAAATTTCAATCATATACATTATATTCGCAGGCTATCCTCATATCATTCTCAATCGCCTATCTCTTTCCGGTCTCCCTCGTTAACTCTCTCTCCCTACGTTTATTTTTAATTATATTCTTACTACTTCAGGTATCACTCTCCCCGCGAAATACTCAACCCTTAACGATAGCATGGTGTATCGTAGGAATATTTTGATTCCTTTCCAAAGAGAGAATCGTATTGTCAACTGGAAAGTAAATTGTTCACCTTATAGAAACAATATCATATGCCTACTAGAACCAATCGCCTGATATTTCAACCAGTAAGAGCTCTTTTGTTATAAATACACGGGTAAGACATACCTGTAAGCAACGATAAACCATTGCGTGACGAAAGACAATTCCGAGCGCAGTTCGGAAATACGTAATTTGAAGTGCCGTAATTTTTTTGGCGACTTTCGTTTAAATTTGATTTCAAAACGCATATTAAAAAAAAAAAAAGTCGTCTGATGATTTCGAAATTTTATTTAATTAAAATAGGAGTAAAATAAACATTTGTCTAAAATTTCAAACATTTTATAATATTTTTTTTTCTGTTTTTTGACACTGTCTCTTATACACAAACACTGTCCAAAAACACTTTCAGATTCGGAATCTATTTGCAGTTTCAATTTTTTACTTTATCGAAAAATCAAACATTTCTTTCAAATTCTGAACTGAAAGTGAATTTTCTTGTATATATATTATATACTATATATAAATATACTTGTATATATTTCTTCGATATATTTTGAGACCGCACATAATTATAATAAGTATATTTTAAAATCGATATCAATAACGATCAAACATAGGTCGAAAAAAAATTATTATTGAAAAATATAATACAAGTATGTATATTGTATATGATTCATAGGTACCTGAAGTATAAACGACGGGTCAACTTTACAGTTTTAAATGTAAAATAACGTCAAGTCATCACTCATTATTAAACGGCCATTGTTTTTTAATCGAGTTTAAGCGTTGACAATGAATACACATCGACTGTGTTGAGATTATTGTGTTGTAGACCGGTAGGTAGGTAGGCAGGTAACGAATACTAAAATCGTACACCGCGAAAGTATAGAAAATAAAATTCGTTTTCATTGTCTCCCCCCCCCCCTCTTGCCCGTCTGTCTGTACTGTAGTGACGTTTTGTCCGTTACGTGGTAACATTATTTTCGACTGCACAGACCTTGTCGTTTTAGATGAGCGAAATTGCAAACGGGTTTGGATATTAACGTTTAGTGTATATTTTTTTCATAAAAATATTTACATTGTGTATCGACTCGAAAAAAAAAACACTTTTCGTTTAAAAAAAAAAACGTCGCGAATACATCGCAACCCTTGGGACTTTGGGTAAACATAAAATATCCGTGATGCATCCTGGAATTTTTAGGGGCTGATCAATTATGTATCACATTTCAAAAAAAAAAATAATAATAATAATTATAAAATAAGTGTTCAATAAAAAATATGAAATTTAAAAAAAGAGGTAATACTGGGGACGCGTGCAAGCACTGTTGTAGATGGTTCGTTAAGAAGGTTGAGAAACATAAAGTTATTTAATTTATACTTGTAATTAACGATAAACCATTGTTAACGAAAAAACGATTCGGAACGAAGGTCGGTTATACATATTTTTAAATGTCATAATATTTTCGATTTTTATCAATATTTGATTAATTTTAACCACAGAATATGTACCAAATAAAAATTTCGTAAAAAACTTGCAAAATTAAAATGTCTATAAATAACTCAAAAAGTTTGAACATTTTATCACTTATAGAAAACTCAAATTAAGTTTTCTGTAAAAATGACGAGTCTCTAAGTTGCAAAAATTAAAAACAACAAAAACGGTAACGCCACCGTGTGGCATTATAATTTTTTGCTTTATTACCTATAATTTTCTCTCCAGTTTTAAAACAATTTTTTTCAAGCGAACGAGACAAACATAAAATCTCTTTATGATAAACGAGTAGAACATTAATATCTTAATAGCTATAGAATATTGTAATTTTTTGAAAATCTAGAACAAAAAGGTCCACCGAAACTGATATTAAAAAATGTATAAATAGGGTTACTCAAAATTATATATTATTAAATATAATTAGAAGAATAAGCGTACACCACACTTAAAAACATTTATGAAACTTCTATAATATAAAAAAAAACCAGAAAAAATTGTATTATTTGTCTCATGACGTTTTATACTGCCTTATTTTAGCCTGTATGACTGTCTTTTTTTTTAAATTTAATTTAAAATTTAAAAAATTCTATAGATAAATAAATGTGTTGCTTGTATGTATTATTCAACGCAATGATATAATTGTACAAAATAATATATTTATATATTTCGATTTTTGGCTTTTGCGTTTATTTGGATACATTTTAACATATGAAACCACTAGGTACCTACTGTAAAGTAAAAAATAAATTGTTAGCTATGCCATTTCAAAAATCCAAAATGTACCTATGTTTATTATTGGCGGCGAAACGAAAAATGATTTACTATCCGGTTAATCCGGTTATAATCATACAATAATGTCAATGGCGTTCAATTCCAGAGAAGTGATTTGGGCATTTTTTTTTTTTTGTGTCAATTTGTCCCATGTAATTTATTCCCTTTTAATTTTGGTTGTAAATAGCATACGTTTCGAAATTACTTTATGAATTTGCTCGTAATGAAATCCATACAAATCGACTCAATCCCTGTTTCCCGGGGTCCAGAGGTATAGCCAAACTACAAAATCGGTCGATATTGTACGTATGCGCGTTTTGTGATCCGGTACGCGAGAATTTAGGCGTCGTGCGATAAAACGAATACGATTTTACACACTCTCATATACATACCAGATACCTATTATACAGTTTATAGGTTTATATAGTGGCACGCGCGGTGATCGCGATCTATGGATATCGCCGATCGTCGGCCCCCCCTAAGCGCGCCGAGTGTATGGAAACGCGGTATGAAACCACAAAAAAAAAAAAAAAAAAAAAATACACCGAAAATCTAACGACGGGAGACGCGGAGAATACACGCGCGCGCGCATTCGATCGGCGACGACATTCGGGACGATGGCGATATTATTAATAATTATCATTATTACGGGTTAGGCGCGGTGACGTCGTCGCTCGTCGTTTTCGCTAAACGATCGTTCGGCACGCGACCGATAATATTTGAAATCCGTCCGAGACGTCATCGTCCGGGCCAGTCTGTTGAAATAATTCCGAGCGCGTGTGCCACTCGGTCGCGATACACGCCCGATAATGGCCGTGGTTATTGTTGTTAGCGGGTTTTTGTTTTTAAATATTGTTATTATTGTTGTTGTAGGCACGCGGCCGGTCTGTGTATTTTTTCACCGTACCTTTACACGATCTCTCCGCAGTTTTCAACGAACAATACCGCCGCCCCGTCACCTCCGGCGTCCGCAATTGTTTCCGGCCAGTTGTGTACAGGTCACGGGCATTTTAAACGCTTTCCGCAGGGTTTGTACAACACTCGCACGTTTTGGGCATTTTTCGGTACGTGATACCGAAACCGTCGCCGGCTTTCGCTCTGCGAAATAATACCTGTACACAACGCGCGATCACACGTTCAAATCGGGTGTCGTAGTCGAGCAATAATATTATAAAGCCGAGAGATGTGCGGGATTTTTTTTTTACTTCGCGTACGCCTGCGGTGTTTGATTTCCCACCGACCCGAGTCGCCGCAGGCTTTTCGAGCGATAAGGTCTCGTTTATCCTCAGCTTGCCCGGTTCACACGGAGCGAATAGATAAGCATGTTTGTGTAGTTTTCGAGTTTAATCGCTCGGTTACACTCGAAGCAAATAAATCATCGATACGTAGGTATTGTCCACACGATCGCCGAACTTTATTTTAAGCCAATTGGTTTTTAATGGGCAAAATGGTGTTAATGGTTCGAAATATTGTACGATGACGAATCGCGTTTTAATTCCAAACGTTTGCACGCATCAAGTACAAAAAAAATAATAATAAAATACAAGTAACTTTTTTGTGTACTGGGATAGAGCAGTGGTCGGGAACCCGCGGCTCCTTAATGTGCGATCTGTGGCTCTTTGGAAAATGCATCAATATCTAGACATTATAGATCTTGAGCGAGACCGGAAAAATATAAATTAAAATCCGATTTGTATGAACAATAATAATTATTATTTAATAATGCGTAATAATAATGTATTGATGAAATAGAGTTTTTATAAATTTAAGACGTATTATTATGTTTAATTACCAATTCCCAATTAGATTGCTTAGTAAAGGATATAAGTCGTTTTTTGTACGTTTTGGTATATTTTTAATCTTAACCATTGCGTCTATTGATCGAAAAACGGCTCATTTACACGAAAAGGGTCCCGATCGCCGGGATAGAGGAAGGAAACTTGATTTTCTCCAAGACGTGTAAACGCGTTCACACAATACAAGTAGTTCGAAACGAGTAGCACGATAATTCAACCCGTTTGTTTACTATTGAACGGGCGGCTATATCTGATTTGTTTTGAATTTAAATTTTGATTTGATTTTTTTTTTGTTGTTGTTTCTGGAATATGCAGCACACTGTGCGAGATCGACCAACGACGTTGACATTTTCCGTACTAGGTTCTTGCGAATGCGGGTACCCGCGTCAGTACCCGCCCGTTAGCGAATATAAATGGGTATACTCTCAGAATTCGAAACGGGATTATTCGGCCCACGTAAGCCGCTGACAATTATACGGGACGAGGCGACGAAAAAACGCGTACAGTTACACCGGTGTTTTATTGTTTCATCGCCACCACTCCCATTTTGTTTTTTTTTTTTTTTTTTTTAGAATATGCAACAGACATATTATTTATAGCGTCCGGGATGAATCGACCGATTTCGGCTTCGTGGATTTCAACCGTCGCGGACGACCCGGATGTCCTGAATTCGGAAACTTAATTTTACCGATAAATACAAACACACGCAAAAAATAATAAAATTTTAACTGAAAGGCTTTAACGAGAATGTTATCAAACAAAACGTAAAGTATACGGATACACTATCGGTAAATAATATTCTTTTAAACCTGTGGGTTCACACGATTTCGAATTTTTTTCCCGTGCGATATTTTACCAAACACCTAACCTATACGTCAAACATTAAATATTTGTTTACGAAACGTTTCTGGTGTGCAAACACTGTGTACCCATCCGAAATAAGATATCCATGCAAATTAACAACTTAATTGGTGACGATCGGTCGAAACTAATAGCCGTTTTAAACCGTTTAATACAAAATTAAAACATTTACTATGTATTTTATTCGTAAAAAAAAAAAAAATGCCAATGACAAAGCATGTAATCAATCTAAAAGTTAGGTGATCGTATTTGTATACAATAAACATAAACACTTACATTGAACATTAGGAAAAGTATTTGACTACGCGTTTTGTCAAATAAAACACCAGTCGTTTACTCGTAATAATTGTGTGTTTACGATATCTGAGAAAAAAATTAGCAATATTGAAACGATTTTGTTTCCTCGATTTAATGTTGGCACGGTTCTCGTATTTATTAGTTTTACAATAAAACATTATGCGTTGATTGTTGTTTAGTTGAAAATTATTATTGGCACTACACAAAAGAAACTTTATCCTAGAGTACCGGCGGTTTTGTTTAAAAACACAATAATATATGACTATAATCGAATTTTCGTAAGTACGCTCTCGTCGTCTGTGAAAACGATCCGTTTGATTAGGTATACGTATCGATTCGGGACATACACGATATTGACTGACGTTTTTTTATTTATTTTTTGTTAAGAGAACGTTACACCTATGATTTTTCGCAACATGTTCACGCAGAGTACAGAGTAAAATTCGCTTGGTTTCGGTTTAGAAGTAAAAGTATTTGCTACATGTATAATACGATCGTTATATTTTGGAATAAGTATGTATACTCGTAGGTATATTCGAATAGTTTCGCAATATTTAACAAACAAATACAATTTGATGAAATTCGAATAATTGAAAAAACGTCACGTTGTATCCACGAAAATATTATAGGGTTTTTTTTTAATTTTAAAAATATTCGTTTTGGCGTTATAGCGAATAAAACGAACTAAATATTCAACACTCGTTTTTGTAATATTTCAAAACAAATAATAAGTATCGATTACAATATATGAAACGCTATTACCATGGGATTGGAATGTCAGTACATTATATTATAGGTTAGTACCTACATAATATTACGAAGTAAAAAAAAAAATGAATAAAAAATAAGGATTCAAAATAGTTAAACGCATATGGATATTGCATACACGTACACGCGGATACTTAAAGATATTAGTTTGGAAAATAAGCCAAATTTTTTTACGGATAAGATGCAGGTACTAAATTTAACATAATACCCGAATGTTTTTATTTCTAAAAAATGAGAGCGTATATTTTAATATCGGGAAACAGTTTTCTGGTCTGAGGTCCTTGTCATTTTTAATATTGTGCTGTTTTTTTTTCGATTTTGCATATTTATATACTTGATAGTTTATCCGGATAATTACAGAGGAAAAATCCAATTTTTGAATTTCAGTTAATTCGAGTTGAAATAATAACTCCGGATAATATCCAAAAACATTGTTGGCCTAAGGTTTATGACGTTGATAAAGATTTTAACAAAGCAACAATTCCATTGAGCTTTGAGCACGTCACAAAATTAAAATGATGTCCAAAAATTAAGTAGGTTTTTAAAAATGTTTTCATGTTTAAATTCAAGAATTTTTAATGGCCCTCATTGCGACGTGTGTCGTACCTATCGATATCCGTAAGAGGCCAAAAACTCCCAAAATCGTCCAAATCCATTTGCCATACCTGAGTGAACTCTGCCGAATAAATTATGAGTTTAAACCCTAACCTTTGAGTTTTCATGGAATTTCGTATTTATCGTGCAAAAATATATTCTTGTAAGAATACGAACAATTTCCGAAAAGTATTTGAATGCAAAAATCAATAATTATTAGGAGGTATAATATTATGATGTCCATCAAAACATTGTGTACATTTAAAATTAAAAAAAAAAAATATCTATTTAATTGGCATATATCGTAAGTATGTTTAGCTAAAAAAAAAAAACTATAAGAACTTAAAATAATTAATAAATTATAAAATCTTTATACACCCCAAGGGTAACGAGAGTCGCTAAAAGTCGGTAAAGATATATAAACACCGTAATTGACTTTGTAACTAATCTGACATAGTTTTTGCTTAATAACAAATGTGTTTTGTGTATGTGAAACGTAATTTGTAATAGCTTGTGGTGATTAGCATTTCACTATGCCTTGTTAAAATCGTTTAATTTTATGCTGTTTTACGATAGAAACGGCTATAACGGTTGTACAATCGACAAAAAATAAAAAATAAAGTTTTGAAAAAAAGCAACCTAAAAACAATTCTCTGGCGATGTCATTTACTGTTTTTCACTCAGAACTTTAATAATATCTATGGATATTTTCGTCTTTCGATTTTACTATTTCACGTCGGCGCGTCCTCTCTAATCGGACGAAGCAATAATAATATGCTAATTTCCACTCGTCGGTGTTTTAGATTTATACGGTGTTTTAGATTTCGTTCTGAGCAACAAAGTGCACCATTATATTATCATTACTAATATAATTATTCGCCAGCGAGACAAACATAATAATTGTATTTATTCGAGCGTTACGGTTTTGTTTTGTGTACATAGGTGTTTTGGTATTATTCCGGTTTATCATTTAAAACGAACCGCAAAACAGTAGGGTGGGGGGAGGTGAAAATAACTCTGTGGACTGAAAACGACACTCTAAATCGACGTCAGCGTCATGACGTGCAAAACCATTAGCCAAAGAAGCGGTTAAAAGTTTTAACAGTAAAAAACAAAACGACAAAAATAAAAGATAAAAGGAAACATAAAGAAAAAGACGTATAAAACGCGTAAGTTTACTTTGCGATAGAAAAATAAAAAAAAAAATAAAAAGAAAAAAAAAAGAAAAAGAAAAACCCGACATTTTTATTCCCGCTGAACCGCGTTTTCCGTGTAAAAACAGTATTGGTTTTCGCATTTCTCCGTCTACCGGAAAATTTCGCGATTAAGTAAAACGTATTTCATTGTACGAACATTATTATTGTACACGAGAGATTCGTCGCTACACGTGCGCGGATTTCACGATCAGACCTGTGAAATATTATTCGGGTAAAAATACTCCGCGCATCGACGTTCAAAATACGTACATTTTCGAAGTTTATTCCGCATAAAACATAATCGTTTTGCGTTATTCAACTCCGCGTTTTTTTTTTTTTTTTTTTTTAATCAAATACACACATTACGAAAACATTTTTCCAATTCTATTTCGGAAAAAAATACATAGGTAAATACTCGCTGTTACATTCGAATAATATCGCGGAAAATCAAATCTTTTATTCGTTTTTAAATGTACTCATACGCGGGAAGTGTATACATTTTAAAAACTCACGATTTTATTCGATTATTTTTCCGATTTAAATTGCTAATATTTTTCAAATTTTTCTTTTTAGTTTTAAATTAAAAAAAAAAAAAAAAAAACTAAATTTATATATATTTCAATAAGACTGCACGTATTGCCTACTACGCGATAAATTTCGAGCCAATCGAAGTTTGAACGAATTAATTATACAACGATAAACACATTTTGTATTCAATAACTATCATCGTATACGGTTTTATCGGACGTAACGCATTATTATATTCGCATAAGTATCTCGATTTTTTTTTGTTAATTTTCTATGTTTTCCTAACGTTTAAAAAGAATAATAATTACGCGATTTGCACAAGTATTCAAATATTATTATTATTATATATATATATATATGTATATCGAAATACGTATTTTACAAAATTATTTACATTTTTGACAACCGTCAGTGTAAAGGTTGGAACTCAGAAAGCGTTTAAATTGTATAGAGTACGTCAACTATTCGAGTACAGCCTACCCGATAATTAATAGGCGAATTTAATTTCAGTATCCCGAATACTGTTGTTCGATCGTGTTACCTGCAGCGGCGTCGGCGGAATTCGAGCGTAGTGCGGGTATCTGGAGTGTCCTGGACGGTCGGTTGCCGATCGGCTCGGACTTTTGAAAAACGCGCGGGAAAACCGGAAAACCGCGAACGGCGGACGAAATACGCGCGACGGGTTTCAGTGGATCGGCAGCAGCTGCGGACCGGGACGACGGCGGAGCGGCTGTTGAAGCTGTACGGTTTGACGGACGGCGACGGAAGCCATTTACTGTTTAACCGCAGTGGGAACCGGACGGCAAAGCTCGCGGCGACGGACTAACGGCTGTGCGTGCCGGCACCGGAGGTTTTTATCAATCAGAGGCCCGCCCCGGAGATTTTCGAAAATAAAAAACGAAAACAGCCGTCCTCTCGTTAAAATTCCGCGCGCCTTTGCCCCCGTCGTCGTCCCCGACAGCGCGACGCGCAGCCGGATAAAGATAACAACAACACCAACAACAAAAAAAAAAAAACAAAAAAAACCACCTCTTACAAGAGGCGCTGCACTTTCTACCGCGGGGGGGGAGGGCACTCATACACACGCATACGCGCGCGCGCGACAGCCGACAATCAATTGACGACGTGTGCGTGTGTATAGAGGAACACACGCGAGCTCGCGCGCGCCGGTGATTTTTAGCCTACGGTTAATTTGTACGTGTATTATGTCCTACTATAGGCACTACAGTTACGGCGTGTGTATTATCTGTTTTTGTTCGTTTCGCTGATGCGATGACGAACGCCCGTCTATTCGGATTCGGACCTAGATCCGTCGTCCCGCGTTATCAACCCCGCCTATTTTTCGCGATCTCTTGTTCCGGCCCGTCGTCGTTTGTGGCGGATGTGTACGGTTTTCAGGTCCGGTCGGCCCCGTCATCGTACACGCCGGACCGGCAGCGCGAGGCCGGGCAAAAGCGTCCGCCGGACGAGGACGGACGATTTTCGATAAATTCACAGTACAGTCGGCGGGTGAGGCAGGGTGATGGCGGGTACGCGCTCATAGGCCGGGGCTTATTTTCAAGGTAGCGGCGGTGGCGGTCGGGTTCGGATAAAACGCGATCAGCACAAAGAATGCAGTATTGTTTTGCATTTCATCACCACAATGGTCAGAGACGATTGATTTGGATAGAATTATGGATATTGCTAACGACCGCGGGAACGGTTTCGACGGTAACATATAAAATACATCTCACTATGAGACTGAGTCCCGCCGACCAAATGTAGGTACCTACCGTTCTAAGGACGTCTTATTGAGGAGTTTAAAGTGTGAAAAAATGCCTTTTCGACTACATAAAATCCAACGATTAAATAATCCAAGATGTCGCTGTACTCGAATGATAATCGAAACTGTTTTACGGTTTTCAAGGATCTATTCGAATACACAATGATATTTTCAATTGAAATGACAACATTAATTGTTTTATGAGAAATCGTGTGTGGGCAATGAAACAAATTGTATTTTTTTATTTTTATATCATAACTTTACGAGAAGGTATTCTTTTAAATTAAAATTTTTAATTTACGCTTTGACATATCTATAAACTTTATTTATAGAAACATTATTTCAAGTTAAAGTGAAAACTATAACGTCGTAGTACACTTTAACAAACATTGCACGCGCAATTAAATATTCAATCGTTTAATAACATTTTAATGAAACATTCTTTCAGATAATATTAGTGTATAGCAGAGGTGACTAAACTATTTTTAGTAGAGATCTACTAAGAATATATTTTTTCCTTTGAGGACCGACTTTCTAACCAAAAATGTATAATTATAACTTATTATCTAATTGGTATTAATAATAAACTTACACTCACAAAATAATAAAATTAAGATGTATTATTAAATAATGATTTTCATCACACTATATTATTAATTCTAACAAAATAATATTGTAAATACAATGCAAATATAAACTCTGTTGAATTGTATTACTTAAAAAATGTACAACAAAATAAATACAATTAAAATAAAAATGATCAGCAATTGTTATTTATCTACTAGTTATATAAAAATAAATTCTAACAAAATGGAGCTCGACATTTAAGTCATGCACCGTCGACCGTTTGACCACCCTTATAAAGTTTAAATAATTATTATCGGACATTAGTTCCAAGTACACTGCAAGTACACTGCATTTTCGCAGACGTTTTACGTGTCAAAAATGTAAATCATATATTATACAAGTATTATTATATATTATAAGTGCGATTATCATGTTTTTTCCATGTACGATACTTGTATAACTTTTATGTTAAAATAATAAAACAATTTACTATTGAGACGTATGTAGTGCGACGGTTGTGTAGTTTTAAATGTATAACATATTATTACCATATGGAAGTTAATATTGTAATAAATAAAATAAGTAAAGAGAATGGGGTGACAGTGATACCCATACTACATTTCTATGGTGTACGTAACAAAGTTTAAAATTATAAATCACTTAGTAAATATTATACATTTAATAATTTGTTAATTGTTGTTAAATGTTAAATCTAACGACTAATTAATAATGATCTAATGATCTTTGGTGGCGTAAAATTTTAATATCTTTATTACAGTTGAACGGATCCATATTGTCGGTTATATTAAACCCGCAATAATTTACAGTTTGCTTTTGAACTAAAGTTAGTTAGTAATTATTATTCTCACCAAAGCAATAATAAACATCACTTTAATAGGATTTTCGAATGTTTTTTATTCCAATTACTCAGCGAACCAAAATAGAATATGTTTATACTTTCGAAGGATATTTTAATATTTTATTATACGTTTTGTCCATTTCTTAATATTTAGGAATTAGTTTTATTAATTATTGATGTGGCAATTTGAATTCAAAAAAATATAACAAATAAGTACAATATTTGATTTGTAGTTAAGTAACCATTTAATTTTTCGAATAGTTACTTAAAATGATCATACGCCTACTATAATGTGCTTACTCAAGCGGAATATTAGAGCGGTAATCCATTCCGAGTGTGAAGTACATTTTCGACTTTGAAAGGTTATTTTTCTTTTTTAATTCCATTATTAAATGAAAAAAAAAACACTTTGTTGTTATCGTAAATGTCGATATACCATGCGATTGTACCGTTTATTAAACTAAGTGTATTAGATTCAAGAGGAATTATAAAAATTGTCTCAATAATGAATTGTTAAAATAATATTGAGTTTAAAAAACCTCGTTTTTGTAGCAGATTACATCATGTTTTGATGAAAATGTATTGAACAAATTAAAAACAAATTTAAACTATACATATACGTTAATTTTTTTTATATTCTGAGAGTAGCGAGTTCGTTTCACTACGATGATTGCTATTCTTGAACTTTTCTTCTAAAAATATTCTGCAATAAAAAAACTGTATAGAACTTTTCGTAGGTACAACATTTTTGTTCCAGTTAGAGCATTGAAAAGGTTATATTTTGATTTTTCTTAAATTGACTAATGATCAGGGTTCGGGATTTATAGAATTTAAAATCAACAAAAAAAAAGTTTAAAAATTTAATAAGCCCTTTAAGTACAGAAATACGCCAGAAACCATTTTCAAATTGCACATTTGAGCTAGTTGTAACATGACATGAATTTTAATAGAACTCTGCTAGATTTAATGTCAATCCAAACAAATTAGTAAATACTATACGTCCCGGAAACCCTGCTAATGACTATGATAGTATTCGTTTAATTATTATGTGTTTCTGTCTGTAATCTATGTCCCACTTTTCCCGTTAAAATAATAAACAGGCTTGCATAAAATATAATGAGATAAAAATACAAATATCATCCGCATTGGTGTGTTTTACGAAGGTTTCGCGTTTTACTTTTTAGAAAATATGTGATATGAATAAAATTAAATACGTAAGCGAAATTTGCATACTTACGCATGTTTTCGCAGTATAATATATAATATAGAAATTGTAAATAGGTACTTTATATTTTTATGAAATTTCGAAGTACACGAAAGACCTTTAACGTAAAATAACATTGTTGTAAAATAATAGGAATATAACTTCCGTATTTTTCTCGCATCATTCAAGCTATACATAATTTATATTATACTCGTACCTATATAATATATAATATATACAAACTATGTATTTTATATAATATAGGACATAGAATTCAGAAATGATTTGTTTTCTCTGCGGAATAGTAGAAAAAAACAAATCAGATACTTTTGAAATGTGACACTATTTTGAAAAGACAGATAGTGTAACACACTTGCTGCATGAAATAGGTAATTATGACGCGTCCAAGTGGGGTCCCACGATCAAAATTTCTTAGTGGGCTCGCCCGGGTATATAAAGGCAGAATACGTTTTGGAAGTTTAAAAAAATAAAATATAATATTCTTCCCAATATATATATATATATATAGAGAGATATCAGTTTATAGAAGTTTTAAAAATTACCCGAAATAGATACTTACATTAAAATGAGATGTTCAGAAAAACACCAAAAGGATTGTATTTTATAAAAAAAACAAAATGTATAAATAAGAAAATGGCAGAAAATATCAATGGAAAAATAGAACTTAACTCCTAAATATCAGAAGGAAAATGTTTTGAATTGTTTTTAAACGTCCAGAACCAACTAGTATATAGTATTCATAACTCATTGAGAACCAAACTAATCAACTAGTGTAATGCCTATCAGGTACTGGTGAGAATTTCGGCAATACAAGTCAGAAGGGATACAATGATACATCAACTGTTATAGTTTTACAAGAAGCATCATAGAAGGAGAGGCGTAGCCGATTATATTGGAACTTGAAACAGGCAGTCTGAGGACCCGGAGTACATGCATCGAATTCAAATAGACGTGGATATTCGTACTTTAATTGTTATTTGATTTTAAGAAATTAAGTTACGGACATAGAGATCCGCGCAGTAAACGAATCAGAAGTGATTGAAGACGATGCGAAGGAGTAGAGCTGAAGTTATAAATAATTAATTAAGAAATAATAATCGTAGAATCCTGTTGTCAAAAGAAACCCCCCCTTTTACACAATTCGTCTCGTCGTTAAAACCCGAAGTATTATTACCACCAAAAACTGTGTATGAAGTCCATTTATATACGATTTCGCGATATCATTAATTATTAAACCGAATCAATTCATTAGGTGAATTGGCAGTCGCTGCAGTATAGGTAATATATAAAGCGCATTTGCCAAAAGTTATATAGGTATAGTTAGAGGTAGCCGTATGATAACGATTAATCGAAAAATACCACTTCTCAAAGTACGCCGACTTAACCGTAACATACGCGTACTGTATGGGTTCGGGAGGAGGGAGGGTTGTTGTCTCGATACAATTCGGAAGTTAATAGATTTCAAGCGGTAATATTTATGTTTTCGCTACGTAAAAGAAGAGAACATACGTTATATAGGTACATGTATCTATAGGTCGGTTAGTGATGCAGGACACGGGTACTTTAAGACCCGATTTTTTGAAAAAAAAAAAAACGATGGTCAAAAATAAACATAAAAATCGGAATTTTTTTTGTATTTGAGTAAAAACGAATTTCGCTAATTATTTATGAGTAGGAAAATGTAAAAAAAAAATATTAATTTCGTATTTTTTCTAATTTTGTTTTACACTGAAAAAGTTTGTCGTCAATATATGTACGCATAAAATGGTTTTGAAAACATTAATAAATTAACGTAGTTCGTTTCAAATAATATATTGCAGATACCCTTAATCCGAATATTGTTTTTTTATCCGCGGGAGAGATTCCATTAAAATACACAAAACACGCACCTGAGCCATCCACCGAGTCCTCTCGTTACGGGAAATTGGTATAAATTCTTAGTCCAGTCAATGTGAATGACTAATATTTTCTATATTTTTATATTTTTATGTGCATTTGCAAACGAAAAAATCGCATAAATATTCGCACTATGCACAGGCCACTGTTGTGGGTAGTAGGTCTGGAAGGTATTGGATATAAGGTAGGTTGTTAGTGCGTTTACTGAATTCTACGGTAAAATACCACAGTCAAAATACTATTCTTAAGGCATCTCGGAATATCCGAAAAGCTTATAGTATTAATCGTGTTTTTTGTAGTTGTAGTGTAGTTGTAGCCAAGGTAATCCAAAAACCAACAAAAATAAAACTAATGCAGCATTAAAATGCAAATTGTTGGCAGATTTTTTATGCTTTCTACAAAAACCACTGAGAATCTAGATAAATATTTCTGATTAAGTACCGTTAGACTTGAATCCCGTAATTTTGTTAAGATACTACGTCAAATATTGTAGCGTTTGTATCGTTACTAACTGAAAAAGCGTTAAAAGAAAAACACACATCGTAGTAAAACTAATAACTTTTCCGCTACGGTCAGAATCTATGGTTATTTTCATTCATTCATTTCACATTGTTTTTTTGTATATGTGTTTTAGTTTTCGAATTATTTCTGAACACAATAGGTACTCCGTGTAAACAAACTAATTAAACGTAAGTATCCGTTGAGGAATACAAATTAATATACCTACCAGCAATGGCCATTACTATAATATTATTATGGTGTAATGCGGGAGAAAAAAAAAGCTGATACTGGGGACGGATGTGCCACTGTTGTAGGAGGAAAGTTGCAAATGTAGGATATATAAAGTTATTTAATTTATATCTTTAAGCAACGACAAAAAACGATTCGGAGCAAAATACTATTATACAAGTTTTGAAAAACTGGAATATTTACGATTTTTGTTAAAATTTAATATTAAAATTCTTATAAAATAAATAACATTACATTGAATTCAACTTTTATTTTTGACCATAAAGTACGACTTTTAATGAACCTCCTATTGAATTTTCTAGCATTTCTATTTAATCCAACAATTTTATCCTATCGAATAAAATTTAGGAACAAAAAAAAAATAATTAAAATGTCTATAAATAACTCAAAAATAGCTTAAATATTTTAGAAAAATTGCCACGTCTATAAAAGGAAAATTAAGGTTTTCTATCTAAATTTCAAATTTATACAAATATTTTTAACTGAATTATAACACTAAAACAATAAAAAAGGCACTATTTTCGTAAATTTTCCCATTCTTTCTATGTTTTTTTTTTCTGTTTTGCTCAATTCTAAAAAAACTTCATAGGAAATTAAAAAACCACTTTCTTACCTATCAAATAGATAAAAAATTCAATAAAACAGGTCCCTTGTTGTTTTTCTATTGAAGTAATATTTCTGGAGAAAAAACATAAATTATAAAAATGCAAAATCATCAAATCGTTGTAAATATTTGTCCTTTCATCCATAAGTTTTTTCTAAAATTTCTGTTAAAACGTTAACTTGTCGGGGGAGCTAAAATGGGGTATTTATCACGAAAACGGCCGGAGGGGGGGGACAAATAAAAACTTGTCCGGAAACGGAAAAAACAATTAAAATTAGGCATTTTATTATCATAGACTACTCGTGGAAAAATGACGTCCCTAAATGACCGTGGTCACGCGTTCTTAGCACAAAGCATAAAGCGTCTCTTCACTTTTCGATTTCCGTAAAATCAAATATTATTTACTAAATTTGTTTTCCTGTCGTTCAGTAGTGTTGAAAATACACCTATTTTTACGATGATTCAAACGGTATTATCAACTCGTAACGAAACCAAGTAAATAAAATGACGTCGCGATACTTCTGTAAAGATAAACAGCAGCGGTCAGCAGAATTGTCGAACTCAACAAACAACCTAGGATAAATCATAATTCTACGAGACATTATAGATACTAAAATAAATATAATAAATACTTTACATTATATGATGAAAATATTTTAGTGTTGTAAACTAACCGTGATTTTATTGCGGTTTAAACATTATAATTAACCCGTAAGGAAACCGAATAAATAAAATTCCATCGCCATACTATTAAATCCATTAAAAATAATAGAAAGTGGAATAATACAAATTATTTTAAAACAGAATCATTCGTATCACATAAAATAGCTGTACAAAGAAATAAATGTTCTACCATTACAAAAAATTGCTTTGTAAAGCATTAGTAATTTATATAATTAAAAATAACTTAACACCTAATATAACATGACATAAGACAACTACATAATATTACTGTTCCTTTAGTGCACAGAATTTCGCTATCTCAAATTTTTAAGAGATAAATTGTATTTTTCTGTTCGAATTTCAAGCGTCTACAAATATTTTTAACTGAACTACAACAAAAAGACAATCAATTTAATGAAAACATTAATCATTTTTGTACATTTTCTCGTTCTTTCTACGGTTTTTTCAATTACCAAAAAAAAAAACTACCCGATATTTGCTACGACCTATGTAAAACCGATATCCGATCCGATACTCGAAATCGAAAACCATAAATGTTAACGTAGGAGAAACAATTAACCGACGTATCGGACGAGCCCCCGATTTCTTCTCGAAAATATTGGGCCGAATACATGGGCTTTGAAACGCGATATCCGATATTCCAATGTATTCGATATCGTACACTGCTCAGAATCGTTTTTCGTTAGCAACGGTCGCGCATGAACGTGTTATAAATAAAATTACTCTACGAGGTTGTCCGTCGCAGTATTGGACTTTCCTCCGAAAACGGCAGTGGCGTCGTGGGTGGCCTATATATTATTATATTTATTATAACGCAAACTTCCGACGGCGACGGTGACGATAGTAAGATGTATGAGAATTCGCGGTGACGTGACGCACGCGGTTTTTTCAACCCCCCCCCCCCCTCGTATCTTCCGCAAAGTGTGTATTTAAGCCATCGCCGCGGTGGGTAACTGTGAATAATTGTTTTGCTGTTTTTTTTTTTTTTTTTTTCCGTTGTTTTGTTTACTCCGGAGCGGGCGACGGACGCGCACCGACGAGGAAAGCCAGACAAACGAGCGGCGATAGCGGCGTAAACGGCGGCGACCGGGAGTCGACGTATTATATTATGGTCGTATTCTTCTCGCGGTCGCGGTCGCGGCGGGAACAATTAAAAACGAGGAGAGAAAATTACATAAAATAAAAAAAAAAAAATCGCGTATCAAACTCACGTATCGCGACAACGGTAAACCGGACGATTGAAAATTGAAAAACCGGTACGCGGATTACGGTCCGTCCGAGGTATACTGATAACAGGTGCCGATATCGGCGCGCGTAAATGTGTTACAGGGGTGGCGGCTTTCGGGTCATGCGTGGCTTTACGCGGCGGCCGACCCCTTACGGGACGCACTCGTGGACCACAGTAGTCGTCTCGCAGCATTCGCCGAACGACGCGCCCCGTCGGTCCCGGTCCAGCGCCCCGTCGTCGACGAACGCACCGTCCGCACCACTACGGAACACGGCCGTAAATCCATCACACAGCGCGCGCCGCACCGGTCGTAACGTGGCGTCCAGGTAAGACGGCAAATTGTTTCGCCGTGCGTATATTATAATGTCGGTGTTACGGGAATATTTTTACGGCTCGGGTATAACGGATTTCGGGCGGGGATTTTAACGAAATTAAAAAAAAAAAAAAAAAAACTGTCCTAGGGTAACGGTGACGGTGCAGCCACTATTGTCGGTAGGAAGATGGATGGGTAGGATATGGACGGGAATTTAACGTTTGTCTGTATATGCAACCATTGCTAACGGACAAAAACGGCGCTGAGCGGAGTTCGGTTGATACCGTTGCTTCGTCATAGTTGTCATAATATTATGGTAAAAAAAAATTTCATAATATGCATTATATATTTTTTTTTAACAATATTCGTTCAATAATTTGTACATACTTTCCCTATTTCCTACGTTTTTACCGGTTTTCCCGCTAATTGGGAAAATTCTCGAGCAAATCAAAAAATTACTTCCCTAAAGTACCACCCATGTCAGATTTCCTTTCAAAAAAAGTGCTACACTTGTAAATGGGATCAAAAAAAAAACATTACACCGATACATTCCTCGTTCCACTCAGAATCTAAAAACCTAAACAGACTTACTTCACAGGACGAGTGGGCTACCGTTATATGTTGGATAGACATTAGAGGAGAAATATTTTAATGTTTATCTGTATACATTATCTATATACATAAATGTAATCATTTCTAATGAATAACGATTCTGAGCGGAGTTCGGTTATATATATGTTTTGAAAGGCCGTAATATATAATACGACTTGAAAATAATACATTTCGTACATTTTTTCGTTTTTCCTGCGTTTTTTCCTGGTTATTCATATCCATTATGAAAACCCCTGGAAAAATTTAAAATCGACCCTTTTAAAGTATCACCCTAGGAAAATTTCCTTTCGGAAAAAGTACTACACTTAAAAATAGGAGTGAAATTTTAGGTAGAAAATTTGTTGAAAGAAAAAGAAAATGAACATTATTTTAAAACCAATACATTTCTCGTTCCGCTCATAATCCAAAATAGCAGAAATTGTCCACGGGTAGGCCACTGTTTATATATATTTGGGAAGATATTATGTGGAATGGAATAATTTTTTAATACATATACTGTATATAACAGTAAATGAATTTAAATAAAAAAAAAAAACCAATTCTGAGTGGAATAGTATTAAAAGTCTTCGTTTATCTTATCTCATAGTCAATGTAACTATTTGAAAACCATCAATAAAAATAAAACCGATGTACCGATGTTGTTGGTTTTTGATATTTGTTTTCATTTTATAGAAAACCTTTCTGGGATCTAGATATTTTTTTTTTTTTCAAATAAGTACTATCGGGCGAAAAATTCCCATGTTAAACGATGCGAATGATTTGGAGTCTTCTGACAAACCAAATAAAAGCACCTAGGGAATAAGTTGTTGAACATTTCGATACATTTTTCATGTACCCCCGGGCAGAAATTTCACACATCTTTTAGATACTACGTGATAACATTGGAGCTGTTGCTTAATCAGTATTTGAAAAAGAAAACCCTTAATTCGATTTGTTTGAAAAAGTATAAGGGATTTTGATAAATGTTTTAAATTAAGTACCAGCAGAAAATAAGTCCGCATCTTTTGGATTTTTGAAGTTATGTCATAAAATAACTGGTATATTTTTACTAACCAAAAAAATGTTTACTGAGAAAATAACACACATCATAATTACTTAGAATCTAAAATGAATATTACCTTCTAGGGTGATTTAAGAATAAAATAATTTCAATAATATTGTGAATTCAATTCAAGTAAAATTAAAAAAAAATCACACGAATTTTCTATCATTCAATTTTTAACACGGCATTATTTTGGAAAATCAGTTATGATACGAAATATCTATTTTTAACAATTTCATAGAATAGATGTTTTTTTCTAAAACCGTAGATACTTCTAACACCAAATACAGTGAATCATATAATTATAACAACAATTGATTCCTTGTAGATCATCATAAATATTACAGCGACTTTATTATATGAAATTTCCATTTTAGACATTTTTTTTTTCTATTAAACCGCAATTTATTGAAGTTTTCTTGAAATTCAAAAAAAAAAAAATGAATAATATTATTATTTACACTAATTTTGTTTTGATAAGTGAATAACACTGCAAAACGTGTATGGTCTGGTACAGAGACACACGGTGAGTATGATATGTTATAATAAAAAACATATTTCTAATCTTTAAAAATATTAGGTACCTATCTACGAATAACGGTTGGTATTATTACCAACGGTCACATTTGAGTTGTAATCGATTTTTTAAATGATTTTTATATTTCAAAATTGTCTAGAATTTCTACAACGATATAATCATAACTTATGAGTTTTAAGTTTTCGGAAAAAGTACTTGAAAAAAATAAAAAAATAATTTTATATCAATCCAATTGCATTTTTAAGGTGCTCTTTCATCCTATAAATACTCGCCCCCGTCCTTATTATTTCAATAAAATTATTTTATTTTAAAATTAACTTATACCTAATCGTTTAACCTAATTTTAGGTGTAGTCGATGACGTGACGATCACGGACCTCGAAATATATTAAAACACGTCTTTTCGATATATCTTTTTGTTTCAAAGAGAAATTACACCACGATCATATTGATAGTAGTTTGTTTCTGTATACTATATACTATGATGTTCAATGTAGAAACTTTAGTTCGTTTCTCCCCGACGAAAATAATGATAGCTATACGTGAACATATATTACTCGATTTATTTTCAACACGTTCATATATTTTTATTACGTTCATTAGAAAATATTACAACACGCGGTGGTTATATCGGTTTTTATGAAATTATTCTTTTATTATTTCCACGCTAAAAGAGAAGAACCAGTAAACCAGTATCGGTATTGGTATCGAGAACCGAAAGAATGATTTTCAGAACCGAATAAGGACCGGTACTGATGTTTTCAAGAATCGACTCAATCCTACTATAAAAATAATATGTTCGATTTTGCATAACATTCGACAGTAATAACAACGCTCGTCATTATTTATCGACATTTTCTTTTTTATCTTACCTAATCAAATTTCTTAGACTTTATAGCATCATGATTCAGTATCAATATATACTATATACATAATATTTCCTAACGAAAATTTATATTTTATATAAAAAAAAAAAAATAGACTCGATCATTTGTCTTCCACTGTATTAATTATAACTATTTAAATTTCAGTTTGTACAATGAAAACTAATCTAGTTATCTCAATAAGTTAATGCCAAAAATAATTAACTTCAAATAGTTCAAATTTTTATTCTCATCCTTAAAATGAGCGTTTAGGAGGAAATTTAACAAAGATAATTATAAGAATAAATGAGTGTGGTATAATTAGCCATAACTCACGCGCACCAGTTTTATACGAACATGAATGATCCGATGGCTTGGCGTAGTGATGCAAAGAATCTAGGGTTATAAATGCAGAGCCGGCCCAGGGAAAGATGCATGGATGTCGTGGAGGAAGACATAAATGAGGGAACAAAAATTGAGAGAAATAGTTCAGGATCGAATAAAGTGATGGAGTGATGGATACTGTGTTGGTAGCAAAAACCCTCAGAGGATATTATATGACAGAAAAAGAAGAAAATAATGTCTACCATTAAATCTTGTGTTATGGCTTGAAGAAAATATAATAGATACATGACTTTCTAGTCATCGTTAAAAGGATTCAATACCGAAATAATAGTTATTGTTATATTTAACCGAACCCAGTGCTCGTATGTATTATTATCAGATTATATGCAGGTACGACACACATAAAAACGTATCATGAATATTAATCACTCGCTCACCGAACCACTGTATCTCAATAACGACTGGGTTAAGAAACTTGACATTTCGCAAAGAGGCAATAAGGCGGGATTTTTGAAAATTCGAACCCTAAATATGGGCGTTCTTACGAATCTGGTTATTAAAATACGAAAATCGCTAAAACTTTTTACTATATTATTATCATTAATTCCGGATCATAACTTGGTGACATACGGATGAAAATAAAAATATATTAAATTTATCATTTGTATGCGTTTAATTTGTCACTGACAATGCCGCGCTGCGCTGGACAACCGTATTATAATAATATGTATTTTTAATGTTTTTTTAACGAACTTACGATATTCAAACGAAGTACCTTTATTCACGAAGTAAAGAAATTATTGCCATTTTTTTCAATTATAACAACGTATTGTAATTTTTTAGGTAAGTGATTTTTAACAAACGCGACAAATTTAAAATCAAAAATAGGTACCTACTCGTTTAATTAAATTTGAATTTTTTTACCATGATTTTTTTTGTTTTTGTTTTTCTGTAATAACTTCCGTTTTCCAATTATAATGTTTTCACTGCGACGCATGTAGAATAAACGCGTAAACGTTTGTAATCATTTGTCGAAAATATACGCACCGAGTCACATCACAACCGTATTACATTCATTGCTGTTTGATCAACCCGACCACACAAATACGAGTATGGCACAGCGTACCGTACGCCCACTTAAGTAGGAAACATAATAATAATCGACAAAATAGAATAATAACAACAAAACACGAACGTGTGTACAGTCGAGAGCGTTTATGTTTATTTTCAAACGGTTCTTACGGTTTTCGATCGAAAATGGTATTTTTTTTCTTTTTGTATAAAACTACCGAGCAAGAGGACTCCAACACCATACTGATAAACACAAAATCAATATTACGAAGGAATAATCGATTTTCAATATATTTGGAGCTTTTGCGCCGAATAGGATTTCGTGTAAAGTCAATTGATTTCAAAGATCGCTGTCTTCCCTGTCAAGAGGATTTGCGCACGCTACTGATATATATTCCTGTACGGTACATACGGTAATGGCCATGTCAATAGAGCCCACCGGACTACAATAATAGTATAATATAAATTAATGAATGAAACAGACATTGGACGACCTAAAATGTCCGGTCGATAAAATATTAGTATTATAAGAATAGACCAGTTACGTGAATTAAACTAATTGCAAAAAAAAAAAAAACGTTTAACCAGTAATATCGTCACATAACAATGTGTGATTAAATAAAATAATATCAAAAATAGTTCGATCGGTTCGGGGCACCTCAAAATACCTGAACATTTGATTCATAAATAAATAATTTAACTACGGTTAAACAATTATTTGTATTTTGGTTATAGATTTCGAAAAATATTTTAGTGTTCGATTTTCATAATACCGTAAGCAATTTTAATTAACTAACAAAATATAATTTTCTCTCTCTTCAATCCTTGTCGTTTGTGATGTTTATTTTAATATTTTAAGGTGTTTATGTTTATTTCTTAAGAAAATTGGATTTTTGAAAAACTCGCGCTCTCGTTTCAATAGAAAAAAATATTTATTATATAATAAAGGGGAAGATAGTTTTATCCTATGCAAATTATTGTTTATTAATTTGACCAATGATATTGTACGGACCTGAAAAGTGGCAGCTGAGGGAAACAGCTGAAAATAAAATATGTCAATACTTGAAAGACAAATATTTTGGAAGATCATTGAACTAGTTTAAGATAACTTACCCGGAGAGTGGAGATTAAGTGGACATGGTTGGAACAGAATCCAATAGGGAAAATTCTTTTATAACTTAAGAACGTAGAAGCTTTATGAGGTACACGAAATTGGAAGATTTTGATATTGATGAGTGTACATCTGAGAGATTCATTGTGTGTCGGGATGACCCTAGAAGCCGAATAATCCAAATAATCATAGTTAAATAATTAATAAATTTGTTTTCAACAAAAACACCGTTTTACAAGTATTTCATTTACAGTATATAGACCCCCAGGAAATGTTCAAAACAATTCATATTTCGTGAGTTTTTTTTTTATTTGCGCCAACTCTGAAATAAAATATTATTATAGATAATCTTTCTTTTGTTTTTTACAACATAAATATTGAACATTATAATATCTCAACTAGTATTGCAAATATATCTATGAAATAAGTAAATTAAAATAAATTTCCATCGAATGTAAATAAGAGTTTGAAGTTTCCTAAAATGAATGGGTGTATTGTAATAAAATTAAATATGCATAATTCGAGTATAAATATTTGCACGTAAACTAAAACTTTTCCACAAAAAAAAATAAAGTATGGTCGGGGATATTATAATACGTATACAGTGCATACTTTTAACTTAAATTAATTGGAAAAACATGAAAAATATAATCCAATATAATTAGATTGGTAACAATATAATTACTGGGTATTGTGTTTCACCATAATCATGAAAATAAGAAACGAGGCTAACATTCTTTTTATTATCGTTTGATTTTCAGATTTTCGAAAAACTTACCGCGTTTCTCGAACGAATATGAATTTTTCAGTAGATTATATTATATTGACGGTACACTATAAATACGTTTTATACATATACGTAAGATCCTTTATTATTCACGGTTTTGTTTATTCAATAAATTTCGGTATTCAGTCTAATATTCCACATTGTGTATTTTAATGCTATACCTATGACCTACTGGTTATATTAATCTTATAAAATTCATGAAATGTTTGCGATATTGTCAAACTGTTCGAACTATACATGTTTTTTTTTTTTTTTTTTTCGAAGCATCAGAATATTTGGGTCTACCAGCTACGGCGAGTATATCCCAGAGGAAAGGCGATTGATCATTTCCGACGATATCTCGAAGTATAGTTGGAAACCCGAAATGTTTACCATATAAAAGGTTTTTTATTTTTCCTTTACGAGTAAACATTATTCCTGAAATCCCGTATGTATAATATATCGTTGTTCCGACTATTTTGTATAGGGTTTTTTTTTTTTTTTTTTGTAAGGTAATTTTTTCTTCCATTTTATGTTATCGCATTAATTCGTGACTCTCTAAATTTAAAAAAAAAAAAAGTACATACTCTTTATGAGGTAAATACCATTCTGGGAACGTGCTAAATTCCCAGGTTTCTATGGTATAATACGTTCAATTTATTCAGTTTGTAAATGAATCTTTTGATCAGCGAGTTACGACAAATCCTTGCAAATGAAAAACCCGATTAACTGTTGGTTTCCGTGACAACCACTAATGTCGATTTTTTTTTAATCGTAATTGACGAAACCCAGCAATCAACAAGAAAAAAGTCCAAGTTTCCACGTGAATCGTATTAAACCCATTTAAATTTAAAATCCGTGTTCGAGATGTTCACAGATTCTTAAATCGATCCGTCTACGTTCAAAACATTTCACATCAGCTGTGCGTGATTTTGTCCAACCACTAATTTTATTATTTTAAAAATGGTCGTTCTTCTCTAATTCACCGACTAGGTACTGCTCTGTCAGTAAAAACCTCTTAATGTTTAGTGATTGGAGCAAGCCTTTTGGTCGGGTTAATAGACAAAAAAACCCACAAATCATATAATTATATAGTACAATCAATGTAATTCTGTCCCCATATTAAGAATCTAAAATATTCGATTCAAATGTAGATTTCACAATGTTTGGTATTTTCAATTTTTTTGGAGCTTTAGAGATATTGTTTTCTTTTAAATTGATGGTAAAAATTGTGGTAATCGTCTAAAATTGTTACAGTCCTTATTATAGGATGCCATGTAATTTAAAGATATAAATTTATTTGCAACCAAAAATCGTTTTAAGAACTAAAAAAATCAAGCGACCTCGCAGATTTAATAATAAACGACATGACACATTTGACCTGGCAAAATATTACTTCGTCATTTACAGAGTGCATAAAAATTCCAATACAAACGTAGAACAAATCATTTTTTACACTGTCAGAAAGCACTTTGAATAGAAATGAAAATATTGAAGTATATTCTTAAACAAACGAGATCACTTTTCTTACAGTGGGATTACAAGTTGCAAAAACACACCTACGTCATATTATAAACAAGTAGATACCTGAAGACATCAGAAAAATAAAAAAAAAAAACGCTGTCTCTAATTTCTCTAATTCGAATTATAATTATTATTTCGGCGTCTTTCCGTCATTCAGAACGCGTCCAAAGTGCCCCTCCCAATAATATAATATAGCGGTCTCATGCTACAGACAATCTCCGACCCATCCTTTTCGATTCATTGTGTTGTCAGTGATGTTCTTTATAAAACTTATTTTTTAAATTATGCGTTGCATACCTTTTGGCGTTTGTATTCCTCGCGATAAACATAAATCACCTTGGGCGCGCCCATGTCCCCTCAGAACCCTCAGAACGACTATTTCACTTACAAAACGTTTTAAACCGCGCACCACCGTTAATACGTTTAAAACGTATTATTTTCATGAATATTTCAACTGTTATACTTAATAGGTTGGTTACTCGACGATATAACATTTAAATTTATGTATAGTGCCCTCTACCGGCGCACGCAATTAACCTATATAAAGTGTAGCGTATACACCTATGTATCTAAAAATATGTGAAATGTATTGGTTTTACAATGATGTGTATTTTATTTTTTGTGTCTTTTTATAACTTTTTTACCAGAATATTTGCTCCAATCAGAAACTGAATACAGAGATATTTTTAACATTTTTTTTTATCTAATTGGTGCATTGAGGAAGCCATTTTTTATTATTATTATTTTTTTTTTTTTTATGTAGATTTCATAATAATTGCGAAAATCCGATACAATTTATGGCGATAAATTTAACGTTTCATAATTTTCGATTTTTTCAATTTCATTTTTTTATCGAAAATCTCGCTTCAAATTTTAAGAGAAGCATAAAGAGAAGAAAACTTTTTTTTTTTATAAAAGAGTTTTAAGCTACAAAAATTGTAAAAACTATCAGATTTTAAAACTTGACCGAACTTTGTTCAGAATCGTATTTCGTCTGCAATGGTTTATCGTTGCGTCCAGATATAAATTAAATAATTTTATATTACATTATCAACTTCCTACCTACTACAGTGTGTAGTACACCCATAACAGTATCAGATTTTTTTTTTTTATTATAATTGTTACTCGCCGGCTGCTACCATCACTGTAGTGTTACCCATCGATCGTAGCGTTGTGTCTGTAATCATACAGGTTGATAATAATATTGCCTGCCAACGTATTTAATTTCGAGTTTTGTCGTTCTCGTTTGTGTAATAAACGTTGTGAAAATAAAATATAGATATTATCACACATGTATGTTTTGTAATCATTAATTCCGACGGTACGATGCTTTTGTTCGACAAAAGATATGATCGGAAAAAATAATTATGAGCAACCCAGGATACGAACATATTCCATACATAGTTCAACCGTTAATAATAATTTTAGAAAATCGCGCTCAAAACGTTGTCCGTTAAGTAAACAAATGTTGGTTGTTTTTTTTTTCGCTTTTTCTTCACACGTGTTAAAAACCGTGGAATTCGTTCGATGGAAATGCTGAATTTTCAATATGAGTTTTAAATTGTGAAAATCGTTAAATAAATTTCGTGCGTGTAGTTATTTGCGTTTATTTATACGACAATATTATTGCGTTTGGTTATTCATATTTGATTTCAATGTGCATTGTGCAAATTATAATGATACGGAACTCGCATTTACCATTTAAGTAATCATTTGTATTGGGCTAAATTTAAAAATAAATATATGAATCAAAGATTTCTGACCGTAAACCGCGTTGAAAACATTTTTGTTAGTGGTGGTTATTCTTTGTGTTAAAAATTTTCAATTAACTGTAATTTTAAAGTTGTATGTATGTATACATATATATATATATTCAAATAATTTAGATTAATTTATGTATGTGGGTAAACAGTATAATATTTATAGCTATAATATGAGTTCTTGAAAAAAAACTTTTAAGTTCTAAAAACTTGCTAAAACACTTACCAGAAAGTTACGATATTAAGCAAACTGTAATAATATATTATACCTTGTCTATATTGCAGATTAGGTATACATAATGTCGAAGTTGAAATAAAGTTAATTTTACTATAGATTACTTCAGAGTTTAACATATTCTTACAGGTATATGAAAATGATTAGGAATATTGGGAATCTTTACACAAAATGTTTCGTAACAGTAATCCACCACTAAGTGTTTCAATTTTTCCCAGTTACTTCGAAAGCCTGTTTTATTTTTTACATTTAAGTACTCTTAGAATATTTCCGTAATTTTAAAAAACAATTATGTTTGAATTTGACGTTTGATACAAAGTCCACATATCTATAAGTATCTATAAGTCACTTATTTTCACTAGATGCTGATGCTCAAAAGCTTAATGTCCTCAAAATAAACCAAAATTTAATTAATGTACCAAACATATCAATAAGACAATTTTGCAAGAAATATCATTGTGTAATTTTATTTGTCAATATCTATCCTAGGAAACCGAAACTGTGAATTGTGTTCCTCTGGATAATTAGATATCTTCTGTAGATGAACAACACGGTGGAATTTCTAAAAATCCAGCTCCTAATAAGGATTATAGGATGAATGGAGCTTGATTTCCGGCCTTATAATTCGGAAAAATACATTTATTTTTGTTCGATCCTACGTTATCTATAAAAAAAAAAAAAAATGTTTATTGCATTAATTAACAAATCATGTTGGGTCTACAGTAGAGTATTTTACCTGTCCAAAGTAATGGTTTTCGCATCGAAAGGTAATTAATTATAGAAATTATTTAGGAAAATACCAATACATTGGTTCAGAACTTTTAAACTTTATAACAATGAATTTATTGTTTTAACCTAAAATTATAATCGAAATTCAGACATGAAAGATTTAAATCCACACGCAGCTTTATAAACGATATATAAATCTGGCGCGTCAGTTGAACACGCGTCAGATGCATCGTTTCGAAACAGATATATTTTAATTAGTTTTCTCCGTTCGTTCATTGAATAAATTGCGTTCATCTATTATTATACAAGGAACGAAACCCCTCAATTATACGGATTTTAATTACAGTGCAGCACGTCATTTCGATCGAAACTTTCGGAAATACGACTTACGAGGGTTATGATAATATTATCTTACGGTATCTTCTATAATGGAACATTTATAGAAAAATAAAATATTTTTATTTTCATACATAATACGTTACAAAAACTATTTCGTTTCGTTTCATATTATGCAGGATCTATAGCAAAGAAGTTTAATTTTATAAAAATGTGTTTTTGCTCTTTTTACGCCTCGTGGTAAATTATTTGAACAATATTCAATATAATTGTTCACAGTTTTTCATAAAAATTAAAAAACAAAACTAACATCAATAATTGATGGCAATAGTACAACAATATTAGTTTTGTTGATTTCCATATTACCTTGGCTACACTGAAAAAAAATCACGATTAATAAAATAACTTTTTTAGTTTACCACGAGCTCTGTTTAGAATGGTTTTTTTGTTCTATCGTTGCTTTTCAGTTTGTATAATATATAAATTAATGTATACACTATCATTATTGGCTTATTTAGAAATTTCTCTTGAGGGTGTCCAGATAGTTTTAGTAACACAATTGAATTTGATAGGCTATCAAATGCAATATCTTCTCAAATTTCCCCTCCCCTCTCAATAGTGACCTACAAAATATGTCCGATTTTTTTTAAATATGAAGTATCTATACTATGTAATTCAAGTTTCGTTACTTTTTCTCACGAGTTCAATATGTGCGCACCACCACTACCATCACTGCTCCGGTGAATATTACTACCGCGATAAATAATACAATTGTTCGTATTAATGCGTGTTGATTGAAATTCCACTCGTTTAAATAATAAGTACGCAGTCTAACCAAAAAGCGCATTGTGCATACACTTATTAGATTTCAAAGTATTTAACACACGCACGTTGATAAACATAATGTTCAAAAGAATTATAACTTTGTATTAAAGCCGTGTACCTACCACGAACTTATAATTTATTTAACGCGTTTAAATTTAACAAAACTCCTGCTCTCCAATGCGGAAGTATTGTAATTTTGTTAAAAGTCGGTGGCATAAGTAATAATATTACTTATATTCACCCCGTTTTAGAAATAACGCGCAAAGAACTTAGTGTGTATTATTATCATAACTGTGTATTATACATTTTGTTGAAATATGTCAAAGGACGGAAACATAATTCAATATGTATTTGTATAAATATACGTAGATAACGCTCCGAGCTTTGCGTTATTTCAGAGAGGCGCCGTCATCGTCATTGTTAATAATATTTGTTTTTGATCTTTCGTGATATTCGCTTTGTTCTTGCAATATGTGCGCGCAGCGTTGAGAAAAACGAAATAAATACCGGCACGTGTATGTATGTAGTCACCAATCCAGCGTAAGACACTCATTATCTCGGTCAGAAAGTGTTATAACTTTGTTCTGAATTTAATTCATAGACAATTTAAGAACCAAGCAGTTTCAGCGTTTCGCATTACCATATTGTTTTTGTCACTCTTATTTTTGTGACGAATACCTACTTTTGATTTTCAAATACCGAAATATCGAAGTAAATTAAACATTCAATAAGAAGTCGAAGTTTTAGTTATGGTAGGGAGAAAGTAGTGAAGTACTGTTGAAACGCCACGCGCCCGTCGACACACTAATTATGCTCCGTTTTACTCTGTCTCTGCCGAAACTTAAAAGTAAAATATTTCGACAACGGGTTGGTAAAAGTACAAATTTCAATACCAATATTGATTTAAACTAATATTCCATTTATTTATGGAATTTTCTATAAAGGTTGCCATTTGTAAATCAAAAAAAAGATAGTTCGTTGTTCCACCTCCTTAAAATTAAGGATGACAAAAAATAACGGCAATGTACAATTGTAAATTTCATAGTTTCTTAAATTTTCTGTAAACCAAACTCCGAAAAAGTTAACACTTATCGAAATAATGAATGTCTTATGATAGATTGATCACTCATTGATCACTCTGTATAGTAGACGGTTAACTCACCAATATATTTCAGTATATCTATAATCTATTGATTTCCAGGACCGGATAAGGCTCGGCAGAATGTTGTACAAGAATAATAAATTGACGCGCATTAACGATTAATAGTAACAACAACAAAAAAAGAAAAGAAAACAGTGATTATAATCGAAAGTGAAAGTGTTTTTATTTGTTTATTTTTTTTTTTTTTTTTTTTTTGAAACTAAACATTACAGCAAATAAATGATGATATTTCGTCCTATTATTTTTTTAACATAAAATTATATAATATATTGATATAGGTACGTAGTTTATATGCTACATATATTGTAAAATAATTGTTAATAAAATATAATAATATGGTTCGTCTTCAACTAGGTAATTATTAAGAATATTTAGAGTTTTTTCCGGTTAGGTGTCAATACCCACAAAATGTGAATCTATATTACATTTCAAACTGTTATTATCGTAACATTGGAAAAGTCAATAAACGGGAAAATAGGGTGTGTGTCATGCGTGTTGGCTATACAAAAAGAGCATTGGGAATAAGTTCTTAGATAACTTAGGTCCAACAAATTTTAACGGTATGCCACTGTTTCTAAAAAACTTTATTTTCATCAATAAATAAAAATAAGTATGTGTCTGATAAAAAAGCTAATGCTAACTAATTGTTATCTGAACAATAATTTTTGTATAACCAGGAGATTAAGTAATTTTAATTTTTGTTGAATATTCCAAGTAAGTTATATCGTGTAACAACTCATTTACCTAGCTACAATCTCGGCTTAATGAGGTAATTTAAAATAACAATAGCCGGTGCATTAATAATTTCTGTTTTTGTTTGTATTTTAATTTAAGAAATTTAATTATAATGTTATGATGCGTATTGTTTTTTCTAATAAAAAAATATTGTGGATTTAAAATTTGAAAATAATAATAATTTGTCATTTAAGTTTTTTCTTCATAAATATAAAAAAAAACACCGGGAGCAGAGATACTCTTACAAAAGTAATTTAAATTTTTTTATTTATCTGTAAAATAATAGCTTTTCAGTAGCTTATTTGCATTGAAATATGTTTCCTTCGAAACGATTCATAATATAAAATGTCATTTGATTTCAAATTTCATATAATATGAGATTTTTGCATAAGGCATAATTTAAATGTAAAATGCACAACTAAACGGGATCCGAAACAATTTTTCCAAAATTTATGAAATATCCATTATTCAATATCCGAATTTTTGATTAAAAAAAAATTACCTAAATATTTTAAATAATTATTTATTTTATTTATCTATTATATGGGTGACATTTTTTACATTGACAAATTTACGGAAGTTTAAATTCAAAAAAATATTAGGGTGGTTTACTACTTTTTTTTTAAGAGCATATCGTTTGGTAATTTTTAGAGCACATAGCCTAGTAATAGGATTATTGAAAACTAAAATACCAATCTAATATTCATAGTGTAATATGCAGCTTACGTCTGTAAGCTGGTAACTTGCGCTCGCTTTTATTGTGGCCAATAACAGTATTCTGACCGGCAACTATATATATACATACATACAGACAGACTACAATAGTAATAGAACTCCTGTTGTTAAATCCACGGGGGTATAGGTTCGTTGTCGGGGCTTCGTTGGAAATATTAAGCCTACGGAATTGCCGATAACACGAACCAGGCATGGCAGCCGGGCTCGGGACTCCCATTCGATTTACATAAATCGATCGGACCAAATATGTATAGTTGCAGTAAGCACGGTTAAGCCGACGACGACCAACTGGTCGAAACCTAAATTGGTTGCCGTACAATTTCAAATTGAATATAGATGGCAAAACATAATTATTCCCGACGAAATATCCGGAAAAGAAAACGTTCGAATCGCCTTTTTTTTATTCCAGTCCATTCTTCCCTCCGAGAAGGCGAAGAAAACCTAAACGTATTCCAATATCGTTTCATCGTCCAGAGACTTCGACCACCTCCATTCGCTAACTTCGTTAGCTAGCGTTGGAACTTCAGAAATCATTGACCGTCAATTGGTTATGCGAAACCGCGTTGGTTTAGGTCTGCAGATGAAAAAAATGTTTAGACTTTTCTCGTGGAATCTTTTTCTCTCTGTTCTCACGAGGAAATAAATCTTATAGGTTCTGTTATACACTTTGGTTCATCCGAACTAACGATACGAATATTAAAAGGTCCGAGGTGATCGTTTTTGTACTGTATAGCCATTGTAGGTTACCTACCCTTAAACAAATAAATTGCATTACTCATATAATTAAAAAAAAAAAAAAAAAAAAAAAAATGAAAAACCTTTATTATTTATTATCGCCCTCAGTCATATCCCCGCGATAATACAACAATTAATCCAGTCATATTGCCTGACAATAAATACGGCTGCGTATCTCGGTGCGCCCCACATTCCTTTTTTACAACTTCTTGTGTATTTCGTATTCAAATGGATATTTTGTTTTTAGACCAATTCGTTCGCACAGGACACGTGTAGATATTGCGGTTTTTATCATATATTATCATAATATTTTTGTTTGGTCGCATTTAGAAAACCGATTTAAAAAAAAAAAAAAAACTCCATTCGTTTGCAAAACTATGCAATATAGACAGGACGATATTGTGCAATACCATTTCGCATTCTTCATTTCAACAGTATTTTAAACTACCTGCAACTACCCATACTCTGGTATTGCGGACTCCGACAAAAAGTAAATCGTTCACTATTCCCCCTCCTCCCAATGACCGAGTGTCTTGCTGACAACGAAATATGATTACATTGTTTGCTATTGCAGGTTAAAAATATTGTTTGGTCGACTAACCAAAAATGTAATTTCCTTTTGCCTAGTATATAAATATATACCTATAGGTAAGCGTAAGTAAACGGGTATTTTCGATTTATGGAATAAATCGCCGCTGTGCCTGAGAAACGCAGCAATGAAAATACAATAAAAAAATATTGCTGATTTTTCGCGTTTTGGAATAATATACAAATATTTCACTGTGTTCGAAAACGACAAGGTTTCGCATTTATTTTGACATATTATTATAATATTTCGGGCGCATGACTCCGCAGGCGAAATCAAAATGTATTTTTCGTATTTTTCGAATGATAAACCGTAACTTCCGATACAATGTATATATTCAAACTATCAAACCGATAACAGCAAAAACGTCTTCCTTAAGAATAAAAAAAAACTAAACAAATCTACTATCCCCAAGATATCGATGTAATTTTAGACCAGTGACTCGAAATATTCAAAAATTAAATTTGTATAAAAAATACTGAAATAACACAAAATCAAAAGCGGCTGATTTTCAATTGGTTTTTTTATTTCTTTGCTTGCGATCACAGTAAGTCGAGTATCCACTTCAGATTTTAAAGTATGAAATATAATGGAATATAATGATATAACATAATATAATGAGAATTCACTTTTAAATACAGCAATTCTGGTGAAAAAATCAAAGAAGTAGTCACAACAGTTATTTAATCAAATAATTTTTTTTTATTATTATTAATTGGAATAGTGTACTATAATTTTCAATTTAAATGCAAAATCATAATATTCGCGAGCACTTTATTTGTTTCCAGTCTTTTTTCAGTCATCAGCCGTCGAATGTATTACTATTTCTTAACAGGGAAGACGAGCTTTAATTCTGTAAAGTTTTAAGTAAAAAACGAAAGTACTTTACACGCGTGTCATTTTGACAAATAGAAAGGGGGGAAGTTACATATAACAAACTTATAGAAAAAAAAAAAATAATGCTAAAAATACACTCAACAATTTAATTTATCTTAAATCAGTTTTATATTATATCGGTGTATTGTTCCAGAACAGTATGCACATTATTAGTGGACGAGCGACGGATAAAATGAAAAAAAAAAAATAACATTAGAAACTTTATATAAATTATGCATATATATTCCTCTCGCTGATCGGAAACTAAAATAATATTTAATTATAAGGCACAATAATGTTGAAACCGGTAAACCGGTCAACACGGTGAACTACCGGATATTAATATAGGTATCACAACCATTTTTTGAAAGAAACTCGTTCCTACAGGACCGAAACTTGGAACGCGTTCCTTTTCAAATATTGGAACGAGAAACGGAAAAGAGTTTCTATTTATGTTGAACGTGAACGCAAATTTTCGATTCTTATATTACGAAAAAAAAAATAATACCGAAACTCACGTTATTTAGTGATAATATGGTTTAGAAATTGTTTAGTGTTGGTATCACTTCGTCAGTTACTGTTATATTATAGTAATATATAACCGTGATATAAACGGTATCTCGGTGATAATAGTTTAAAATGTTAACAAACAATATAACTTATTTGATAACGACAAACGTCAAATTTACAAAATGATAATTGATTTAAGGTATTCAAAATAAAAGCGATTAAGCGAGAAAAACGTATGATTTTTTTCGACATTTCTAAATATGTATAACTGAACTGCGCTCAAAACCGTCCTTTGTCGATAATGGTTTATCATTGCTAATTAACTTCCCATCTACAACAGTAGCTGCACCCGTTTTCGGTATCTTTTTTTTTTTTTTTATGAATATGTAATAAAAAAAGGAACACTTCAAATAGTGAGTTCGTTTTTTAAGGAACGAGGACCGGGAACGAATTTTTTTTAAAAAAAATTTCAACTGATTTACAACGCATTAGTTTTTTTTTTTTCAATCCGAAAGTTATTTCACAAATTCACAATTCACACAATTCTCCAATCTGACCGATTGCTCGTCTTTACTTTAAGTTCCTTAAAAGTATTGACTCTTGCATCACATTTAATTTATCCTATATAAAAATTTCGGAGACGTTCTGCAATTCTTTTCCTTTCAATCATACCCTCTAACATTATATTATGCAATTCTTTTAAGTATCTCAGGGAATTTTTCGCCGTTTTCCAACGTCTAGTCCTAATTGTATCTATAAACGTAAGTTTTTTTCCCACAGTTCTAAATACTTCTTCGTTTGTTTTTCTCTTCCATCTAACTTATTTTTTTTCCAGACACATAAGTACATTACATTATTACAACACCTACTATGCTTATGGTTTTTTATCTTACAAAATAAAAAAAAAACTAACTAAACAGCGGAAACGACTTGTTTAGATTTCTTAAACTAAAAAAAAAGGTCAAACGGTTTTGTCATAGTTTCTTGATAAGAATAAATGTGTCAGGTGTTAACTTATTTAAGTTTTTTTTATTTATTAACTGTTATATCTAACAAAAAAATACCTCTAATAAAAATAAAAATAAATCTTGTTTGAAACGCAAACTCTAATCTATTTTAAACAAAAAATAACATTAACCCTGAATTAAATATACCTACCGCAAGTTCAAAAACACGGTCGTGAAAATATTACAGGACTGCGACAGGTTGGTGAAACCTTTGATCGTAATGCGCTCTTGATGTTAGAAATTACGTTTTTGACCGAATAATATATAGACAGCAAAAGCATAATATTTTCGCGGAAATATCCGTTTGAGTTTTAAAAAGTTACGTTTGATATATATATTGGGGAGGTTTCAACAAGATTTTTCTCTTCTGAAAACTTTTTAAATAAAGAATTGAACACAAATAGTATTTTTAAAGGGGTCGTCTTTCAAAAATAACTATGTATACCAAAACTTGTTCAATACGCAAAAAAACCGTGAAAAAAAAAATCGACGGCAAAAGGGAATTTAATAGAGGATCTGAATCTTTGTGATCTTTAGACCTTATTTTTTCCGAGTAAAACAATTTATTATATTTTCTTTCGTTATTTACTGATAAAAATTTCTCTGTAGTACACTACCTGTGTTTTTAGGCTATGTTTTTAAAAAGCCGGATGTACTTCACAACGTATATGTAGTAATAAGTGGAAAATTTAAAAATGATAGGATAATATAATAAATAAATTAAATGTACACATTGAAAACTGCGATAAGTTATTACAATCAAAAATTGATTCTGAACGAGTATATTTAATTGTAAAATTGGTGGTTATTTTCCCTTGTACCAATTCTGGTCAGAGGTAAACGAAAATTAACAAAAAAAAAAAAAAAATGATTGTATCGACATTCGCTGTCAATTTTTCAAATATTTTACAAATAAAAAACCGTTTGAAATCCAAATATTAGGTTTAAATAACGTAACACCGGACAAAATATCCGCATTTTCTAAGGTACCTACCATATGACAGCTGTTTTTGTTTAATATAGTCATATTTTTTAAACTTTCGAATCTAAATAATATATAATACATTTTTTATTTTTACAGTTGATTGAATTATTGAAGTTTTAAAAATATCTTTTCTCAAATACTTGTTTTATATTCCCTGGTACAGAAAGTTATTTATTATAAGTCTATTATAAAGTAATAAGTTTTAAAAAATATGTACACATTGTAATCGAACATAGTTTTTTTTTTTTTTTTTGCTATGACTTTAAACAAATCGTGCAAAAAATTTGTACTTCTTTAATAAGTACTGGTAGATATAACGAATATAAATGCTACGATTCTCGGAAAGATTGTGTCAATTGAAAGGCTTATTGCAACAACCAGATAAATCCACTTTTTTCGAAAATGCATTTTTTCATTAATTATTATGTAGGAAAAATTTACCTACATTTAGGTGCAACAATCAGTTAAATCTGATTAATATATTTATAGTTTTCAGTGAAATTAGATGTATCTGGTTGTCGCAACAAGCCCTTAAATTTATCTATACATGGCTGTATTTTTGCCTCACAAGTACATCACTCCATACGCGCAGTCTTCTCAAAGGTATTTTTCCATTCTGATATTCCCGCAACACTATAACCTATCAAATATTATCCTGCGGTCTTCTTTTTTTGATGTCTTCTTCTATGGCTAATCTACTTTGTAGGAATCCTAGTTCTTGTCTTTATCCTATCACCACTCCTTAATTTGTGAGTGGTGACTTAGTCCATAATATATTATATTATTCTCCTTAAAAATATTGTGTTCCTCAGTGTTTCTCAGAGTCTAGCATATGCAATCCATATTATTAGTATCAATCTTATTGATGTTAGGTTTAATTTGTATTTTAATCTTCTCCACTATTTTCGGGTGTTTTTTTATTTTTAATTAAAAATCAATGCAATTGATCTATGTACTATATATTGATCATTAGACTATACAAATAAGCGTTAGTATACAAGAAACTGCTTAAACTACAAAATAAAATAAAAAATGTTTATTGAACACTAAGATTTTGCTTTTTCTCTCGTACCTATCGATTTTTCTGGTTCAAAACAAATGGGAACACTGCCACGAAATTCGAGCTTTTAGATTGTTTTTAAAAATGTCGGTCGTATCCGGTAATTTCAACGATGTAGGTGAGAGGTACTCTCTGCAGGAATTTCTAACAGAGAAACACAACTTGGTCAACTCCCCGGTGTTGTAAATAGAGTAGCCAAGAAGTTTGTTTGAAATATCATATAATAACAACGAGTTTTCTGTATACCCGTCTCGTCGTACAACGATTTTAATTGCTGTAAACGCGAATTTCACAAGATGTGATAATATTTAATATTTATCTAACATTTCGGTATTCACGCCGATCAAAAATAACAACTATACAAAATTTTACTTTGATAATGTTTTATTTTTTATTTTTTTTTATCAATTCATAATATTAACACCGAAATACATACACGTAGGCCTAGTTACGAAATGACAAGGGATAGCAACTTCTGCCCCAGCATTTTATCGAGGTTGCAAATTAATATCTATTCTATCCTACGGGGAATTATTGTAAACATAATATTTTTCTTGCGTTTTTGCATAATGTAATCATACTTATAAATAATATAAAATCGACTACATTTAATTTGACCGTGTATAATAATCACTCAACTGTATGACTTCATATATTTCTACTTAATTCTGATGCAGTAATGAATAAATGACCAGACCTTATCGATAATCCCCGACTACATTAGACCACAACTGAATTAAAAAATATTACTCAAGAAGCTTATTGCTACATACCGTTATGATTTTATTTCAAATCACACCTATGTAACTATACACAAAAAAAGTTACGATTTTATGGATGAATTTATCTACATTTGTATAAGCATAAACGCCCGAACGCTACAACTTTGAATGATGATGATTGTTTCGTAAAAATCTAATTCAATTAGATAACAGTAAGTGCGTACGTCAAATGTTTAAAACAAATAAAAAAAAAATAATAAAAAAAATATATATATTTTTTATTATATAAAATTACATAATTATTTTAGATTCCACAAGTGTAACGAAAACACTATTGGTTTTGCAAAGATGTATGTGTGTTTTTTTAACAAATTTTCACTTTGTAAAATTACTTCTTAAACGATTCGAAATTTCGCGCGGTAGTACATTATTTATTGAAACGTTTTCTTTTTTTTTTAGAATTCTTAACACTTCACCTCTTAACTCCTTTGATGATTTTTTTCTCAGAAAACCCTACTCGGTTAACTTAAGCAAAAAAGTTCGAAAATGTTCATATCGATCATACATTAAAAATTGCGGATGTGTACGACGGTATATCATTCGAAAAATAGTTTTAGAATCCCAATAGAGTTAAAAAAAAAATGTTTAAAAGCCGACCTCGAATGACGATACTTCAGTTGTATTTTAATTGATTTCTTGGTTACCTAGATTCTCCAGCCAACGTCTTTCAATTCGAGAAATTAGGTCCGGTGACATATGATTCTGGTCGTTTGGTCCAGTGCAAAAATATCCGGCGACAAATGATCCGATAAAATTTATATTAACTGAAATACTGCATTTTGCTGTTTGGAAGTTACGAGGTTATTAAGCATCAGGCATACGTTAGACGGCTCACGCGTATTGCATCGGCCATCATTTTATACAATTTTTTATCGGATCGTTTGTCGCTGGATATTTTTTACACCGGATATTTTTTCTCCCTGGACCAAATGACCCGTATCATAATATATATCACCGATCATAATTTTACGGTTAAATTGACGTGTCAGCGACCCGTATACCTGGGCTAAAATACTGTATATAACCTTATCGGTCCTACCCGTGGTACGGAATGTGTCCGGTTTTTATTATTATTTTTATTTTATCGATCTATTGAAATAAATAAAATATTAAGTATAGGTGTATGGGTAAAGTATTATTGGTCTTCGGTTATCAGTGGTTCCGTCGATTCGAATAAAAGTCGATCGGGTTCAGTTTTATACCGTAATATGGTATACGAATTTTATACGAAAGGTCGTGGATGATAAACGATCACGGAGTTGTAAAACAAGTCGCGGATAAACCGAGGCGAGGCGACCTCGCTGCAGATTCTAAAGCCATTCATCGTAATTTACCTAACCCTCAAATGACAATGATAAAATGTGTTTGCGCGATACATTAGGTAAAATATTAGTCGTTATTCCATCAGTAACGTCGTATAATAGGTATAGTGCCGTATTATATTACTATGTACGCGTCTATATAATTATATTATTTTTCAAAGTAATTTTTGTAAGGAGATAATAGAGGTTTAGGCAAAATAGAGGTTTAGACGTTATATGGAATAATGACATCAATCTCCCTGCGCTGATTAATGAGCAATTGTAACGGAATTTACGAAAAAAAAAAAAAAATTAAAATATGTTTTCGTCTAAAAAATAATAATCCTCTTTACGATTAAAATATTCGCTGAGGGCAGAACTATTCAGACCATAACCTATATATTTTAATTCTAAAATCAAGGAATTTTCGACGAACCTCGAAAAACCTCGTATTAAGTTGTCGAGCGTTTTTGCTGGGCCAAAACAATTTTTTCTTCGTAAAATCAAATAAAAATCATAAGAAAATTAGTTTTCAAACTAAACACCGAATAGCTGATACTACTGATGCTACTGTTATATGCTGAAATTTATCAAGGTATTTAATTTATACTTGTATATGACGATAAAATATCATTTGCTAACGAAGACCAATTCTGTTTCACATAGTTCGAAAGTTCGGTTAAACGTGTTATGAAACGTTGCGTTTATTATGATTTCCATAAGATGTGATTAATCGGTCATAAACAAAATGATTACAAATAAAAAATGTATATGTATAGTAATAAAAAATAAATGAATGAATGAATGCGTCACCTGGAGTATTATTAAAAGTGTATTACACGACCGGTTTCGAATTAAAAATTCATCATTAGGTATATTACAATCGAAATGTAAAACGCGACTCTTTTACAAATAACAAATTTTCATCATTTTGTTTTAACTTTATTATTTTACTAAAAATTATTACGTTACGTTCAACTTTTTTTACGTCTAGAAAGGGGCTAATAGTGTTAGGTAAAAATTTCAAGTCATTACAATTGTTTTTAACTAAAAAAAAAAAAAACAAACAATAACAAAAATAATTATATTAGCAAAACCATGAAATATGTCAATTTTTCCCAATTATTAAGAAAACTACAAAGAAAATCAATAAACGACCTTCTCGATGTGCCAACGACTAGACATGATTTTATCACCTAAAGTTAATGACCGGAACAAGAAATGTTTGAAACAGAAAAGTTTTTTGCATAAAATAAAAAAAAAAAAAAAACAATTTTAAAAAGATACATCCGAGCTGGATATCTAAACTCCGATTCTATATTATATAATATAGTTAACTTTGTTCGGGTTGTTAATAGACTCTTACCGCCATCATCCGTTAGGAATACATTTCCTGTCCTCTATATTTACCGTTGTATTTTGGCCGTTTCGAGCTTAAATAGAATAAATCATAACCCAACACCAGCCCAATATTAATTTAATATTCGTGTCTCGTACGAAAATCACGTTTAATTCACGGTCTGCTATTGTTAAACCCGAAATGTTATACGATCTTATTACACGCGATGCAATATTTTTCAATTACTTTATAAAAAAAATACCCATAGGTATTATAATAATATATAAATTATAAATAGTGGTTTTGTATTTCAAAATAAACCTATAGGAGTAACACGTTACTCTTAATTTGTACACGGTTTCGTAAAATATTATGATTATTTTTTAAGATTACCTACCAAAGTAATATTTTAATATATTATGTACTCTCGTAATATGTTTACGATGCATTGAAGTATAAGTACCTACTTGCACAACAACGCATATTTATTTTAATTTGAACATCAGACAATTTTATAATAATAATAATAATGATAATATATATATATCAAACAGACGACAAAATTGAAAAAAAAAAAACAAATATTAAACGTGTCTTCATATTATAACGGAAATAATGTTTTTGAAAATAGGTCATATTCTGCAAATACTAATCTAAAATGTGAGAAGGTATTCACTTAATCGCGTGAAACACGTACGTGTAAATAATATATTGTAACATATACCTATATAGTCCTGAGTTAAACTTTTTGTACACCGAACAGCGTAAAAGATAACACACCAAACAAAAAATATTTCTTTTAAAAATAAAGCGTGCGACTATTACCTAATGGAGTATGGCTACAGGGAAAGCGAGTTCAAATCACGCGCTCTAGCTGCTTGTCAGTCTATTTTTTTTTAAACACATACTTGTATATTAATTATTTTAAATATATATATTCTTTCCGTGATGCAAATCGCGCGGATTCAAAACGGCCATCAATCCCATCGTAATATGCTTAAAATTTTAAATACATATCATATATTCCATTAAAAATATACGGTCTATTAAAGTAAATGATACAAATTACAATTTCGGAACCTCTATACCGCCCTTATTCAGAAAAACCTATCGAGAATATCGAAACGATTCTCAAACAAAATTAATACTCGCGTCCGTAAGAAAATCCGAATCATTTAACGCGGTGCAGTGTGAACATTTTGAAGGAAGGTTATAGACATAAAAAACAAACTTCATATTTTTACAACGGCTACTACTACTACAACAACTATCAATAGCGTGCCGAAGTAGATTTTTTTGAGGCAATCGCCTCATGACTATAATGGGTGGGTGGATAGCTAACCAAATATATCAAATGAGTTTTGAGTATTATTTTATTAATATAAGTATTTAATTACGAATATGATAGCCTATATTCTGTAGTTAATATAGCTAAATAAAGCGTTTTCTGCAGTTATGTGTAGGTTCATGTAAAAATCCATCTTTTAATTGTGTGGGTCCAAATTTGTTTGTTTTGCTTCAAGTACGAAACATTTTGAGCACGCCACTGACTACTATAACGGCCGAAACATCAAATTCACTCATAGACCTCCGAGACAATCGTTGTTTCGTGATGAATGATACGTTGGCGCCCAAAAATTATCAAAAAAGTGTGGTAAATTTACGAAATGACTATTATGGTATTATTATACAATGAAAAAAAAAAAACAAAACGAATACTTTTTAGGCGATAACACGTTGGATCTTGTAGAGAATATCTACTCACAATTTAACAAATAAAACAGAATAATATAGGTCGCTGACTCCGATCGTTGCAACAAAAAAAAAAGGTATTCGGGATTGTTCGTGGCTATGAACGAGATAGATAGAGATATCTTGTGTACATTAACGGGTGAAAAGTTATAGTCGGTTGAACGACGCGACCGCGGCAGTAAAATAATTAAATCGTCATAATAAAATCCACAAATGAAATTATATTCCGAATTCGATAACGACATAAACGGGCAACGCGTAGGTACCTGCGTATAATATCATATCCATAATTATAAGGCCACGAATTTAATTTATACGATTTTAAGGCGGAAAGCGCGGAAGATAGAATACGATCAGACAGTAATTTCAGTCTATATTAAAATGTATACTTTATTACATTAGCTGAATTACCTGGTGTTTCGCAGGCTCGAACGTAAAAAAAAACGCGAGCAATAGAACTCTGTTATTAGAGTCGAATTTCCCTCCGGCTGACTAGTTGCCGTTACAATATTCCGTAGTTTTCTTTTTAATGATAAGGAATCGAACCAACAATTGTTTTTACCGAACTTGGTAAAACCGTTCTCGAGATTTTCGGTGACATGCAAATAGACGTCGGTGTCCAGGGTTAGAAGTTCAAACTTACTGTAGACACGTCCTCGGGAAGTCCTCGACAACAGTTCTATTCATACATTCGTTTACACATTTTAATCAAATTACATATTTTTGTAAGTCCGTAAGGATATTTCAAACTCGATATTTTTCGTGAAAACATAAAATCTGAGTATACAAAAGGTTGGGGAGGGGATTGAAAGTTGAAACCTTCAAAAGGCATAAACTTCATACTTTCGCTATGCATGTACAAACTGTCATCCCCTGGCTTTGTTCTAACAAGAAACTTTACGGATGCGTAAAGCTAAAAAAAAACACTCCTCCCGCAACAACAAGGTAAATTTCATATTGAAATTTAACCGTAATGTTATCGCTTCAATCCGTCCGTAAAAAATCTCTAATTCTCGAGGCTTTTTAGATATGATTTTTTGCCATTTTAAGAAACCTGTAGTTCTAAAATGATTCGTTATCATTATTTTTGTGTTGAAACGATTACTTACGTTTAATTTTCAAACACTCACCTGTATTTAAAAATCTCAGAAATAGATTTCCGCCAATCCGTTGACAAGATACATCTCGTACAATTAATTTTTGCATAAGGAAAGAGTAATGGAGCATCAAATTTACCAAAAATAATGGTAAAATAACATTTAAGAGCTACGAGCTTGTACTTATTTTTAAATTTTCAATTAAAAAAAATGGTGAAAAAAAATTGTAGTTTCCGCGTGATAATAAATGTAAATGTTGTCTAAATTATATCATCTTGGACAAATACTCGTATGTATAATATATAACAGATATAATTCAGTGCAATAGCATTTTTTTTTTTTCGGGGGAAATTTGACAAATAGGATTATAATTTATACAATTTGAAAGTCCTGTCTGTTATGCATGTCTTCTCGAGTTCAGCCTTAACCCTATTACAATTCATAGTTGTTGCCCGTAAAGTTATTTTTTTTTTTTTTAATAAAAATGGTCGGTATTATATTTTGGCTATGGCAATTAAATTAATTTTGAATTAATTGTAAATTAAATAAAATGTTCATCAAATAAGATTTTCAAAAATCAAGTGTGAATTTCCCTTGGCGAGGGGCTTCAATTTCGCAATGAAAAGTAGACAGTGATCTCCCTACCTCCCTCTTGCTTTAAAAAGTAAAATTAGTAAAGTGTAAAATGTCATCAAGATCGAAATGAAACTATAGATGTGTATAACAGCGGGCAAATAGACAGAGAGACGAACATACAAAACACATTTAATAATTGTATAATATACGCAGTGTGATATCGAAAGTGGGGGGTGGTGTTTTGGTATTTGATGTTTAAACACTCCCCTTTGACCATATTAATACCAAAAATTATAATTTATACTATGTGCAGTTACGCATTCGATTTCTACAAAATGTGCTGTGTTACGTACGCTTACGTACAGCTATAATTATTAAGTACAATGTATTATAATTTATATCATTATGTTATATACGCACAATAAAGTTACAAATAATTTACATCTAAACATAAAATAAAAACACCCATCTAAAAAATTCTGGCTACGTCACTGAATATACGTAATAATAATACCGTTATATACAATAATGAATCGTTTCAAGCGAAAAACGATTCGGTTACAGTTAAAAAATGATTTGTTATTTTTTTTCGATACATTTAAGATAAAAATTATTTTGTTCATACATAATTTGTGCTCGTATAAAATAATAAAATAAAAATAATATTGTCCGGTTTTTTAACGAATTCTGTCGCATTGACTTTAATTTAATATGTAACTTATCATATGTACCTACGTTTATTGAATTACAATATAACGCTCGATCTATTAAAAATATATACAAAAAAAACAAAGGGTTTGAAAATTCTATAACAATTAATTTCCAAAGCGAGTGACCAGTATTCTCGAGACAGTCCTGAAAAGGGCTTTTTACGCAGAGTCGACCGAGGAAGACCGATAACGTTTGTTGCTTGAACTGATGCCGTTTCGTTTCACGACATATCCGTATACATTCACACAGTGTGTGTATCGGACTAGAAAATGCACTTTGGTGTATTGGAAAAGCCGTTACTCACGGGGAGGACCACGTGAAGGTACACCATTTCTCCTCCCTGATGTCACCGTTCAATTTATTTCATTTTTTTTTTTTTTTTAATATTTGATCTAAAAAAGTTATTATTGCCAGAGTTCTATTACATTTTAATAAGGATAGGTATAACGGATAGGTATTTCGGTATTTCCTGTGAAACAGTGAAATTTGAACACACAAATTGTCAGGAACGGGGTCCCCCAAAATGCGCATTCTCTGCTTTAGTGTCTTACTGGTGTATGTTTATGTAACGCATACACAAAATTTAATTTCATCGGCTTCATATAAGGGTTCTGCAGGGTTTTACAAAGTTTTAAAATACAATCTACTCCGCACCACGCTTCGCACCATGGGTGAGTCACTTTTATACGTGGGTAATTCGGAAGATATAGAATGGGGGTCGACGGTCACTAAATAGTATTTTTAGGGGGCCTTATTAGAAATCCGCAAAAGTTTTCGTGGGCCTCAAAATTTAAAGTGTATATTTAAATCCAAGCAATTAAATGCAAAATTAAAAAATTTCAGATTTTTCAATTCTTGATTTATGAAATTATCGTTGTCTACCCAGGAATTTCTCGACAAAAGATGTGTGCACAGTCTCGTAATGACGTTTAATATTGCAAACTTTTATAACAGCTACCCGTCAGGTGACAAATTTAACAAACTGGCAAGGCTCCCGGCCTGTCCGACAAAATGAAACAATATAAATCAGTCCCGAACGTGCACTCAGGCAAAAACTGCAGTCTGTTTTTAATTTCAACTTAGTTTTCTTTTTCTTATTCGTATTTAAACGAAAATGGTAGAACTTTGATAGTGAAAACCAACATTAGATACCATCATATACGGATGTTTAAAAAATAAGATGAAACATTTAAAAATAAAATAATAAAAATAAAACACTAACCGTTGATAAGATATTATATGCTCCAACCACAATATACTTGCCGCTATCGGTAAAAACTAAAAATATACTAAAATAAAAAATAATGAAATCGCCCCACTAATATTGAAACATAATTTTAATTTCGTCTTTTCCTCTTTTTATACACAAGCCGGATAAAATTCGGGCCGCCATTTGGTGATCCCTGGTAAAGAAAACGAACAATATATTATTTAAGAAACTACCTCTGAAATTATGATTACTCAATTTTAAACAAAATCATAAACACACGATTCTGCACTATAAAAAGTTTCGTTTTCTTCTTCTTCAAGAAGTTTTAGAAGCCATTTATGCAAAACAAACTTCCATAAATGTCTGTCTGTTTTGAACTGTCTACTTCGCAAAAATCAGGCCATCCCTACAGTTATTTCAATTTTGTTTTGCTTATATTTCAATCAAATCTCAGGTTTGGTCTTTCCGCTGTCACAGTCTCTTTCAGTACGGGTCCAGTTTATAGCATAACTTTTTATACTGGACATTATTATTGACGAAAAAATCAGTTTCTTCTGTTGGATTTGAATTACCATTATATTTGGTTTATCTAATAATTCCCGGGCACGAATACACCGAATACAGAACATTCGATATTATCTCGTTCATTTGGGTATCATAGTTTTTTGTTTTGTTTTTTTTTTTTTAGATCTTTAGATCCGTAATGTCTCTTTAGGAAATCCCTTCCCGTGACAGCTGATTTATTCGTATTCTCTCAAGTTATGTAAAAAAGGATCATTCTGTATATAAAGTCATACTGTTTGTGTTCTGGGCCTTAATGTTTTTTGTCATTGCGATAAAAAATCAAATTGAGATTGTTCTGTTTACCTATATGGTCTCTTGAGGATAATATTAGTGTGTAAAACGTGACAAAAAATGCTACGAAATCCTAAGAATGCCTTTTTTTTTAACAAGCATATTATTACATGTATAACTGTACAAATATCAATATTGTTTTCATGGTTCCTTCGAGGGTAATCGCATTATTTTATAATATTATCACTAGGTTTTCAGGTGTGTAGAGCAAAAAAATATGATAGGACTTTTGAGCAATGAATTTCCGTCAACGGCCATTATTATTACACTATGTATATTGTGATATTACCAATTCATATATTTTTCTGATGATTGAATTTTTTTTCTCAACGAGTTTTTTTAAATACAAAAGCCGTTTTTGATTTTTTTTTTTTCTATTTTTATTTTCAGTCTACTGTTGTTATTTCCGATGTATTTTATTTTTTGAAATCGTGTTTTATTTGTCACCGTCAATTTTTACTATAATATTTTCCTTTTCAATTAATCGTAACAGGAACTTTGTCGTCAAGTCTTATGGTTTGCAAGTCATTGGTATGCGAGTTTCGTCGTCTGGTAACAACAGCAACTTGTTCGGCAGTTTCTTTAAAACTTTACAAAACTACTGTTTTTCTTCCGTACCTTCTACAGAAAAATAAGTTTTTATTGCGTCACCACGTATAGGCTAAAGAAGTTTTCACGTTAGGTACCTACCTACACACGCCGGGTCGGCAAAAACAAGTAATCTTTATAATAAATTACACCATTAAATGACCGAAAATGTACTAAAAATTTGTACTTTGAAATCACAATCACGATTATAGTCATAATATTATGAAGTTGCACATCGACCTATAAATAAGTATATACCTAATCGAATCTATTAGTTTACCAGAAATTGATACGTCATGTTTCACGCGTGTATTTAAATCGTGTGATATGTGCAAGATAAATTACTGGTATCTTTAATCTCTAAACACTAGTGCTAACAATCCAGAAAAGAACTAATTTAGGAGATTTAATTCGATCACACACAAAATTGCGTACATCGTTCGCCTTTTATCAATTGTAATAATTGTATCATGTTATCTGGTTATTGTTTAAAGGAGAAATCCTGCAGTCACATTGGCGCGAAATCGGCTGTTAAGTGGAATATTGTTGTCGTGTATATTTATTTATTTATTTATTTTATCACAGTATTTATAATTGTCGGACTGGTAGGCACGCGCGTTTAGCGTGACATCACATAACGTCATTACACATTTTATCAAATATAATTGAATCCGAAAAAAAAAGACGTCCTAGGATAATGGGGATGGATGCAGCCACTATAATAGATAATTGAATGTATACCTGTAAGCAACGATAAAACATTGCTTAAGAAAAAAAAAATTCTGAGCGGAGTTCAGTTGATAGAGATATTTTATCAACAATATATATAAGTCATTTTATAGTAAAATAATTAAAAAAGCTTTATTTATTTTCTTTAATAATATGTATTTAATGTTGTTCTGATTTTCCCAGTTTTCTTACGTTTTTAGATAAAAAAAAAAATAAACATCTTTGTAAAACTATAAGCTCCTTCGCTCCACTCAGAATCTAATATATATATATATATATATATATATAAACGTGACAGTAAGTGCAATAAATAAATCGTTTGACCGTCATTTCGTCTCTATTAGGTGTTACTAAGACGCAAAATAGCAATCAAGTCGTATTTACTTACACCATGTAATTGTCCGAATTATCAAAAAAGGCCGTAGGGTTTTTTTTGACTTTCGGTTATTTGCCCAGAACACTCAATAAAACTGATTTACTCCAGTTTTCCCTAGCTTCAAAGAATTTATCCGTTAACTGATATAGAAGCAAATGTATAACTTAATATTATTAAACTACGACACTACATCAGACGTTTATCCAGAGATTTTTAATTTCTGATAATAATATTAAAATATGATAAAAAAATAAATAAATATGACCCCGCGATAAGGCGTTAAAAAGCACTACTAAAAAATGTACTGCGCACTGTGTAACTACAAAAACTCGTAAAATATTTATCATGCTTACTTTTTTTCTTGTTTTATAAGTCACTAAAACTTCGGTACAAAAGTCACTTATAAACATAACGATTTATATTTCTCGGAAGGTACACTCTTAGGTAAAATACTTTCCTGGTTCGTCTATTATTTTTATCTTTAAAACTTTTTTTTTTTTTTTTGATTAAGACGTGAGAGTTGTTCATTTAATAAATATGTATTCTCACTTCTTAGACAATAACAATAATAATAATATCAAAATTAGTTTTTAACTTAATTTTAAAAAAATAGATAAATATTTGTCTTTAAAAATAAAGCAAACTGTATAATGATAATATACTATACAGACACATAAACCGGACATTTTTATGCGACAAAACCAATTTTGACCGAATTTTAATATTTACAAACAATATTTCGCGGTTTTATTCGAAATGCGTAAAAATCGAAAGAAAAAAATTAAGTTTCTCAATAAATTGTATTGCGTTTAATTATTAAACGCGATAAGGTTTAAAAGCAAAGTACAAACAAATTTAAAAAAATCAATAGCTGTTAAAATAAAAATTACACAATTATTACAATATTGTTTACCATCGTAATTTACGGTCGAAAAACGAATTCACAAAAATAAAAATAATTGTATGTACTAAAATTAATTTTGTATTCTATTCATTATCGTCCATTAATGATTTAATATTTTAATTATTACTTTTTGGAAGTAAAATGGAATTGTTTTGAATTCGTATAGCGGAGGGAAAATTACAGTATACTAATTTTACAATGATGTGTATGTGAAAGAAGGGTTCAAATTCTGATTATGTCGAAGAAGCTAAATCAATTTAACAAAGACAGTCTTTAGTAAGAAATCACTGGTTTTTTTATAGCAAATCTCAAAAAACTTTTCGTATGGTACTTTATTTGCAAAATATTCAGTATAACTGCAAAATATTGCTTTTTATGTTGATTTTTTTTACAGCACTTTTTCGGTTATTAAAAATTATCCGATTTTATTACGCAGTACCCTAAAATATTCGACATTTTCGACGGGTGATATTTTATTTAAAATAATTTACCTGCATTTTTAACTCCTAGGTACTTTTTTTAGTTTTGGCCTTAATAACTAGAAAGTTCACATTACCGCAATCCTGCTCTACTGAGAATCGTTTTTCGTTTACAATGATTTATCGTTGCTTATAGTATAGGAATTGAGTTAACTCTTATATACCTTACATTCTCACCACCTGCAGCAGCGGCCTACAATTTTATGTTCAGCTTTTTTTTTTTTAACCTCTAAAACCAATTCTGAAACAGTAATAACGTTCAAGGTGTCTAGTTGACGAGAACATTATGAGTTTAAGTTCCTAAATTATCATAAAAATCAGAATTACAAATCGGTAATCTTATACATCTTCGTAAACTATAACCGAAGATAATTTTTGTTTCTTTGTTTTTTTTTTGTTTATTTTAAACAGGTGAACCGACAAATTTTTGAACAATATAATATTCACGTTTTGCCTGTTTAGTAATTTCTAAAAGTTAAAATTTAAAGATATATTTTTCTAAGATTAAATAAACGTCGAGATGCCCTGCATTAATTACGTTCTGTAATAATTGTAATTTTGTAATTTGTTTTATACGCGATGAGACAAGTCAGAATAAAAACAGAAAAATATATGGGTGTTACAGGGACAATTTCGTTTAAAATATCGAAGTATGTAGCAATTTATAGTTATAAATACATTAAAAAAATACGAGGATTCTGAGTAGAAATCACAATATTAAAATTTTAATGGCCCAGTTAAATAATATACATGTATTTTATTTTTATATTTTCACTATATTCCGTGACTCTTATAAAGCGCAGAGGAGAAAATATTAAAAAATGATAACCTTTTTAAAGTTCCGTCCGCGTTCGACCTATAATACGTATATTCATCTAAGGAAAAAAAATTGCCCAACGAAACTTTTTCAGCGTCATCTTTATCCGCACATTATATTATTTTCCGAACCATTGTAAAAACTATATTTGCGTCCAACTATAAACTCGTGCTTTACGTTGGGTCTCAAAATCGCGCAATAAAAAATTACTCTTGGCATACCGAGGAAAATACCGTTGAAGTCCTCACAATTTCATTCTATATATACGTACCGACGCCTGTCCCCATTAGTTAAAAAATAATAAAACAATAGCCGAGTATCGCTGGTGTACTGAAAACGTAAATTTTCGAAAAGCAGACACCGTTATTAAACTTTGTTCATTTTTTTTTCAAACGTTAATTTAATTCCTTTGGGCGTTATTACCTTACGTTTAATTAAAGTTATCATTTATAATATTATTACGAATGCAGGGCGCAAATAACTTAAATTGGCTAAAACATCTTTCTTCGCTTATTCGTCGTCGGGATTGTTTCGCGTTTAACTTCTCACTTTGTGTAGTTATACTTTCAAAATACAATATTTATAATAAAAAAAATAATAATAATATAAACAAAAGTTTTTCTTTTTCATCACTGTACACAGATGATATTTTATATGAAAACCCGTAGTATTTAATTAAGTTTGAAATTAGATATTTCAATATTAATAACGAGTAATTTTTTCTATAGGAGAAATAATATTGTGTAAATATTTACAACATATTACGACTCTAAATGTAGCGAAGAAACTATTATAGTTTTACTGGGATGTGGTTGTTTTTTTATTCTAGGATTCTAAGAAAATTTCCACTGCTTGTTCGTTTAGTAAAAATGGTTTGATTTTTCACGCCTTATCTTAGAAGACGCGGACTTTTTGTTCGATTGTAGTTTAGATGAAACAATTATTGAAATCTTCAACTGTTCACCGCTAGATTATGGTTTTAATTTTTTTTTCGTTTTTTCGTTAAATAATATCGTAAAATTTTAATAATAATAATAATTTCGTAAAATAATATCTACTCCAAATTATCTTGTTTACATTTTGAACCTTAAATAATGCGGACTATTCACTCGATGGTACATTATATAAACAATTTTCAATCTCCCTGATAATTTTTCTAAAAAATCCCAATGGCCAAAAATATTGCTTACTTGGCTCAGAATCGTTTTTGGTTGCAATAATTTATCATTGCTTGCAGTGTATATTATAAATTAATAACTACGGCCTGAAATGTGTCTTATAACATTCCACGTAGGTACAACAGTAGTGGCATAACAGTGGTGAGAAGGGAAACAGGTAAAAAAAGACAATGAAAAAAATTACAAAGAAAAAAAAGGCGCAACAAAAAAAGACAATAACGATATTCATTTTGAAAAAAAAATGGTTTAATTAATTAAAATGGTTAAAAGTTAAAATTGAACAAAAGAAAAATCAGTACTTATAAATTATTAAAAAAAAAAAATTGAATTGATTTAAATCAAAATCGAAAATATCATATGAATATTATACTTTCATGTTTTTTGTGTCTTTCCAACGTACTTTATAGTATAAATGTGGCCTTTTCAGTAATATTTTTCTTTATTTTTGTTTGATAAAATAATTTCCATACGAAAAAACAAACATTTTAATTCAAATTAAAATGAACACAACACGAGACAACTGAAACAACCAACAATACACTACACGAAATACACTATTTCGAACTTAGGTTTAGATGAGTATAATATTTAATCAAAAATAATAAAATTTATAATGTTGATATTAACTAATTTAGGTACCTACTATATTATTATATGCGCCTTTATAATAATATAATTCTATTTGGAAAATATTAGAGGTACATATTAAATTAATACTTGTGTTTATAAAAGATAATATTATACAATTAAAAACCTATATAGGTAGGTAATAAAATATAAGTCGAAAAATACTAAGATGTAGGTGCATAATATTAATAACTTTAGTTTTCTATATTATTAAATGGATTTTAAATTATTTTTTATAGATAAATAATAATAGATACCTATTAACACTTTTAACAGTATTAATTGAAAACAAATGTGTTTTCTATATTATTTTTTATATTGTCTTTTTATTTTCTATGTCTTTTTTTCTTTGTCTTTTTCCATTATATTTTTTTTCTGTGTCTTTTTTTTCTAGGCTCGGTGAGTAGTACGTCCGTCCTTTTGTGGATTTTTTTTTAAAATTACAGAATATTGTGTTTTAAATGTTTTATCGTTGTTATTGTTTGCGGATAATGGTACAATGTGTATTTGCAAAATATAAGTGCGCGCAACCTAATCTTATAAATACACATAAACCTAAACGACATATTTATATAAATCGGCCTTGGGCCATTTTTCTTATGCGGTATGGGTTTAGGTCCGCTAAACTCCGGCTTAATCCCTGGTGGTATGGTCGTGAAATAATTTATAATATTTATTGGAGTTTTCCGTATACCAATAATATTATGTATACTATACATATTACTTACATATACTTACATTGTATAGTGTATACGATGTATTCGTCTTCTTTGTCTGAAATAAACTTTAAATGCGGAAAACTGCAACGTTAATTGAATTAGTATATTATAATAATATCGTGGTGAAAAATGCAATTGATAATAACAATAAGTATAATATATAAAATACAATTTAAAACAAAACGGACATACTTTGCAAGATCGGTAGATCACTGTTGTAGGTGAGAAGTTAAGAAGGTAGGATATAGAGGAGAGTTTAAGATATATTTGCATGCAACGATTAATCATTGCTAATGAAAAACGATTCTTAGCGGAGTTCGGTTATTTGCGTTATAAAAAGCAATCAAATTTACGGTTTTCGTTAAAATTCTAATAAAAAAAAAAATCACGTTGAACTTAACTTTTTTTTGTTGACCTTTAAGTACAACTTATAAAGAACTTCTTGTTAAATATTCAAGCATTTCTGTTCGATCTAACAATTTTATCCACGGATTACCTACACCGAATAAAAACGTAAAATTACTCGCAAAATTAAACGTCTATAAATGGCTCAAAAATTTTTTATGTATTTTGAAAATTTTACCACTTCTAGAAAAGTTAAATATAAATTGTCTGTCTAAATTTCAAGTTTCTACAAATATTTCAAACTGAATTACAACAAAACAAAATTGAATATTATAATAAAAGTTTATTAATTTCGTAAATGTTTCCGTGTTTTTCCACATTATTATGAAAACTGCTTGGAAAATTTAAAAAAATAATCTGTTTTAAGTACCAATAAACTTAAATTCATTTTCAGAAAAAGTACTACACTTAATACATTGGAATAAGATTTCTGATAGAATTTTTGTACAAATTATAAAAAAATCACATATTTATATATATATATATCATTGTATAATCAATGCATTATTCGCTGCTCTCAGAATCTAAAACAAATAATAAAATAGATTTATAGAAACAAAATAGAAAACAAGTCCATTAAATTGTTCATGGACCATAAATTATTTGTTATACGTTATTTATGGTAAATATATTTATATTGTTATTATTTTATTGACCATTTTTTACCGTTTGAAAACCGTTATAAGTTTTAATAAAATAAATTTTAATATTTATCAAAAAAAAATAAAACTATAAATTTAGATAAATTTAAAAAAAATCGTTACTCTCTAAAACCGAATAAAAATTTGACCCCTGAGATAATAATATGTTGTATTATGTTGATTTTTTTTCCTTACAAAATAACTCTCTAACCCGTTAACACACATTAAAAGTTTAATTGTAGTATAGATAATAGTATTTGGTGCCAACCTAAATATAGATAAAAAAATAATAATAATAAACCCCCCAAAAAAAAACAATTCTCATCGTATTCGACAATTAATCATACAAACGTTCATATTTTAATTATCAACTCCACATGAACAATTTATTTTCAAATGCGATGATTTATCGTTACATTTAGTTTTAAAATGCGACGCCTTTCTGACCGATCCCAATACTCAAAAAAATAAAAAGAAAACCAGTCGATTTAAAAAAAAATGTATAAATCGAAAAACCATACAATCGGTGAATCGATTTTCGAATATTCAAATTAAAAAAAAAAAAATACTTAAACATTTCTGTATTGCGCCAATAGACGAATGCCAACAATATTATTCGTAACATTTGTTTTAATAACTATTATGTTCAGCAGCGCAATTAGCTCATTAACCTCGGGAGAGGGGGAGGCTTGAGTTCCACTACAATATTAAATCAATAAGATTTACGAGGCTCTGTCTCTGCGATGAAGGGGCTTCAGACGATCCGGGAAGGGGACGGTAATATTTATATTATATTTATTAGTTGAACGTAGAAGAAACAGACGCGGAGAGCCTGCTGTTTAAGAGGTCCAGGGAAAATATTCCGATGGGCCGTTTCCCAAAGGAAGGGCTCCGTCTGAACGCGAAGTGAGCTCGGGATGTGCTGTGGATGAAAGCTGTGAAATAGTATAAATGTATCATTACGTATTACGCGAGCACTATTTCGACTCGTACGGAAAATCTGCAAATATACGAAATTTAAGAGTAAAACGATTTCGCATCTAAAACATATATATTATTCCGCGGAAAAGCCCATCCATTATCTCAAAACTTTTATATACAAACGACCCCGTTAGAATCCGAGACCATTTTTTTCTTCTTTAAACGATACCGTCGTGGGTTTATGTTATACATTGTTACACAAACATATATGTGTCGTAGTCGCATAACTCATCCGTTCAGAATCTCCTTAAAAAAAAAAAAAAAAAGTATAAAAAATATAGGTCTTCAAATGTTTAAAATCTTCTACCGCGGTGTTTAACCACGCTCGTATACGTACGAAATATTATCGATATTTTCGACGCCGTCGATGATTTTTCCGAAGATAATAATATGATAAACACAATAAAAACAAAATCGTCTTGAATCGTCGTTTATATTGTTCTGTATATAATATTCTACAACGCTCTGTAGATTGTATACCCACATTCGACTCGCGTCATAAATACATACATACATATTCGACAATGTATAAAGCCGCGTACAAATAAAAAGTATGACATATCTAATGCTTAGGTATCTGTATGATATATATTTTACAATATTTACATACACACACGATATATATAAATATTATGAAGTATTACCGCGAGCATTATGTGGAATATTTCATTCGTCTGTTTCTCTCTTTGCGGAGCATATCTTCTTCGTTCAGCTTTAAAGACCGTTTAAACCAAACGCTGAATCGCACACTTTTTTCCAATCGTCTCTTACCAATACCGACTCCTCGTTATTTCTCACTCGCTAAACATTTCAAATATTCTTCAACTTTGTCCAGCCGCCGTTGTATAGGTCTCTCTAGGGGCCTATCTTTCATTGATATTTCCAACTTATGGTATTTTTTCGCAATTGAGTTTTATCCCGTTTCAATTTCTTAGACCTGCGAAGGGTACATAATATAATATAAAACTTAACTTGACCCATAAATCGAAAAGTTTTTAAATTGCAAAAATAATATAATAATTTAGTTTATAGAAATTACCGTAATACTGCTGCACAATATCAATAGAATAAAACAGAATACAAATACTACGTATATGTGTGCACGTAAAAAATGTGTATTTTTTTTTAGCAAATATGGCGTAAATTTAATCGAAATAATTGTTTTGACGTCGTAATTTCTCTGAGGAAAACGGAAAACTCTATACATTTCCCAGCCATTGACGTATTGATTGTATAACCTATACGTATACATGTAAAATAACTCGATAAAGCTTAATAATATATTTATGTCAAAAAACCGTTTTTAATTAAATACCGTTGATCGCCACTCAAAACCATAGGCAGAGATTGGGAGGTTAGAAAAGCTTAACCCACCAAAATCATTCAAATTTTTCCCTAAAATTTGGATTTTATAAAACAGACTAGTATTAATATTAAAATAAATATTCAGCCTATACTAGCCCGCTTTCCCTAAAACAAGATATCAAATCATAACCCATGCCAAAATCCCGAATAAAAAAGTACTTTGGTACCCAATATAAGAATAAAATTGTTGGAAAAAATGGTCATATAGATGATGCGTGTTTCAAATACATTTTGATGTGCGTTTTCAGATGCATTAGTAAATATTATTTTGAGCTATTATTTTTTAGTTGTCGAGAAGCCAAAATTAATTTGTATGGATGTATGTAAATACCATAATGCGTATACTATACCTACTCTAAGTATATTAGTTATGTTGGCACTTATTATAACGGATTGTAAGTACACGCTACGCGGTATAATTATTTCAGTGTTTTGTGCCTGTATAACCATACGCTATACACTAATCATTATAGTATTATAATAATTGACAACGGTGAGCTAGGTAAATTAAATTATAAAATCAATATAGCATGGACATATTATGATGTCATCATTCATCGGTATAACGGAAATCGCGATAGACGGGCCCGGTCAAATTCATTGGCTATCATTCAAACGCATTGACATAATATCGACCGGACGAATAAAATAAAACAAAGTTCATTATTTTAAGTGGGGCGACTAGGAACCAATTGTAGTTTAACTGAAACGTGTGTGAGGTTTTTTTTTGGCTCTGGGTGGAAAACATTTTTTCTGTCAAATTAAAATGATGCTTGAAAAGTTCGCCACAGTAACCTTCGAAGATTATTTATTTGAACTGTTTTTTTTTTCTAGATTCCAAACATTTCACACACTAGAATATTATTTTGGCTCCGAATAGAAACATGTTTTTTCTGTACGGATGAAAAAAGTAAAATTAATGGTTGTCCTAGGCTAACAGTTAGTTTTAAAACTATATTTTAACAAAAATAATTCAAATTCAAATTTAACCTATCCCATTGGTGGTAGTATCAGCGCGAAAATCTACCAGCATTTGTCTAATGACAGATACAAAATGTTTGGTAAAAAAAAAAAAAAAAAAAACACTAAACTCATTGTTTTGCATTTTGTTTGTAATGGTTTATCGTCGGTCGTAGCAACTCCCCACGTAGACGAATGGACTGTGGCCTGTTTTTGATGTAAAAGAACTTTTTTTTTTTTTGTTTTTTAAACAAATTATGTAGCTTTTATTCAGAGGATATTATATTTTGACGGTTAAAATAACCTGGTTATACTCGCAGAGAGACAATGAGAGAGAGGAAAAGCCAGGCTAGAATTACAATTTGTGTTGATAGCAATATCCCTGATTATCGGCTTTTAAAAATAACAGTCCATTAAAAACTACGGTTATTCGGAATATTTTGTCCTGTGATATAAAATGTTCGTGGAATAATTATCAAAGCACAGCTCACGTTTAAAATAATCATTCTGCCGGTAATACGCAAACATTATAGGATAAATGGTCATCTATACAGAATCAAATTATTTACACGCTCCAATACTGCATTTCAACATTGACATGTGTCAGTTTTAACTTTGTGGATGTCCATCAAGCGTAATAGTATGTGTAGGACGTAGGTACATGACTACTGTCGGCCTCTCACATCGGTCGAAAAACATATTAGATACCTATGTAAATAGTATTAATGGTATAGTTAACTAATACAAAATCAATTTGAACATAAGATAAATACTTGTTTTTTAACTCTCTCTCCCTTTCTCTAATTGAAAGAAACAGCGAAACACCGGAATATTAAGTATATTCAACGCACCTAACCTTAAGTAGAAAATCTAGTAGAAAATCCCAACTAAAGATGAATATAGTGGACAGCGGAGAAGGAAAAAGTACAAGCATAATATATAATAAACGTAAAAAGGAGAAATTGAAAAGAGATATGCTTGTAAGAGTAACAATGTGCTCATAAAAGCGGCAATGGAGCTGTGGGGTCCATGTGGAAAAAAAGACCGAAATGAGAAGTTTTAATAAAAAAAAAGTATATGAAATTACATAGTTGGGAGGCTCGAACTGGAAAGTAAAAGCAAGGAGAATAAAGTATTGGGATGAAACTATATAGTCCTTATAGAGGCCTAAAAACCAGAGAAGAAGAAAAAAATAATATTATCTCTTCCCCTCATTTTTGTATTATTAATTATCGCGTTGACAGACCGCCGTTCCGTGCGATATTATTAATATACACAAGTCCAAATGGCTATTGAAATAAAACGCAATCATAATGTAATCGTTTATCAGAAATGAAATAATATAAATTGTGACAAAGAAAAAAACAAAATACAATAGAATATATTTCAACTGTTTTAACATTTATCATGACGAATTGTTTAGCAAACATTTAAATTAAACGACATTTTAACAGACGTTTTTTTTTTTGTTTTTCAATAAATATAGTGAATTTACAAATATTATAAAACGCGATATTACCATAAATTATTTGAATAATTAATATCCATTCTAGGAAATGTATATATTCACATTTTTTTTTTTTTTTTAATACGGTTTATTTACAATTAGTAAACATTAGGTAGATATTAAAAATTGTGTATACCAAAAAAGAAAAATGTTTTTTTTTTTTTTTTTTTAAATTTTGTTTAATATAGTATGTTTAATTGTTTGATATGATCGGATCCAACGTTGATGGAATGTAAATGAAAGGATAGGATAGGACAATACCTCGATATATTAGAAATGACGGACTTAAAGAAAAAATGGCAGAGAAAATTAGGCACTGATGATGGGCAATGGTAGCGAATAAACTGCTGTAGTGTTTTAACGTATTTAGTCTATATTATATGGTTTTTTTTTTTATTATTATTTTTTTCCGGATACCTCCGAAGAATTTATTTAAAACTATAAACAAATTAAGTTGAGTTTCGTAATAATAGGCTATTCCTAAGACGTGTCTTAAGATTGTTTAAGTTCAAAAAATAGTACTTTTCTTTTTTTTTTAATTTGGATCTAAAATATTTATGGTAAGCAAAAAAATGAATAGAAATAGATATATTATTTTTAAATTAAATTTTCTGAACAAATTATTTGTTATGGTTTTTTATTACACAACCGGTCTACCTAAAAAAGTAAAAATCGTCTTTAGTATCGATGTTCTCAATATCTCATTACATAACCCATTGTTTCTAAACAATTGACAACAAAAAATACTGAATCGATTTGAATGTTTCGATTTTTAAGAAACTCTGAATATTTTAGTTCATATAACCTCGGTTTAGGGCAACTTTCCGTTTGACGAACTCCACTCAGAATCGTTATTTTTGTTCGTTTGATAGTGTTGCATTCGAGATTTTTCTACTAAATCATCTTAAATACAGCACCGCCCATCTACAGCAGTGGCCTAACCTAATCTAACACACGGGTGCGATATATGTCTGGTTCTGTTTAATATTAATTCGATGATAAGTATTTAGATTTGGGTAAAATATAAAACCCGTGGGAATATCAGTGAATTCACAAAGTTCGGTGAATATAATATTATAGTAATAGCCCAACAAAACAGATAAGACATCAAATTAATTTTACACTTTTTATTAGATTTGCGTCTATAACACGGCGTAAATGCCGGAAATTAAAGTTTATATTAGGGAAAAAACTAAAGTACAACATAAACTCAAAGAATAAAAATTGAAGCGTCAGTACACTGCAAAACGTTTCGAAAATCAATTAACGGCCATCGTGTGCCAAAATGAAACATTTTCATTATTTTTCGCAATATTGTTATGAAACATATTTTTTTTTTAAAAAGACATTTTATTATAAACTCAAAAAGATACTTTTACAAAAGATATACGGATTGAATAATAACACCAATTATTATTAAGTATCTAAACTACTGCACCTAAAATGAAATCAAACTTTTTGTTAATATTATTTCATTAAAAATAATAATATAACATCTACCTCTCTAAATAAAAAAAAATTATTAAAAAATGGCCGTTGTTAGTATAGGAACATAAGTAGGTCATTGGTTGTAGTTATATAGTCATCATAATATAGTCGTGGGAGTTCATTCAAAAAGCCCACCGGGTAAATTGTTATTTTCTTATTAAATTTTTATGGGATAACAAAATTTAAATATTTCATTTTTCATGCTGCAGCGCATTCCTACATACAAATTATAGCAATTGGGTTAATGTTATTTCGACCAATCAGACGAAATCAACGAAAATATGTAGTTTTTAAAGACAAAACGCGTGTACATTAAATGTAAATAGCACTTTATGATTTACCCACCTTTTTTTGCTAAATAATGAACGGAGGTATCTGGATCTGGAGTTGAGGGGAAAGCATTTACGGTACGTACCCAGTGCGCTAGTTATTGGATTCGGAAAACTATAAACTTTATGGGTAGTAATAGTTATAAAGTTGGTATTTTGAAGAAGTCATTTTTTTTTAATTTTCTTTGTCTTTTCCTTAATAGTGGGGACTAAACAAAGAAAAAGAGAAATCTTTATAAAATAATGGTTTCAATTATATTCGATTTTGTCTGTGTGTTATTATTATTATTTTTTTTTTCGTAATTCAGTTTAATATTACCATTTAGAATTGAAACTTTTATCGAATAATATTAGCACTTAATGTAGTTTTCAAAACATTCTAGCCTTTTTAAAATTATTTATAACAATATAGACATTTTCAAGATTATTTTAGTTTTTGTTTATTTATATATTTCGCTTATTTATTCATGAGTGGATATCTTTTATTCGCCCCAACAAGAATGCTCTGAAATAGCATATAATAAGATTCATCAGAAGTTGCACGTGTATGGTGGTTGAAAAATAAAAAGTTGAGCGTTATGAAGTAATTCTTTTTATAAGAATTAAATATTCAATTTTTTTTATGGAAATCGTAAAAACCATGTGATATCGACATACGGTAAATTTTTGATTGATGGCTTATATCGGCGCGCCTAATAATATTTTTATATGTACAGGGTGCAATAATTATTTATAACCGATGGTATCTACGTAAACCTTATAGATCAAAAGAAACAGAATGAAAAACGGATTTAAGAAATCGATTTTTATTTTTAATAGTTTTCATTATTTCTAAGTTTGAGAAAATAAATTTCGAAAAGAAAAATATCGTTTTGTTATCGTGAATATATATTTTAGAAAATTATACATAAATCCTATAAAGACAAAATGTAACTTATTAATATTACTGAAATTTAAAAAAAAAAAAAAGCATCTAAATAATGTAAATTGAATTACAATAAGAACATTTTAAATATTAATCACGATTTATAAAAATCGACCATCCACAAAAAAAAAAAAAAACATTTTCTTTATGATATTATCGATGAATAATAACAATAAAAAAATAAATAAATACTGACTGCATAAATATTTTTTATTATCCTTACATTTTTTTTTCTCTTGCATCGATAATTTCCTTTTTTCATGCATGAGAAATAATTGTGTTTCCAACAGCTCAGTCAACCGTAAATTACGTATATTGGGTCGGACGATACGTCCGATTAATAATAATAAATACAAATATTAATCACGGGCAATTATTTACTTATCAAATGATTCCGGAGGGAAAACAATATCTCGATGTAAATTAATTCCGATAACGTATTTCAAGGGTAAGATTACAGAAATATACCCCTCTCCCTCTTTGACATTTTTACGGTATCTATCCATCATTTTTACAGATAGCCATATTTTTTTAAATACGCGTCATGTAGACTTTTTTGTCAAAAACGTGCTATTAAATATACATATATATCAAGAAAAATCGAACGAAAATGTGTGTTTTGTTTTCAACAAAACCTGTCCGAACCGTCACTACTGTAATATGAAAGAGGCTAGATTAGTACCTATACTTAAATAACAAATAAACGAATAATAATTGCTAAAGCATAATTGTGCCTAGTTATTTAATTTCAATGATAATTTTATTGCGAATTGAACTATATTAATTACTTACACAAATATGTACCTAAATTAAATATTTTTTTTCCCCTCAGTTACATTTTATGCTATTTACGAGACTATTTCCGAATTCATAATACTATCTCTTTTCTTTGTAATATTCTTAATACGCCACTTCAACCCGATCATTAAATTAAAGTCACATGTTCATACCAGTAGATCAGACTAACGTCTGATAACAATATAATTGACGTAAATTTCGTTTCGAACTTTTCTAACTAATTTTAATTAAATAGCTTAGTCACAGATTTCCTGTCAAAAAATAACTGTCCTTTAAACTTAACGTTATAACTTTGACCGGTCACTATAATTTTATTTGACAATATCGAAAAAACTTTTCCCTGTCTCAAATGTCAATTTTGTTTTTGTTTTATTATTATTATTATTAATCTAACTTTCATTACAGCAAAAATTTGTTCTTCTTACATAAATATTGTGGTCCTGAAAACTTTCTTATCAAATTACCATGTTTATCAATTATTCAATAATATTATTTTATTTTTTTAAAACCACATGTTTATATTATACAAAAAAATACAAAAAAATACAAAAATGGATGTCAACAATTCTTTAGAAAGAAAAGTTTACTTTTTATTTCAAGTAAAGTTTTTACATTATTAGTTTTTATACTTTTAGTTGTACCTTGTATTAGTTTTACTATAATGCGTGCTTATGTTTTTTTTTCTGTCTATGAACAACTTTTCTACCGGCCGGTTCTACTCCAATCGAAAAATAACAAACCTCTTTAGATTAAATTTTGGATTTAACTTTGATTAATTGTTAAGGCCATTTTGTGATTTTCCGAGTGGTTTCCATAATAATTGGGAAAACAATCAAATTTACGGCGTTCACGATTTCAATATTTAAATTTTTTTCAATTTTTCTTTTATTCTAAATATCTTGCTCCAAATTTCAAGATTAGCGTAATATCTAAAATAAAATGTTGTTATTATTATTTCAGTGAAAAAATCGTATAGCCTTCATTTAACGTTGCACTTAGTGTAAAATAAAATGAACACTATGTAGTAGTTTTTTTTTCTATGATCGTTTAAGTTTAAATTTTCATAAAAATCGTAAAAGTTACAGCGTTTCAATATATTTTTAATTTAAGTATGCTCAGAATCGTTTTTAATTAGCATAGGTCCATAGTTGCATACAGATACAAGTTAAACAACTTTATGTATCCTATCTTTCCAACTTCCCACCTACGACGGTGGAGAAGAACATATCAGCAGTATAAGCTCTTTTTTAAATTTGTTTTTTTATTATTTATTTACACTAAAATATGATTCGAAATTGGTTTATATTATTCTACTATACTATTTTATTTCCGTCATTTATTTTTTAAGTTCTTCTTCGAATTATTATAGGCAATTCGTTTTGATAGATAATTCATACCTATCTATCCTACTCTATCAAGATCATAATTTTGAAATTTTACTAACGTGTAATGATATATTATCTTGTGTATTAATTTAATTGATAAATACCGCTTTCTCTACAACCATAGCTCCTTGTGGTGCAATAATTTTGATTAAACAGTTTATGTTGTGAAAAATGTATTACTTGGTATTGTTGCGATAAAGTTATTTTTATTATTATTATAAAGTACCGTTTTTAGAATATTATTATTGGTGTACAAAATAAAATTCAATTGAGATATAAATTATTGTGTGTAATAATATGTTTGCAAACTAGACTTTTTTTATGTTGGATCGCCGCCGTTACGAGTGAAGACGAACAAAAAAAAATAATAATTAATAATAAAGGACCGAAGTTCCATGACGGCTAACGAATTTAATGGAAACGGGGATGGTTTTAAGCTCGATATTAACTATAGTTTACATTCTGCATTAAAATTCTCATTTAAATAATTATAATTCCAGAAATCGGATTAGTGATTGTCGAGAAGGATCAGCTGCGTGCTCTAAAACCGGCTGTCAGAACTCACGGAACGCTAACGCAAGTTCGGCTCACAAAATCGAGAAATTTCCAGATTCAGGTATGTAATTTGAATTAATTTATGCGCGTTTCGAGTGGTATAATTAGTTATTAGAAAATAAATATAAACGTATGAGAACTTTTATTAATATTTATTTAGTATAACAAATTATTACAATTTCAATGTATGTGCATATAATTTATTAGAAATATACGATTGTCTTTTAATCGTTCAGTTTAAATACATATATAACACACCGTATAGGTACAGTAAACTGGCAAAAATCTCAATAATTTTCAGTGGCATAGCCAAAGAGGAATTTGGGTGTTGTACCCCCCCTCCCTACACTGCTTGTTTTTTTTGTTTAGCTATAGGTAAAGTTAAGAAGGTTGTATATATCCCTAACCCCTCCCCCCACACTGATAAATCCTGGCTACGTCACTGAATTAATTCTAAATGAATAATACATCTAATAATAACAATACTTTTTGTCACGAGAGAATATAAAATATCATTAGGTTGAGTGGTCCGGTTGAATTCATACGTTTTTGAAATAAATAAATGCAAATGAAAGTTATACGTATGTCATGAAAGAAAAATAAAAACAAAACATGTTTGCAAATTACAACAAGCACTATGCTAAAAAAGAAAAATATATGTACAAACGAATTTTTATCGTTTTAAGTTTTCCTCCATGTGTGTTCGTATGGGATGCATTTGCATGTAAACGATCGCGTGTTACATTATACATACTTTTTTTTTTCTTTTTTTTTTTCATGTAATCAAGTATGACAACAGCGAATTATTACGGTATGGGTAGGTATGAGAAAATAATGAATATGCAATATTTAACGGTTTACTGTAATATGTTTAATATTATGATGGGATTTACTAAACCAACACATGAAGAATATTTACCCGTGTGCAGCATTATTATTTACCGGCCGAGCACCGCGAGCACCATACTCGCGCGCTAATAAACCAATAGGTTTGACCCAATTGTTTAATAAATAATTGTCGATATAATACCGTTTAACTCGTTTGATAATAAAAACATTGGTAGGACCAAAAGCCAAAACGTTTTCGATAAATTTTAATTGAATGCACGTAATTTTTACGTATTTCACTTTTAAACGATTATTAAAAATAATACATAACACTCAATGACACATTTTTTGGGGGAAAGATGAGTCCAGAGAATCTACGAGAGCTAAAAAAAAAATTAATCAAATCAAATAAATTTCGCTTCATCGTGCAGTTAAGTAGAAGATAAACGTAGAAAAAATACATACTATTATGTTGCACTGTGGACCCCAGAAAATGTTAAAAAGATGTCACTGGTGACACTTATAAGCACTAGATTTTTTATTTCTTGACCTACAATAAAAATATACTATTTACCTGTCTATCTTACGTGTAAACTATGGACTACACATAGACAGAAAAGTTTGAAGTAAACATCGTGCAAAAAATTTAGAAATACAAGTTGAAAATCGGAAAATAAATGTAAAAAAAAAACCACTATGAAACATCAGTTAAATCAAAAAATACCATCATCATCATATAACAATAAAAAAAAATATTATATAATAATAACGTTCAAGGAATATAAATTTGTATTCTATATTATTCTACGAATTTTCCAAGCTGTATTACTGTTTCTCTCGCACTATGATAAGCGAAGTATACATAGGCAGGGAATGTGAAATGCACGGTCCACTAGTTTATAAGTCTATGCTCGTATACATGCTCCTTCATTATTCGCTATTGTTTACCACATCTTTCGGATTATTAACCCTCAGTGTCTGAAGATCTTTATTATTTAATTTTAGTAGTAATTACTCTTAATAATAGAGTAGTAGTTTACTCTTCGGTAACATTTCAGGTTAAAATAGAAAAAATGCCGTAATTTTGTGTTTATCTTGTTATCGGCGTTTTAACCGAATTATTTGTCGAAGACCAACGCACCGCGGCAAGAACATCACGCCACGACCGTAGGTAGTTTTGGAGTTTTCGCGGGTTTCAACCGTATAAACATTATACAAATTGATAATGATGTTAGGCGGGTACGAGGTAACTGAAACGTGTGCAGAATGTGAAAGGCGCTATCGTTTTAAACAAATCACAAGGTTTTCCGAAGCGGATGTCGCTGCCGGCTATAATACTCTCGTACTCGTACAATACAGAATGGAGCGAAACGAAATTTCAGCGCAGACCCTTTGAAGGGACGGCCGTAGCGTTTACTTCGGTTACCTGCTGCAGCACAAAAAGGGTCTTACCGTATAATATGCGAAATTACACCTCATTATACCGAACAGGAATAATATTTTATTATTTCGATCATAAACCTATGAATTCTGCATACGACACGTCGTCGTCGTCATCGTCGTCATAAACGTTTACTATTCGGTATCCGGTATAATATAGTATATTAATATCACTTTTAGGAGTGATTTATTATTTCTATAGGGGGTGTACAGAGTATAATACGGGATGATCACGAATCAGCGATTATTTACAAAGATTTCGAGTATAAAATTGATTTTGGATGTTTTTATTATTATAACACTCGTTTTATGATTTTATTTTTCTTATTCAAAATATTGTCAAAATGTCCTCCTCATTTCGTATACGAATATTATCTAAAACTAGCTATGAACTCTATAATACTACTCGGGGCGACTCCAAAGACTTGATTAGGGCAGGAGAGCTATAGTCGACAGTATATGGGATTTCTGTAATTCTAATTTTAAAATTATACAGTTTTTTTTAAAAAAAAAAAATACGGGCCTGAGGGAACGTATACTAGCTCCCCTTTCTTCTGAAGCCAATACTGAAAATATGCATCCAGTTTAAATTTTAAACTGTAATAACTCATAAACGGGTTTATTCATGAAATACAAAGTGCAATGGGAAGTAAATGAAAAATGTTGAGAAAAATCCTAAGTATACAATATTCTTCATTTTAGATGCAATAAGGGTTAAAATGAAAAAAATTACTTAAATAATCGATGGAAATGGAAAAATCCGAAATTAAATTTACTCTTAAAATCCTTTGAGAAATCGGTGAATCGTAAAAACAAAAAATCACTCAAGTTGTATTATATCGCTTTTAGAAGTAATTTATTATATTTCAAGAGAGTATATAATATAACTGCATCGATAGGTCGAAAACCTGCAATAACAATACCACCTCCGACGACGTATACATGAGGTTCAGTAAAAAATAAAATAAAAAATACTAGTACACTAGGTAATTTTAAACTATATTTTTTTTCCGACAACTGCGACGTAATAAAAATAAAAATACGATGCGTATAGGTACTTGGTTTTTATGCTCGGTACTTATTTTGGTATTTCACTATTTTAACGACGGGATGCCGATGTCGGAACGTTATTGGTATATAGTTGCGATAACATTATCGTTTACTGAGTTTTAAAAACGTTCACAAAACACACTCGAAACTTCACGATTTTTATTTCATGGAAAATTCGGATTTTGACGTCTGATATATTTCCGGTTTTTCTAATGATTTCTGTACGGTAGTTTCCCCATTGTTAAAAAAGGTACAAAAATGTTTCAAAAAAAAAACCAATTCTGTAACGCACCGTATAACTGGAGGTGTTTTATTTTTTTTAGTCAAGCTGGGTGAGGTAAATCAATATGTTTCCAAAGCAGTTTTGAACCAATTGAGGGGGAGGGGGTACCAGCACTAATCTCTCTCTCTCTCTGTGAACGACACACTGGATAACTGATTCAGGCAGGCTCGACACTGGCGAAAATCGCTAGTTATTAATGTGACGATTCACGATCACCGTGTCACGAATCTCGATACCTATAGTCAAACTAACATTTTTTTCATTTTCTTTATTTTCTTTAGGTAATAACAATAATAATATGATATAGCGATCGTGTGTAGTTGAACCTCACGCCAAAAAAAAAAAAAATTGGTTTTAAACACGAGACCGGACACCGCGTGCCCGGGCACGTGCCCGTAATAATATCGCGTTGTTGACCGGCCAGTAGACGGTCGCGGGGACGTCCATGACGTTTGGAAAACGAGTTCAGCGATTCGGAATCCGAGTCGCAGTCGTATAATATTATTATAATTGACTCGACAACTGCGCAACAATGCGAAGGAAACAATGATGGGTTTAGATAGACGGAGCGCAGGTATAATATTATTACGGTGCCCGCGACGCCGGGTATTGCATTCGGGTCGCGCGTACACTCGCCGAAACAGAAATCCGCGTCGGGGAGTAAAGCGCCGAGGCGTTACCGCGGCGCGAAATCGGTTGCCGGCACCGACAATGGATATGACAGACCGCGGTTATTATTACGACACACAATAGCTTCCTGCTCGGAAATAGCTATTTTAATGCCAGCGTATAATACACTATCCGTTTTCGGTGTATAATAATTATACGTGTACCCGGCGAAATGTATACGCGCTCGCATCGCCATTATTCTATTAATATACGTATATATATATATAGCGAAATTTTCGAACAATATAACCTGTCGTCGCCGTCCCGCGAAATCGATTTCGCTGTATGTATTTAGTATCGGGGAGGCGGAGGGGGCGCCAAGAGGCAAAACGATATTAGAATAACGCGTTTAAACAATACGTTGGACGGGGAGTGGAATTTAATTTTTATCAGATAAAACGCAACGCGATAAATCGTCGCTTACGTAAAGCACTCATGAACGTATTTAACGTTTCGACGTTACTTTGATGAGAGAAGCGTGTGGTTTTTTTTTCACGAGTAAAACTCGAATATAATAATTATTTTATTTTTATACGCGGGTGTTCGGCGGTGATCGGTGGAGGAGCGGTTGGATTCTTTGTGCGTTTCGCGTTTTAGACCGATTCAGGGGGAAAAATAGATTATTTCGATTCGATATAGTGATAATATCGATCAGTAAAGAATAAAGTTAAACAAAAACTTTATTTTTCCCTTTAGCTACTTTATTGTTAGGTAAGCGAGAGATACCTACTATTATACGTTTCATGACGCGTGAGTGATTGACATTGTAATATTAATATTTCTGCTAGAGTGTTTTTTATCGTGTTATAAGATCGTCTCTGACGCGATGCTACTGTAGTGCTGTCGTTGTCAGTTCACAAAATAATATTATTATATTCTGGCAACATTCGCATTATTTAATTATTCTAATGTATAATTTCTTAATGTACTAAAGTCACTCATAGTATTTTTCTTCTGTCAATAAAAATGCAATTCATGTGCAGAAAACACAAACCATAGAAGTATAGAACTAGTAAACGCTTATAAGCCGTTCGAAACTGGCGGCATGTCGGCTTAAACTTAAATTGTTCGACCCATAAACTCATAAGTTGTCTACGTAATTTGTAAATATTTCATATTAGTTAAAAACTCTACAATAGAAATAGCGCTGTTCATTACACAAAAAATATTATTAACCATGTTACAAAATTCAAAAGTTGCTTCACATCCTACAAGTTAGAAATGTTCGTCTTACAAATAAAAAAAAAACGTCACTTACACATTTACACATGACCTGACTAGCCGACTAGCTAAACGAACCTTAATTTCCTCGTGTATCAATGTATATAAAACATCAAATAAGAAAAACAAATTTATAACGTGTAAAGTCTAGAGCACAAATCTATATTATTAAAATTTAATAACAATAATAACTATAGCTAATATAGATAAAGGAATACATAATATAAATCTTTCTCGTAGATTATCGATGTTCTCTATTTTTCAAAAAAAAAAACACTGTATCCTCAATGAAATCAATATAGGCGTGTCCTATATATTATATTCTTTTATTATCTATGAAAAATACTCGTAAAATATTTTCACGGTACACTTTTTTTACATCGACGTGACGCTTTCAACCGACACGATCGAAGAAACACGTAAGAATTTCGTTCGTTCGTGTATTTTTTTTTTTTACTCTGTCCAGCGCTATATCCACGACAATAATATATTCGGTCGGCAAATAAACTAGGTACCGAGGCTCCGAGACTCCTGTATAGGGTAAACTGAAAAACTAAGGATTTATCATGCTGTCTCATTATTGATTTATCGGCTGTCAAAACTCGTTCTCGGACGCCATCACTAGTATGAGTGACTCATGGGAATTAAAATAATCAACCCCAAAAAAATCAATTCCACTGCCAAAATTTAATATGGGTAACAATGACGGGGAATAAGAAGGCCGGGGCTACTGCTCCAAGTCCGCTCTTTTACGTAGAAAGATGGGATGACATACATGATATATTGGGTAATTTAATCTGTATACACTGTACACAACGATAAATAAAACGCTTTAAACATTCAAATCGTAACTGTTACGGATTTTTGATATTTGTATAATATTATATTGTTTAATTATTTTATTATAACTATTTTATTCGCCCCAAAAAATGTTTTCTTAGATGGAAAAAAAAAATGTGTAACCTTCCCTCGCCGCTAGAAAACTCAAATAAAATTACTCTATAAAAAATACACATTCGAAATGTTAGGCTTAAAAAATAAATGTATTGATTGGATTTTTGGCATTTCTATTCGAAAACAATAACAAACAATGTACATAAAAAAAGAAAGACATCAAATAATGCGAATGTTGTAAAATAAAAACTAGAACACTTCGAAACAGTGTAACTATTTTTTTAAATTTTTTATGTGTTTTTTACGACCGGGATAGCGCGTTTTAAATTATTTTTTTAAATTTCATATGGACATAGAAACTGTATAGAAAAAGATTTTAAGTGATAGAACCCTGAAAATCCTATATAAAAAAAAGACTAGACAAATCGATTTGTTTTCATATTATTTTGTTTTTTTTTTTTTTTTAATAAATATTCGCATTATTCACTATTTCTACAATTATTGGTTCAAAATTTCAATAAAATTCGAAAGTTACCTTTAAAAATTAGAATTATTAACGGTAACTTACAAGTACATATTTTCTTTAGCCTACTATTCTTGTACGTATCTGACGGAAACCTAAAAATATAGCTGTTTATCATGTATAAATACATGTGCGAGAAAATATGTTTTTGAACACTTGTTCAAAAACACAGTGAAGCAGAAATAAAAAAAAAAAAAAACAAAAAAAAATCCGTACCTATTACTCTGTATAGTTATACTTAGGCGAGTTTTGACGGAGCGACGTTTTCTTTTCTATTGTTGCAGTCATCCTGCAGAGCAAACTATATT